AGGGTGCTGGACTAAATGGGCCATTGGCCTGATGCAGCAAGCTCTTCTTATGTTCTTAAATAAATTATTCAGACCAGAACGAATGCTTTGTTGTATATTTTTGCATTAATTAGATTATTTTCACTCCACTTGTCATTTTACCTACCACTAAAGCATGGCATGTTTTTATTAGCCCAGCCGGTTCAGTTTTAGTCAGGGGCAACTAAAAATTGGTGGCGCTGGCTGCCCATGTGCATCTCTGTTTGTGTCAAACAATATAGTCAGACATCGGCTTAGATGAGCATCGCAGTGCAAAACGGATGCTCATGGAGAAGAATGTCTGCCTTCACAGCACACGTTGGAAGCTAATGACGCACACAGATTTCTCTGGGTCACTAGGTGTCTGCTGCCAAGAGGACAAAAAAAGGCTGAGATGGTTTCAATGGTGTTTGCTCCTGAAGCATGTTTCTTGGAAATGTGAAGAAGATGCAAGTGGAATTGCCTGCTCAAAAAGATAAAAAACATCAAGTGTGTTCGTGTTTTTTTAAAATATGTAGAGCAGGGTTCTTTTAAAAGTGTGTCAGTAGAATCAGTCTCCAGCTATTTTTAACAGCCTCTGAAAGCTTATCAGGCAGATACAGTTAATCCATTAAAGGATTTCCAGGTATTCATAGCTTAATAAGTGAGCATGATGGAATTTAACCAATAGAAGATTGCTTTTACTTTGTGTACACTGTAGCAAAAATCTCCATATTTTAATGACTTCTGACAATCAGGTTCATGTCGTGGGTGACAACTTAATATTAAAGTGTTATGATTAAATAGGTTTACTATACTTAAGATGTATTTTTAACTGGAAACATTGTCTTCAGTACTAAAATACATTTTCTTCCCTCCCCCTCACTAACTACTTTCCATTCTCACAAGATGCTAAATGGGGTCTAACTAACAGGAGGAAAAGAAGATTGTAAATAAGTTGAGTGGATTCTTTGCATCTGCCTTCATTCACTATGGAAGAGGTAGGGCAGATACCTTTTCCTGAACAAACTCCCTTAGGAAGGGAGCCTGATGAATAGAAGCAGACAGTGGTGACAATAAGTTTTTAATGTTTGATGTTTTATGATGTTTTCAATATTCTATTGGGAGCCGCCCAGAGTGGCTGGGGAAACCCAGCCAGATGGGTGGGGTATAAATAATAAATTATTATTATTATTATATTATTATTACAAAATTCTAGGCCTCACTGACAAATTTAAAACTAACAGATTGCTGGGTCCTGATGGCATCCCCGCAAGGGTTGTTAAATAAATGAGTTGTAAAATTGCTGGACTTCTAACAAACTATGTAACTTATCCCTAAGATCAGCCTCCATACCTGAGGACTGGAGAGCCCAGAAGGTAATGTAGCCGTTGGTCTGAAAAAGGTTCCCAGACCCAGCTCTACAATGCCACCTTTTCCAGGCCACCTGTGATGTGTTGTTCAGCTATGACTTTAACAGTTTACAGCCTTGAACAATTTCTCCTGGTTAACTAAATCATCATGGGTTCAGATGGAGTGTACTGTTGGACGATAAGTAGATTTGAACAAAACCAAACAAATATGATTTTGTTATTATGACATTTCTATACTGCCCTTCATCCAAAGATTACAGGGTGGTTTACAACATAAAAACACAAAAACACATACCATAATGACAAACAAACAACAATAACCCCCACGTCACACACAGTTTAAAAGGCCATACGTTTAATTAGCCAAAGGCCTAGCACCTAAAGATATGCAACGAAGGCACCAGGTGAGTCTCCCTGGGGAGAGCATTCCATAAATACGGAGCCACTGCAGAAAAGGCCCATTTTTGTGTTCCCACCCTCTGAACCTATCGTCTCAGATAATGATTGCTGGGTCCATATTGGTTCATATGGGGAGAGGTGGTCCTTGAGGTATTGCGGTCCTGAGGTGTTTAAGGCTTTATAGGTCAAAACCAGCACTTTGAATTGGGCTCAGAAAGCAGACTGCAGGTAGTGCAGTCTGCTCAAAAATCCGCCTTGGCTCTGGCTGCTGAACTCTTCACTACCTGAAGTTTCCAAACTGTCTTCAGGGACAGCTCCACATATAATGTGCTGCAGTAATCTAGCGTAGAGGTTGCCAGAGCATAGATGACAGAAGTTAGCTGAAGCTGGTGGAAGGGACTCTGCACCACTGAGGCCAGCTGATCCTCAAGCGACGGCAATGGATCACTGCAGGCCCAGTTCCCTGCACGTAGGAAACATTTGCAGTTTAATCCTTTGTGATGTGATAGTGAGTTCTGATTAGTACTCCCATTTCACGTGGAGATATTCTTTCCCTGTTGCACTTGCAGCAGCAAAATATATTGATGAGCCCCAGCACTGTGGAGATCATGCTTAGGGAGAGGATAAAGGAACAACTATTTCAGGGCTCCAGATCCTAAGCTGGATGCCATTTTTATGTTATTCTTAAACTCGTGATACAGTAATTGCTGTTTTATATAACAGTCATGCCACTTAGAATGATAGCCCTAAAATGTTATAAAAGTTGTGTTGTTGAGAGAGAAGAAGCCTTGTTTATTTTTAGCCTAAGGATAAAATACCACCATTTGGTAAAATTTATGTTTTGTTTGATGACATATGTGCAATGCAACAAGGAATTAAAAACTTTACTATCTGAATATCTTTGGATTCTTAACTAGGGTAGGGCAGGAGGAGAAACCTCTGGCTGGACACTCGTGGTCATAGCTGATGCCCAGCAGGTTCTCCACTTGTGACTAGAGCTTCTATTAAAAGTTGTTGACTCCTCCGGCCAGAAGTTACCAGCTTAGTCATAATGATTGTGTTCCATAATTTGATTAGCCATTATTGAGAAAGAGGTATTTGTTATTTCTTATGGCATGAAAAAGGGACACGGGTGATGCTGTGGGTTAAACCACAGAGCCTGGGACTTGCCGATCAGAAGGTCGGTGGTTTGAATCCCCATGACGGGGTGAGCTCCTGTTGCTCGGTCCCTGCTCCTGCCAACCTAGCAGTTCGAAAGCACGTCAAAGTGCAAGTAGATAAATAGGTACCGCTCTGGCAGGAAGGTAAACGGCGTTTCCGTGCGCTGCTCTGGTTCGCCAGAAGCGGCTTAGTCATGCCGGCCACATGACCTGGAAGCTGTACGCCGACTCCCTCGGCCAATAAAGCGAGATGAGTGCCGCAACCCCAGAGTTGGTCACGACTGGACCTAATGGTCAGGGGTCCCTTTACCTTTACCTTTACCTATGGCATGAAAATACAACTGAGAAAGCCAATTTGATATTTATGTTGTAAATTTGTGGGTAGCTCTACAATCCCATACTCAAATCACACTGGCTGATGAGCTATAGGATTTGCATCAGCAGGTACACCCTCACTATAATGACATATAGGGAGCAAGTTCAGGATTTTCCAAATGGTGGGTTTCTTCTCCCATCCTGGGCTGAGGGAGCATAGGATATGGCAGCCATTCTGCTGGTGTAGAGGTATTATGTCTCCCCACCTGCTCCCAGTGTAACTGGTGTTCTGGGTTGTTTGGTAACCCTTTTATTAGAATAAGTGGAACACAAGCATGCTTAATGGGGTGGGATTGTGCTGTTTGTGTTTTTTATATACGTTAGCAAGTTTATTTTAGAGCCATATAAAATTTTACACTTGTATAAATATAGTTTTATAGGGTTACATTTATTATTACGGGCTGGAGCAGAACAACTTTAGGCTTTTATATCCAGGTTTTTCATTACATTTCTGTCCAGTGTTATTCGAGCAATAAACAGCCTGTTTTGTAGGCTTTCAAATAAGGTGAGCAGAAGGGTTTTATACACACACACACACAGGTGCCCCAATACATTACTTCTCAATTTCTACATTTATTTACTTGCCTCTTCAGGAGGCCCACAAGTACTGAATAAAGTCGCATATTTTCCTACAATATTTCCAGTATTTATCGCTGACATTTCCATAAGAGTGTTGAAAGCCGATACCTGTATTATACCATTGGACAACCTTTTTGCAGCAAAGAAGCTATAGCTCAGTGGCAGAGCACATATCTTAGATGAAGGTCTCGGATGAATTCCCTGGCATCTCCAGATAAGACTGGGATTGGGAAAGATCTTGTATAAAGCTGTAAAACTATACTGCCAGTCAGTATACTACAGTTAGATGGTTCAATATTCCCTGAAGGTATACGGCAGTATATAAAATCAATCAATCGATAGTCTGAATCTCTATATGGCTGCCTCCTTGTTTATCCAGAGGCTCCTCATTCAAAACCTGTTAACTAATTTAGTAAATTATACACAGGTTCTTGTTTCTGTTTAATAAATAGCACCAGGCATTGAGCTCATTAAGTCATCCAAGGAGGACTTGGTTTTCAGCCAGCTCTGGAATATGCTTTGTGTGGCGCCATTTAACCCTGCATTTCTGAGGACTATGCTTGTGGAGATTGATAGGAGCTGGATACCAACAGCATCAGGAGGCCCACAGGCTACAGTATTCTGTTGGTGCTATAAATGTATGAGAGAATTCCTGGATGTCAAGATGCAGGGGCAAGCATTCTTCGGTGAGAAAGCCCTAGCAGAGATTTAAAGTCACAAAACATGAAACAAAGAAAAGAATGGAAACGTAGGCCACTTTAGACCTTTATAATATACCGTTCCAAGTGAGCACCAAAATGTCCCCTTAAATAGTTTCTTTCCAAACTTTCCCTCTTATCCCAGTATAGGAAAATACCACGTTTGGTAAGTTAAAAAATGGTTTACTTACAAACTCTACAAATATCAGATTCATGTGCTTCAGAATAGTTGCACAGGCAGTAAAACACAGCTTAGTTACAGAGTGGTGAAAGTTCCTAAATTATTGGTGTAGGATAGTGGTTCCCAATTAGGGGTCTGGGGACCCCTGGTGGTCTGTGGAATGTACCCAAGGGGTCCACTGCCCCATTCCTTGCCTCCCTCCAACTATTTTTTCTTTATCTTTAATACGGTCAATGACCAGGAAGCAATTTATAAAATATGACATTAAGAGTAGTATTGTGCTACAAGTAACAGTAAAAATATGGCCAATTCACAGAATTGGTGCTTATATTTATGACCAGGTTTCGAGTTTTAAGTTTTTAAAATTCAATTCAGGAGTCGCTACTGTTTATTATTGTTCCTTCGGTGTTTACAGTTTGTACTCCTTTGTAGACATCATTGCTCGTCTTATTCTTGTTGCAATGTAACAGTACTTTGCCACGGACCTGATAATTTCGGGCTCTTTGTCAGCTAAGAGGTGTCTGATATAGGTGTCGTCTGTACTACGAGGTATTTTCCTCAGAATCGGTTCGATCAGCTCTTTTCTTGAGTCTCGATATAATGGGCAGTATAAGATGACATGCCCAATGGTTTCGATTTCATTGCTGTTACAGGGACATAATTTTTTTTGTCATTTTTGCATGGTGATATCACAAATTTTATGGTCTGTTTTAGCGCTGTGTGAGTTTTCAATACATTGGCCAAAATTGGTTTTGAAATCACACCATGATAACGATTTTGACCTGGCAATACGCAGCAATATATGACTCCTCTTGTGAGGGAGAACAGGGCAGCCGATTTCAATGCACTGCTGATCTCAGCTGATAATGCTGCTGATCTGGGCTGCCTTCCCTCATGCTGAAGGAGACCAGGGTAGCTGATCGCTCTCACTTCATGGCACCGTGTTAGTACCTTCCCTTGGCACTGAGACAGAGCAGCTTTTCCTCTCCTCCTCCTACCCATCTGAACTCTGCGGCTGCTTCTTCCCTTATCCCCACACCTGATCTCTATTATTATTATTATTATTATTATTATTATCTCCAATTTCAGACATTGTGATATATTGCAATATCGCGATGTTTAGCTGCTGATACATCACAATGTTGAAAGACAGATATCGCTCAGCCCTAGTTTTTTAGTATACCTAAAATCCTTTGCTTATTAGGGGCTACCCCACATTTTGTTCAAAAAATTGTTTTGCAGAGGTAACTACCATAGAGATAAAAATTTTCAAAAGTAGGGGGTCCATGGCTTGGCTTTTGAAAAAGAGGGAGTCCTCAGTAATTAGCTAATTGGGAACCACTGGTGTAGGAACTTGAGTGACTTGTGAGAGCCATGCTGTTGAGCTGGTTGTCCCAACCAGCTCAAACCTCTTCGCACGCTGAGCTTCTGAGGTAAAAAAGAGAGGTGGAACAAATTACGTAGAAATTGATTACTTAGTTCCATGGAGAGGGGAAGTGGACATAGCTAAGCCTGGCAGGACAGCTTACTCTATAGTATTAACCCCTTCATGTGTTAATTAGACTTAATCATGTTGTTTATATGCGGAGGGTTATTCCACATACTCCAGCTGAACAACTTTGAGAGTACCACTGAGCATGTGCAGAGAGACTTTTACTCACCGCTGATTATTTTGAGACCAAACACATCTGGGATTAAGAGATCACAGGGTTCCGCTGTCTGGAGCTTCAGTATGTCAAGCAAAAGCTCATGAGCAAAATTTAATTGTCCATTATACCAAAACCTAACCCACATTCTACTCTGCTGGCATGCACTGACAATTTACCATGCAGAAAGTTACTGTGAGGTTTTTTTTTAACTCACTCCTTGCCTCAGCTTGCAACGCTTATAAAACAAGGAATTTCATGATTCAGTTGCCTTGTTTCCATCAGTCCTGACATAAGACATCTTTGGGAAAAGGAAGAGGGAAGCTTATTGGTTGTCTGAATCAGACACAGAGCCCAGGAGAATTCCTTCTTCAAGAGCCATTAGCTGAGCTTTGCTTAAAGCTGCCTTAAAGCTTTGCTTGGAGCTGTCTTGTGGTTACTGTTGACTACTACTCAAATGCTAATTGTGCTTTCTGGCTCATTTGCAACTTGAATGGGTATTTTGCCTTTTTTGTGTGATGGCTAGAATTACCTGCTACTTATGCTCTGAAACAGCAACTGAACTGGCAAACTGGTATCCCAGGCTTCATATAAAGGGAACCCTGATAAGGAACAGTAAACCAAATAATTTGGTGTCCCTCTCTCTTTGTTCAGGTGGTCTCCTGCCTTCTCTAGTGAAATTTGAAGCACAAAGCTGCTTTCAGGCAACATGGCTCAGTAGCTCACTTGACTTTACTACCCTTGTCACAGTTAATGGGATTTGTGACATCATCCGATGTTTATTTCTTGACTCCTCTTTCCCAACCCCACCCTTCTGTAATAAACATATATTCAGGAAACCCAGGAGCCTGACACCCCAACATCACAGGTGTTTTAGAACACATATTTGTGTGTGGCATGTGTAGGTTGTCTTAGTACACATGCCACGCACAAATATGTACGAATGAGCCGTTAAAATACAAGTACAGTTAGCTGCATATTTGATATGTTATGTTCAGCTATAATAATGAAAAGCTTTTATTTACCTGTTGGTTGTTACAATTTAAATGGTATGTTAGTTATTTCGCAGTCCGAAGCATGCACCTTGACAAAAAAAGTATTGGAATAAATATGTGAGGGGTAGATCTTACATTTTCGGGATATACAGTACATATAAAACAGAGGCTCAGCTCACATGCACACACCATCCATTTAAAGCATTTGGCTGTTCCTAATGAATCCTGGGAATGATACTTTACTCCTTTCAAAGTTACAGTTCCCAGCACCCTTAACAAATCACGGTTCCAATTATTATTTGGGGGAAGCCATGTGTGTTAAATGTATGGTTTAGATGGGAGAGGCGCTATGAGAAAGTGAGAGGAAGGATAAGGTGGTAAGCAGAGGAGTGACAGTCACTTTACTACCATGCTGGTTATCCACCTGTGTGTTCCGTATGGAACTAGGAACCAATAACTAGCATTGCATTACAGACCGTGTTTGGTGGAACATATTTCCCCTCCCCCCATATACACTACTGTTCACATGGGTGGACCTACATAAACATGGACTATGATTGATCCATCTGGGAGTGGGAAGAAAGATGAGCTACTGGAACCCTGTTGTATAAGTGGTTCTTCACGAAAAGACCTTTGACACACTTCCAGTGTCGGATTGCCAAAACATGTTATGCTCCCACTTTTGTTTCGGCGGCATGGTTTCTATATTGGAAGTGAATTCTGTGTCTACACATGCAGGATTTCTCAGCAGTCACATGGTGTGGGATTTCAACTCTGCAGCAGCCTAGATGCCAGTTATCCTGTTCAATTTTATAGACACCATTGGACACAGGGGGTTGGGTTGGTTTTTTTTTGCACCTACCCATGTATGTCTTTTAAGACAAGCAGATAAATGCCATTGGCTACAAATAACGTTCAGATAACATTCAGATAGCATTCAAATTCATACCGATGTTAACATTAAAAAGGGTTGTTGCAGTGCATTAAGCTGCAGCACAATGCCACCTAGTGGCAATAGTCTTTAATAAAACGTTGCAAATGTGCAGTTCAATACAGTGGTACCTTTGCTTACGTACTTAATTCGTTCCGGAGGTCCGTTCTTAACCTGAAACTGTTCTTAACCTGAAGCTCCACTTTAGCAAATGGAGCCTCCTGCTGCTGCCGCGTCGCCAGAGCACGATTTCTGTTCTCATCCTGAATCAAAGTTCTTAACCCGAGGTAATATTTATAGATTAGCGGAGTCTGTAACCTGAAGCGTATGTAACCCAAGGTACCACTGTAATTTATTCATGGTTTTGTAAGCCATGAAGATAATATTATCTGAATAAAGCACTGTGTATCAAAAAACTGACTGAATCATTTCAGTTAAGATTTTGAGTTTGGGGTCTCTGGTAATGTATCCTAGAAGTAAAGTGTCAGTTCAGATGCAGATTTAACCACAAGTACAGCTGTTTTTGCAGTTACACTGTACACAGTTTTAGTGTGTACAGACAACACACACTGAGACCATCTTGCTGCTGGGGCTCAACCCTACCTTAAAAGCTATATGCTCTGTTTGGGGTCAGGACTAATACTAATAGTGGGAGGCATCTAAATAAACCGGTGTGGCTGCATAAGGAGCTTAAAGATGAGCTGAGATGTAAGAAGGGTGTGTATAAGAAATGGAAGGGGAAATCACAGAGGAGGAATATACACGAGTAGCCAACAGTTGCAGGGTGAATGTGAGGTGGACTAAAGCTCAGAATGAGCTCAGGCTTGCAAGAGAGGTTAAAAATAATGTTTCTTTGGCTATGTTCGAAGCAAGAGGAAGAAAAAGCAAATCGTCTGCATGGAGAAGATAGAGAAATGCTATTGGATAGAATTGCTCAACACCCACTTTGCCTCTTTCTTCACCCAAAAGGAAAGCAACGCCCAATCTGGTGATAACATAATAAATTATGTAAATTGGGAGTTGCAGCCCAAGATAGGAAAAGAGGTAGTAAGGGAACACCTAACTACTTTAAATGAATTCAGATCTCCCAAGGTCTGATGAGCTGCACCCAAGGGTACACTAAAGGAGCTTGCGGATGTAATCTCAGAGCCTGTCTATAATCTTTAATAATTCCTGAACAGGTGAGGTCCCTGCAGACTGAAGGCAGACACAATGTCCCCATCTTCAAAAGGGGGGGGGGCGGGAGAAAGACTTGGGTGACTACTGACTGGTGAGCTTGGCATCAATACCTACCAGAAAGATCCTAGAACAGAAAATTCAACAGTCTGTGAGCATTTAGAAAAGGATGCTGTAATTACTAAAACTCAGCATCACTGGGCTTCACTGGATGTGCTTGGTCTCACTTGTCCTCTTGTGTCCCAGGTAGGGTTGTCACTTGCCACCATTATTCTGGCAAGATACAGGGCAGGGTGGGGCAGTTGGTGGAATTTTTTTTTAATCAGGTTCTGAAGTGACTTCAAAGCAATCCATAAGGGATCTATTGCAGCCTAACAGGGTGGCCCCTCTGGACTTTGCTACGCACGTGCACATACAAATGAAATTTGTAAATCTGTCTACCCAGAGCTTAAATACCCTTTCAAACACATGCATTTGGAGAGGGTCCCTAACGGGCGGCAACCCTAGCCCAGGCGTGAAGAAGTCAGGCTACGATTGTGAGATTGTTACAGGAGGAGAAGTGAGTGCTTTTCACGGAAACTCGGGCCTGCCAATGCGTCCCATAGAATTGGGAGGGACCCCAAGAGTCATCTAGTCCATCCCCTTGCCATGCAGGAATCCTGCCCACAGCTGTCCAGGGGTGGACTCGAACCAGCACCAACCTCCTGGTTGTGACCCACTGCGCCACTGATGGAGTAATTTAGAGCAAAAGAGAGTCAGGAGGTAGGGCTATATTCTGGCTCGAATTTCCTGGACGCGGCCGCCATATTGACTCTTGCGCGCCCACAACCAGATGAGTCACCGCCCCTCCTCCTCCTCCTCCTCCTGCCTCCCCCATGGCCCCACCCTCTTATGCTCCTGCCCGCCAGGAGACGTCGCAGGCGTGCGTGCGTGACGCCACCAAGCCGCGGCAAACGAGAAGACGCCACTGGCCTAGAAAGGCCCCCTCCGCCTCACCCGGAAGCGGAGAGGAAGAGAGCGGAGCGCTGCTCGGCGGAACCTGAGGTGAGGAGTATAAAATAGACTCTCCCCCCCTCCCCTCCGCTCCTCTTCTTCTAGCCCGGCGGTGCTGCCGCAGGAGGCGGTCGAGTCCACCTGAGACTGCGGGGGTGGAGAGAGAGAGAGAGAGAGAGGAAAAAAAAAGACGGCGTCTTTTTCCTTCCCCGCCTTTTAATAAGCCGCGCGCGAGTCTTGAGCAGCATCCATGGCAGCGGACAAAGGCGGAGGTGAGGACAAAGCAGGCGCGGGCTGCCTCTTCGGGGCTGCCTCGGCTGTTTGCGGGGCTACTTGTTCTTCCTCAGGCGGAGGGGGGGGGGAGGGAGAATAACCTCCTTTGGGTGGTCGTGGCGGAATGATCCCCCTTTCAGCCGCGGTTCCTCTGCCCTCATTGGATGGGGCGGGAGGGGTGCTGTGTGTACCTCCGCGCGGTTCTGGAATGTAGGGCCGGCGGACGGGGTGAGGCGTCGCCTTCTCAGGAGCGGGGATGCGAGGGGCAGCTTCGCCTAGTGGTCGCTGCCGCCTGGGGAAGAGGCTCAAGTTGCGGGTTTTATCCCGCCTCCTCTTCCCCAGCCCACAAGGGGAGTAAACAACAACTAAAACATGAGGGGGCCCAACCTGACAGTTGAGGTTCCTGCATTGCGGGGTGTTGGGGGGGGGTTGGACTAGGCGACCCTCCGTGGTTCTGTACTGTTACAGAGGGTCCCTGCTGTGTGGCCTAATGGTTAGAGTGTTGGAGTACAGCCTTGGGAGGACAAATGCCTCACTCGGCCACAAAGCTCTCTGGGGTGAGGTTGGAGGCCTAGCCTACCTCGCTGGGTTGTTGACAGGATGAAACGGAGAGGAGGGGGACCGTGCGCACCACCTTGAGGTCCTTGGAGGGTAAAGGTGGTATGTAAACGTAGCAAATAAAACAGAAATAAATGAAAGAGCTCCTTGTGAGAGGGTGCTGGCAGGTGCGCTTGATTGCATTTATATTCTGCTTTTCTTCCACTATGGATGTTCAGGGGGCAACTAAAAGGGCTTCTCAGGCCCATACTCCAAAAGAACCTGCTGCCGGGGGCTATGCTGCTGCCCCTTCCCAGAGAAGTTGTGTCAGCTGGTGGTCAGCAGCTATTTCTGATACAGTGGTACCTTGGGTTCCATACGCTCCAGGTTACAGACTCCGTTGACCTAGAAATATTACCTCGGGTTAAGAACTTTGCTTCAGGATGAGAACAGAAATCGTGCTGCGGCGGCGCGGCAGCAGCGGGAGGCCCCATTAGCTAAAGTGGTGCTTCAGGTTAAGAACAGTTTCAGGTTAAGAATGGACCTCCGGAACGAATTAAGTACTTAACCCGAGGTACCACTGTACATATATATATGTATGTGTGTGTGTGTGTATAAAACATGTTTGTTTTGAACTGCATTGCATATCGAATTATGGTTGGTTTGTTTTTCACTTCATATGCTCTTGTGTTTTGTATATATTGTATTGGTAGAAATCTCATTTGCTCATTTTTAATTATTATCATGAGCTGCTTTGAGCTCAGTGTTGCTGGAAAAGCAGCATGCGGGCATTCAATCAAATCAAAACAAAACATGCCCTGGGAGTTTCCCTGTACATCCTCTGTGCAGTGCAGCACTCTTGTACCTTGGGGGGCATAATGTAAGGAACACAATGAATTAGCCTGGGCTCCAGTGCTGTTTCTCTTGTGGCTAGTCAGCTCTCTATCTGAACTGATAAATGTGCCTGAGAATCCTCTGACAGTGCAGTGAGGTCAGTCCCTAGACCCAGTTTGAGGACTTGGTTGAGGTAGTGACAAGATGTAATAGGGAACAGGGTATTCCGGCAGGTGCCATCTTCCAGAGCTATTGTGCTATAATAAAACAATCATTTATTTTTTAAAAAAACTACTACAGTGGTGCCTCGCAAGACGAAATTAATCCGTTCCGCGAGTCTCTTCGTCTAGCGGTTTTTTCGTCTTGCGAAGCAACCCTATTAGCGGCTTAGCGGATTAGCGCTATTAGCAGTTTAGCGGCTATTAAAGGCTTAGCGGCTTAGCGGCTAAAAGGCTATTAGCGGCTTAGCGGATTAGAAAAAGGGGGGGGGGGAGCGAAAAAAATCTCAAGACTCCCAAGACATTTTCGTCTTGCGAAGCAAGCCCATAGGGAAATTCGTCCTGCGAAGCGCATCGAAAAACGGAAAACCCTTTCGTCTAGCGGGTTTTTCGTCTTGCGAGGCATTCGTCTTGCGGGGCACCACTGTAATAGCAAAACGGCCTCTGGGAAACCAGTGCAATGGCATCAAAACCAGTGCAATGGCATCAACATGGGCAATCAAATACTGTATTTTATTTATACCCCAGGTTTCATCACCAATAGATCCACGAAAAGGTACAATATAGTAAGAAGAGGCTTGGGATTCAAGCTTTTTTTCCTGCAGGTGAAAGATACGAGCTGCAGTTGGAATGGGACTGACCAATCTACAGAAGCAGCTGTTTCAATGATCTATAATAGAGAGAAGAGTTCTCTGTGACCACACAGTTCAAACAACTTTCAAAACAATAACATATTGATCTGGCACCTACAGGCTGGCATAAGAGGAATCTAGACAAGTTTTCTTAAAGCCTGGATAGAACCACTGTTACACCACTATTTGATATGCAATGTGGTAACACAGAGGAGAGCCTCAGCTGAAGACTTAAGTATGCAAGTAGGTCCCAACTAGGATTTGGGAGGAGGTGATCCCTTAGATATTCACATCCTAAAACTTTTAGGTCTGTAAAGGCCAAAACCAGGGTTTTGTATTTGAAGCTAATGAAGCTGGTATAATATCAGTATACAAAAATAAAATAAAATTGCTAATATGCTTTCCATCAGTTGGAAGTGTCAGAACACTTCAAAGGCAGCCCCAAATAGAACACATTGAAGTAATCTAATCTGGTTGTAATCAAGGAATATGTAATAGAAGCCAGAATGGCCTTTTTCATCAGAGTTCAACCTAAACTGGGCAAAAACGCTGTAAAGGTGAACTTGGATTTTCCTGTGGACTTTGTAAGGGAAGAAATGTCAGACTTCACTTTTTATTAGAACTCTGAGGTCCACGAACTCGAGTCTTTTGCAAAATACAGGCTCAGGTGTATGCATGTGTGCTAGGAATTAAGGAACAGGGTTCCTCTTTGCACATGTCGAAACAAAATAATAAAATTTCTTCCAGTAGCACCTTAGAGACCAACTAAGTTTGTTATTGGTATGAGCTTTCATGTGTATGCACACTTCTTCAGAATACAGTAACAAACCTAGTTGGTCTCTAAGGTAGTACTGGAAGGATTTTTTTTATTTTGTTTCGACTACAGCAGACCAACACGGCTACCTACCTGTAACTAGATCTTTGCATATGCTTACTCCAGAAATTTGTGATCCCTACCAGAACCAAGCTGACAAGTGCTTTCACTTAGGGAAAACTAGGAGTGTATTTCTAAGTTTTCATTTTCAGCAGTCTATTGCAAATAGCTTTTTAGTTGTTTCGGCTGTTGATGTGTTGGGAGTTCGATATGCTTCTCATCTTAACTGCAAATCACCCATACATCTCCCAGCAAATCTGATCTACATTCCACCAAACCCTTCTGTAAGGTGCCAAGCAAGCCGCACTATTTACCCACATACTTAAGTTTCTCATTGACTTATTTATTTCAACCTGCTGTTCTTAATACCTGAACCTTTAAAAGCAAGGGTTCAAAATTACAGAATTCAGTATTCTCTCAGAAAAAATATGCTTGGAGCACGAGCATGAACACAATATGATTTAAGCTTTGCTTAGAATGGTTTGAAACTATGCTTGGAGTTAGCTGTTGTTTGAAACACTTGTGTTGCAGATCAGGGAGCAGAAAAACATGAAGCAGCAGGGACATCATCTGGGATTACTGACCAAGAGAAGGAGCTCTCAAACAGTGCTCTGCAAGCATTCATGGTAAGGCAATTCTTGAGATAGCAAATATGTATGTCATACACATGTAGTGTGATAGATAGTTTTTGGAAGCAAAGTGTGGAGCTAGTATGATTTTGAGGAGCAGCTTATTTCACATCATAGGCACTGCTTCTTGTAAAGAATAAATTCAGACATCCCAAAAGGTATAGAATACCTCCAGCCTTTAGTCTGACGTTTTTGCAGGGGAAATTTGATAGATCTTTCCACTCTAGCAATCCTTTTAATATTTTGGTTTCTGCATAGTTCAGGCTGCTAGCTAGGCAAATATTTCCCACTGAGGTAGGAAAAGGAGACGGGCGGAGGGATTGCACACATGACTTGTTCCAGATTGGAAAATGTGACATCTGCCTGTGCTCCTCTGTAAATTAGAAGCAGTGTTTTGGAATTCTAAGCTGGGTTTTGATTTTTAAAATGTGTCTATTTAAACATTGCCTTTTCAACTGTGATCCTTGCAGGCTGGCAACTATGAAGCTTGTCTACAACACCTTAGCTGCTTGCAAGAAATTAACAAGGATGATTACAAAATAGTTTTGAACATGGCAGTAGCAGAGTTCTGTAAAAGTAATCAGACGACAACTGACAACTTGAAACAAACACTTAATCAGCTGAAAAACCAGGTATTGCTTGCTTGCTTGTTTGTTGTTTCCGCCCTCTTTTTTGTAAAGGGTTCCTTGTGATTTGCACAAATATTTCTCGTCCCTCCATAATCCTGCAAAAAGTCATTTCCAAAAGGCAATGGAATCTTGAAGGCCAGAGCAGGTACTGCAGGAAGTTCTTTCTGTTCTTATTTCTGTTTGTAAGTAAACTATCATCTTGTATTTGGTACATTCTGGGGTGCTTTGGGAAATGGCAATAGCAAGTTACATTTTCACGTAGACCAGTCTGTAGCACATACTGATTTAACAGTACTTTTTTTATTTGGTCATAAATGGAGGAGTGGGTAAAAAAAAAGGGCTGTGTTTTTATCCCCCAGGTTCATTCAGCTGTTGAGGAAATGGATGGATTAGATGATGTTGAAAACAGCATGCTTTACTACAATCAAGCTGTTATTTTGTACCATCTTCGGCAGTATACTGAAGCAATAATAGTTGGAGAGAAGCTTTATCAATTCATTGAACCTTTTGGTAAGTTGACAGAGGTAAAAGGCTCCTGTTCCTAGTCTCCCCTATTTCAGATTTCATGCAACTTTTGCTTGAGAAAGCTAATTTGTATTCATTATATTTAAAATTACATATCTAGTCAAGAAAATAGTTCAAAACCAATTGAACATATTTTTCTCTCATGCATATAACAATAGTATAATCACAGGAGCAAATATGTAGCTGCCTGTGTTCAGATACCTCTTCATATGCACAACTTCAGAAGTTTGCAGAAGCTGCTGTCTAATTATGTGCACTTGTATGACTAGCTTTAAACTGAAAGCATTAACAAAGTCAGTATTTAAACCAGAAAAGTATTGTGGTGGTTGGTTTTCATAAGTAATCCTTAATGTAAATGTGAAAATCACCTGCATTTGGGACAGGTTTAGTATCCTTGAACTAGTTTTAGCGAACACTATCAAGGAGAGGACTAAATGTTTGTTATTTTGTCTTCTAGAGGAGAGATTTGCCCAGGCAGTGTGCTTCCTGCTTGTAGACTTATACCTGCTGACTTGCCAAGCTGAAAAAGCCTTGCATCTGCTTGCTGTATTGGAAAAAATGATTTTACAAGGTGGCAACAACAAAAATGGGAAAAATGAGGTAGGTCTAGGAGAATATAGAGGAAATGTAGTAATTTAAGAATGCTTGTCCAGCTAAACCTTAATTGGCCTTTTGAAACGATAGTGGAATTTCATATAGTTCGGATTTGGAACTGTTCACATTAATAAGTAAACTTATTTTTAACAGCATAGGAATCCTTTATTGTAGCCAAACTGTTTTCTGGTGGCCTCTTAACAATTTGTGTTTTGTTTTATTTTCACACAGGTGTTGCTTTTGAGAGTCACAGCTGCCATCTCATAGGCTTTTCTCTGTGACTGTTTTTGTGGCAATGCCTTCATTAGGTTGATTAGGGTTGGAGGGCTACTCCTTCATGAGATGCTTCAGGAATTATGAACTATGTGTCATGTAACACCCACAATCATCTGCTTTAAAATCTGACAATTGTTTCATCTCTTAATTTGTGATCAGACAGGTAATAACACTAGTAAGGAAACTTCCAATCACAAAGCTGAAAGTGGAACCCTGACAGAAGCTGCTAAGTCTAAAATTCATCAGGTAAGACTAAATATAGGGCTTTTTTTATTCTATATGACACTTTAGAAGGTACTACATGCTGTTTTGCATTTTTCAAGTGACCCAAGGCTAGGACATATGTGTAATTATTTCCATTCCACAGTCACTCCAATGTATATATCTGTAAGAGTAGCTTTGTTGTGTACTGGCCTGTGTTAGATACAGCTCACAGCAACTATTTTTTTCTGGCAAACATTGTGCTCAATCTAGTCACTCTGATTGTGGAAATAGTTGCTGTCCTTCGTTATCAATATCCATGTGCAGGTCAGTTCACAGCAAGTTTCTCGGCATAATTATGTACCCAGAAGGTATTATTACGTGGACAAAATAGGCAGCCACTTAGATGTGTGAATTAGTCTTTAGTTTCAGTATTTCAAATCGTTACGCCTATTTTGCAAGCATATAATACAGTTCTAACCTTTTGCTTTGTATATCCTTTACTAATGAAATATACTAAAGTGTAGTATGGATTTTCTGATGACCCTTAAACAATGTTGGTGGGCTATTTTAATTAGCAATTTAGTTTAGTTCACAATTCCTCAACTGTGTTAAGGCTTCAATTTATCTTCAAATATTCAATTTTGAACATAAACATGTTTTAACCTTTGTTCAGCAAATTGTGTATCATGGCATGTCACTGTATATTGTTCCCCAAATACAATAATTAATTTCTGAGTAGCAGTCGTAGTTTTATTTCAGTTTCATGAGATCACTTATTCATTAACAGTATAAGGTGCGAGCCTATATTCAGATGAAGTCTCTGAAAGCATGCAAGAGGGAGATAAAATCCGTTATGAACACCGCTGGAAATGTAAGTAACCATAACTGTTGGTTTAAGTCACATGTTTGTATTTTTAAAGAATCATTCATTCATCATAGCATTTGATGGACAGATCGTAATGTGGAAGGGAGACATTGAAAATAAAGATTCTCTTTTAGGATTTGAGAAAATGACATAGTTGGGACTTCTAGAGTCCCAACCTGATTCTGGATTGTTAATGATATAACTATTCATCTAGTTTATACATCTGTGATAGGACTTGGCAGTTTAAGATACCGTAGCTTTATAGGTGATGATTGATTTTGTAGATTCTAATGTTTCATTTAAAGATTTGAACTTGTACTCGGTTAGGTTTTAGCAGCAGAATAAGAGTTCTAAAAGCCCCCCCCCAATCACATTTCTTCAAAGAGGTCAGTGCCCCAAATACCTTCCGTCCCAGTTCTTCCATTACTACCAGCCAAGAAGGGGTCGGGGCACCAATACAGGACTGGTCTCCTGGTGCCATTGTCACTGCTGCTTAGCAGGGCAGAGCAACAAGGTTGGGTGGTATGAGTAAACCAATGAGAGCACCTGATTGGCTCAGCTGGTCCCCCTTCCCTTGCAGCCTCCCTGCCTTGCAGGGGGACTTGACCTTGCCGCTGTCTCTCCCCACTGGCTGCTCTTGCTTCCAGCTTCACTTCCCTGCACTTCTGAATTCCTTTGGAGTAAGTTTCTCTGTTGTAGCTATTTCTCTTAAGCAGCCTCTCAATTTTATGACCCCCTGCTTATGTCAGCAGTCCTTCAGGCCACACTGCAAGTCCTGCTTGGACTGGTAAGTGATGGCTTTCTGGCTGATGGATGTGCAGTCACTTCTGAGCATACTGTTTCTCTCATGTAGATAACTGGAGTATCCAACCACACTAAATTTCTCCCTACGAGTAACCATGGATATTGTTCTCTTTACAGTCTGCTCCTTCTCTCTTTCTGAAAAGCAATTTTGAGTATTTAAGAGGCAATTATCGGAAAGCAGTAAAGCTGCTGAACAGCTCAAACATCGCAGAACATCCGGGATTTATGAAAACAGGTACCTTAAACTTATACGTTTGCAAAAACGGGGCTTCATTTCACATTTTAATTCCCTTTCCTTGAATTGGTGTAAAATGCTTGTGTGGACAGGAGTATCTCTAGTAGATTTCTTCCTATATACATAAAAATGCAACGCTGTCATCACACAGCCCCCATTGGAAAATTTGCATAAACTCATAGGAGGGGAGCAAAAGAGAGTGCGGGTTTTAAAATGGCAGTTTTGAACAACAGCAGAGGTTTCAATAAAGCAGGACTAGAAGGATACAAAGGTGCTATGAGGAAATGAGGGCATTGGCGAGCAAAACGAGCAGCGGTGGCAGTCCCTGTGGGCCTTTAAAAAAAAATCAAAATCCAGAATTTCATTTATTTATTTATTTTTTTCTTAGGTGAATGCTTACGGTGCATGTTCTGGAATAACCTTGGGTGCATCCATTTTGCTATGGGGAAACACAACTTGGGAATTTTCTATTTCAAAAAGGCCTTGCAGGAGAATGACAATGCCTGTGCACAGCTTGGAACAGGTGGCTCCGACACAGGTAAGGTCGACTAGTAATAAAACACGCTGCAGCATTGGCAAATTGTATTTTTATGGGCCTATACAGTGGTGCCCCGCAAGACGAATGCCTCGCAAGACGGAAAACCCGCTAGACGAAAGGGTTTTCCGTTTTTGAGTTGCTTCGCAGGACGAATTTCCCTATGGGCTTGCTTCGCAAGACGAAAATGTCTTGCAAGTCTTGAGATTTTTTTTTCGCTTTTCCCCCCTTTATCTAATCTGCTAAGCCTTTAATAGCCTTTAATAGCCTTTTAGCAGCTAATCCGCTAAGCCTTTAAGCCTTTAATAGCCGCTAAACCGCTAATAGCGCTAATCCGCTAAGCCGCTAATAGGGTTGCTTCGCAAGACGAAAAAACCGCTAGACGAAGACTCTCGCGGAACGGATTAATTTCGTCTTGCGAGGCACCACTGTAATATAAGCATGAAATGGCTCCCTCCCACAATTGAAATACTTCAGTATCGAAAAACTACTTAATATGTGACTTCTTAATATGTAGAATTGTATTTTCCAACCTATTTTTCCAGCTAGACCACATAATGCAAAAAGCAGAGCCTCAGTTCTTCCAAATGTTTAAATAGTAACCAATTTAGTGCATCACCTAAATTTATAAAGGAGTTAGCCAGACTTTATATGTATTTTAAGTACCAGATAGACTCCTTACAAGAACTGCATGAGGAAAGTGGGAGGTTGCACTCATTGGCCTCACCTCTCTCATATCTCTGGTGGTCATGCTACTGTTGCACATGCAAGCTGCTCCCTAACGTTTTGAGCCCTTATCTAAAGTTCTCCCTCCAGCAATCCTGCTTACCATAAGCGAATAACTTTGAGAGATGCAAAGCTAGTATGTATAGAGTGCACAAGATATGTTGGGTTCCTTGAATTGGAAAATTGTCATGGCATGAAGAATTGACCACATTAGTGCAGCCTCAACTCAAATAAAAAAGAGGGTTTTTTTGGGAGGGGGGAGAATTTGACTTGGTCTTAAGTGACAGGATTCAGATCCCTACTTTCGCTATAAAGTAATTTGTGCATCCAAGTGCAAGTCACTCGTTAAAATATGATTATCTATGTCATGAAGAGGTTAGTGGCCGTGGTAAAGCAGTGATTATATTAATTCTAGTTTTGGTTAGCTCCAGCGTGACTTGTCTTTGGATACAGGTTAATTAACCTATTCCTTTTCCAGCAGTGTCCTTTTTGCACTTAATGTTATCTGATTCTTTTTCACAGGTAAAAAGTTCTCAGGACGACCAATGTGCACCTTGTTAACTAACAAGCGTTATGAGTTGCTGTATAACTGCGGCATTCAGCTCTTGCATATTGGGAGACCGCTAGCTGCTTTTGAATGCCTGATAGAAGCCGTCCAAGTTTATCATTCGAACCCTCGTCTCTGGCTGAGGATAGCCGAATGCTGTATAGCTGCCAATAAAGGAGTAAGATGAACCCTACAATTTTTTTTTCTAATCAGAAATAGTTTAATAGCACATACATACAAAAATGCAGTTCTGGGAGTTTAATATTTTTTTAACCCTGCTGTCCTTTGTTAAGTCCACAGTATTGTCAGCTGCTTCAGTATCTTTGTGGAACAACCTGAAAATCCTAGTGAGAAGCCAGGTCTTTAAATACTCTGGGAAACTATTAAAGAGAGTTATCACCATCTTCTTCAGGTTGTTGAAAGGAGCCATTTTTGATTATAGGAAAACAACTGCACTTCCATTTTGTTCCTTGTGAGCCTCTTTGGTTGATTTGCATCATCTGCATATTTCAGTTTCTGATTTTAGAAACAGCTTCTGTGTTGTGCTGTATGGTATGCTAGGCTTGGTTTGGACATAATTCTGGACAATTGCTTACCATTACATCCATGAGCAGCAGCAAAGTTTAGTATCACATGGTTCTCTCTTCCCCTTGCATACCCATGAAGAGATTATAAGCTTCCACTTTTAAGCTGACCAGTTACTCTTTATATCCGAACTATGGGAATGATGGTTTGCTAATATGCAAGGATCATGGGCTAAGGTTTGGTGTGTTTGAACAAACCATAGTTTAACCTAGTTTCAGTTTCCGAAACTTAGTTTAAATGCAGAAGTGTAAGCATTTACTATTGCAGCAGTGGTGGAAGAGAGGGAAGTGGAAAGTTGACTAGCCAGCTTGTGCCCACAACACTGAAATGTAGTTTAACATGATGTCGAAAAAGGATGTTGGTGTTAATGCCCAATTAGGTGGGTGTTTAAATAAGAGTGGTTGAATTTGGTCGGTGAGCTAGCAATCAATCCTGGAATAATCTTTGTATTATTCAGGTTTAGATTCTGTGTCTGCAGAGTTGGCTTTCTGAAAGTGGGCAGAGACCATCTACTGAGTTGCAGCCTGACCTAAATTGGTTCACAACAGCAGTACTACCACCATACAGTAGCAAATAATAATTAAGAACAGGGGGGTTAACACTTTTGGTTTTGAGAGATGGAGTGTTATTCATGCTTCATCTCTGAAATGTAGCATGAGGTCAGGGAGAAGCAGGAGGGCCTTTGCCATATCCTCCAGCTTAAAGCTTGTGAGCGTAATAGCGGTGTGCTGTTGTTTTTTTCTGCTCTGGTTTCTGTTGGCTGCCTGCTTTCATTCAGCAAGCATAGAGCTAAAACAAATCACAGGCTCCCTCCCATGGCCAGCTCATGGAGAAGGTGGAGATCAAGATTGTTGGACCCTGATTAAGGTGGGACCCCAAATATATGTTGAGACTAAAAGTGGCTAGCTGGTGTATATCATATTTCCACTTAAGTTAATATAGTGTTTCAGACCCGTTAAAAACAAATATTTTCTAATAACACAATGGAAACCATTCAGCATGCTCAAAAGAGCCTGGTAGAATGATGGCGATATAGGAATACAACTTAACACCTTGAGTTGAATCAGGCTGGTGGTGCAAGTGCAAACAAGAGTTTTATGGGCTTTTATCTTTTTCTTTAAAAAGAGACTTAGATTTCCAGGCAGGAAAGGACATTGTTTGCTCTTCCTGGGACCATGTTAAATTGGTTTGGGACTGATTGCTTTTAATGCCTTCGTAGATTCCTGCAATGAATTCCTGAGTTGAGGTCTGACCTTAGTATTGGCAATCTTTTTTGTGGGTGTAGTCTGCATGTAAACTGGCTTGTAATAAGTACAATTGAAATTGCTATTGTGCCTAGAAAAATGGGAATATAATGCAGAGTATAAAGATGCTATGGAAAGAAGGAACAGAATACTGAATAGCAGCAGCTAGAGAAAATGCCAGTCTTTATCTAATAAATATTCCTCTTGATGCCTTAAATGTTTGTTCCCTAGAGTTCAGAACAAGAAACAAAAGGACTTCCAAGCAAAAAGGGCATTGTACAGTCCATTGTAGGTCAAGGATATCATCGTAAAATAGTATTGGCATCCCAGTCTGTACAGAACATTGTTTATAAGTAAGTTGTGCAATTTTACATTGCTGTTATCTGAAAGGGAAGTTGCTGGTTGGCTGAAAACATTTCCAAAGTGCTCTTTCTTGGTGCTATTCTTTTATTTCTTTAAGTATTAATTTTCAGCCAATCATGTGAATGGAAATGCTTTGCATTGCAATGTTTACAAGGCTCCTTTGTGTATGAGAAAAGTTATGTTGGCTGGCCCTCTTTGCATGTCACAGTAAACCGCAGTTAATGATTTCCCATGAATACGCAGGTCCCTCCCACTTTGCTCCTGTAGGGTGAGTGAGAGCAACAAACAGCAATCCCTGTGTTTTGTCCAAACTGGGGGTTGTGATTGAACACTATTGTCTTTTGTTGCTTCCACTTGTGCAGCATGGGTGAAGCAGGAGCAATCTGTATGCTCATGGGAAACCATGAACTATGGTTTGCTGTAGTGTGCAAATGCTGTGCGCTATGCCTCAAATTTGAGTTCCTCTTGCTTACGGAACACACTTCTTTATAATTGGCTATGTGGCATGAAGTGGAACCTGGACAGGGAATCTAGTCAGATGGGTTTAGTAAACAATTTAGCACAATTTGTATAGCTTTGTTCTCCAAGGGCGCAGAAAAAGCAAAATTACTACTTTGCTAGGTTATGGGATTTAAGGGACCATCTTAAATTTAGTGGTAATAATCCTGTACACCTGTACTGTACTGTAAACCTTCAAAAAACGAGCTTGATGCTTTTTTTCTTGACTTTAAATCATCTGGGAGTTTATTTACACAGGATTCTTGAAACTTCTCTAAGACATAATTGTGTTTATTTCTTTATAATATAGTTTATTCAGAAACAACTTAAAACAGGAATACAGTATTTCATGTAAACCCAAGCTGCTGTAGATTAAGAAGAAGATTTTGACTTCCTGACTCATAATCCTTGCCTATATTAATGTAGTACAAAGAGCATCAATATACTTTTTTCCCTGTTTTCAAGTGATGGCCAGTCTTCAGCTATTCCTGTAGCTAGTATGGAGTTTGCAGCAATTTGTCTAAGAAATGCCTTGCTGCTGCTTCCTGAAGACCAGCAGGAGCCAAAGCAGGAAAATGGATCTAAAATTGGCAACCAGTTGGGAGGGAATAATGAGAACAGCGAGAACAATGAAGCTTGCAGGTGAGTGCTGCGTCAGATGTTTCTATTGCTTGTTTCACTAAGTGTCTTGCCCACAACTCTAAAAAGAAATTTTGTGGCTGCTAACAGAGTTAGGATAATTGAATACGGAGAAAAATGGGGGTAGTGAAAAGTGGTTTGAAAACAAATGTGTTGCACGTAAATAAAATCTAGCAAACCTAAGGTGTTGCTGAAGGTGTTGTAACTATACTATTACTCTTCCTTTTTTTATGTTTCTATTGGTGTGTATTCCAGATACTGGCCTTTTTTTCCAGATATTAGCCTTTTTTCCATGGAGGCCCTCAACAGCAGCCCCTTTCCTGTTCCTCTTTTTTCCTAAGGCCTAAGCAAATGTTACTGGTTGTTAACTTTCCAAGCCTCTCATCATTTCACATTTCTCAAGCTGTTAACATTGCTACTCACTCTCTGTCTTTGTTTCAGTAGCAAAAGCCACGAAGGAGACAAATTCGTTCCTGCTCCACCATCTTCTCCACTGAAGAAGCAAGAACTAGAAAATTTAAGGTAGGTGCTAAGATTTCTGGATGTGCTGCCAGACAGCGCAGTTACAGTATTCTGTGGACTTTGTTTCTGAAAGAAAGCAATCTAAGTTTGCTTTCCCTAATATAAGAGAAATCTCGAGTACAAATTATTTTAATGACATTTTATATGAACGTATGCTAACGATACCTTAATGGAGGTTCTATACTTAATTTAGACCGTTTATACAGATTCCTGGCTCCATATATATCCACCATAAAAGTTTTTTCATGTAGCTATTAATAAGCAGTAAATAGATTGAGCAGCCTCAGCCTAACTTCATGCTGTGGAAAAAAGGGGAAGCCTGGGGTGGCCCCCACTATGGACTTTGGCCCGCCAGTATGTGGCCTCTCAACAGATAATCCCACTCTAAAGAAAAAAGCTCAGAAGAAGAAAACTTCCCCACCCTTGCAGTAAGTTGTGTCACCTCCTAGAAGCTGGAAAGCGCTAATTAAATTTAAACTAATTATAATTGGGAGAAATGTACTTTTTTCTAGCATGTTCCCACAATGCAAGACAAGAAGAACAACAAACCTGTAGTTACGTGAAACATACTCAATAAGCACACAAGACGTAACCGGCTGTACTTTTTGTTACAGTTCCATAGAGTCCTTTCACAGGACCACTACTATGCTGTAAGATCCACTGTCCTGTAATATTACATATGAGCCTGTTCTACTGAAGAAGCCTAGGATGGTGAAACAAGGCTAATATTCTGGAAATCCTTGTCTTAGACTCTGTGAAAGGATTCTGTGGAACTGTAACAACCCTTCATGTGGATAATTGGACTCTATGAACAGACAGGTGGAATAGACACTTATACATGTATGGACCTTATGCATGAACTGACTAGAGAATGAACTGATCTACTAGGTCTTCTGCTTTTTTCATTGAACTTTCTGAAACTTCCGTTGAAATCTACAATTTGATACAATGAATACCTTATTTATTCAAAAATACATCCAGTTACGTCTTGTGTGTTTATTGAGTATGTTCCTATAATGCAGGCATAGGCAAACTCAGCCCTCCTGATGTTTTGAGACTACAATTCCCACCATCCCTGACCACTGGTCCTGTTAGCTAGGGTTGCAACTGCAGAAACTCCCCCTCTCATTCTGTAATTGGTGTTTGGCAGTGTTGATAAAGATGTTAAACCTGGGTCTCCTCCCAGCACTAGCATCCTCTCCACTTTCTCCCCAAAATATTTTCATTGTGGTGGTCCTGCATCCAGGTGGAATCTAGTAATCCTGAGTACTAGTTAGAATGCTCAGACCCAGATAGTCATCGGGACAAAACTTCTGCATTGCGGGATAATTGGTGGCATGAGATTCAAAGGAAAGCAAGCTGCCTATGAAACATTACTGTGGTAGGTTTCCACTGGTGTTCACATGCTGTTAAATATTTCACTGGAAATGGTGATTATCTGAGAGGCGCAAGGGAGAGGAAGTTAAAATTTCATTATGCCAACGTAGTACTCCTTTTGTCCTAGCTTATTATATAGGCACAAGTTTCATCATACTGAGCATCCATATATAGGGGAATCATGTATATGCTGCATTTCCTTGCAAAGAGGTACATCCTCCTACATAAATCCATGCACTTTCCTAAATGTGGGAATAGCTGCATTGGTGTGTTTCCAGTTTGTTTTCTGCTTTGATCCATTCATTTTGGGTACATGTATGGGAATTAACTTCTGCATGTAAATACCAGGCATGGCCATTCTCACACTATAGCGGATGTGTGCCCTTGAATGTGAATTCAGACTGGCATATCTAGAAATGTAATGTGGATATGAATTCCTATTGCAGCATTTAAAGGAAACTGTATTTGGACTAAGTTTTTTCTCAGTTACTTAAACCAGGGGCGAAACTAGGCTTTAATTTACCCAGGTCAAAGACCCAGTTTGGCACCCCTCTGGAGGTTTCACCCAGAGCAGAAAAACAGGCTAGCCCCCCCACCCCCACCCCCAGTTACGGCTCTGCTTAAACATTACTAATTGGTAGTTACTATGAATGCCATTAAACCAAGTTTTACTAAAGAGTAGGCCTATTGAAATCCGTGAGCCTAGCATAGATGTGTTCATTAATTTTAGTGGGCCCCTCTGAGTGAAACTTAATTGAATGCCACCCCACAATCCCGCAAGTGGAAGGTTTTGGTGTAAAGGAAGTATACAGTGCCAAGGCTGTGAAAACAATCTCACATTTGACATTTCTTGTGCTGTAAAGGAAGGAAAATAATCTTTCACAATCCACTGTTGTTCTCAATTGATGAAACTTGACAGCCTGTCAAGAAAATCCTGTCATTATAACAAAAATGATTGTACTTCTACTAGAAAGGGGGGGCGGGGAGTGGGAAGCGTGGCAGGAGGGAAGAGAAACATTGATTTTAGCTTCTGTAAGGCTAGCTCCAGATAGTTCGGCTCCCTCCGTTTTTTCTTTATATCTCTCTATTTTTAATCTTCTGCACAAGATGACTGAGAATAGAAGTGTGTTGCTGTTTCATGGGAAATAATAATTTTATCACTCATGCAGGCTATCCATGCCCTTTGGCAGAAAGGAGTTTTATCTGAACGTGACCTGTGAACCAAATTTTACCTTCAGTTGATGTTGTCAGCATGTTAAAAATTCTATACAGAGTGGTTGTCATGGCCATACATCAAAAACCTGTAATGGCAGAGAGTAGCAGTCCCAGTGTCAATGGATTCTCTTGTTCCATATCTTGAACCCAGCTTAGTGGCTCACCTGTCTGTCCCATGCTTCTCCTAGTCTCTGTCCTCAGCAAGTGTCCTTGGAGGGGTGGCTGGTAGTAAACTCCTGCAAATTGTTTCACCTGGTCTCATCCTGTGTAAGCAGTATTGCTTGCAAATTATACATTATTATTAGTCATCACTTGCGAGTTCTGTTTTGAGCTTCTCTAGTATTTCGAAAGCACATTTGTTTCGGGGACATGAAAAGTGTTTCAGATTAGGACTGTAATCCAAAAGTACTCCTTTAAAGGTAAAGGGATCCCTGACCGTTAGCTCCAGTCGCGAATGACTCTGGGGTTGCGGTGCTCATCTCGCTTTACTGGCCGAGGGAGCCAAACAGTTTTTCCGGGTCACGTCGCCAGCGTGACTAAGCCACTTCTGGTGAACCAGAGCAGCACACAGAAACGCCGTTTACCTTCCCACCGGAGCGGTATCTATTTATCTACTTGCACTTTGATGTGTTTTCGAACTGCTAGGTTGGCAGGAGCAGGGACCGAGCAACGGGAGCTCACTCCGTCACGGGGATTCGAACCGCCGACCTTCTGATCAGCAAGCCCTAGGCTCTGTGGTTTAGACCACAGCGCCACCCGTGTCCCAAGTATCCGTTTAGGCTCCTGCAAAGTTTTGATGCATAGTAAAGGGTGCCAATTCTTTGCTTTATATCTTTTAACAGCTGCCAGTCATGCTGAAGTATAGCAACTGTAAAGATTCCCTTGCTGGAAAAGTTTCTTAATCCTAGTACACTGGGCTTTCTTAGTCCCTCCCTTCCTCCTGAAATCGCTGCCCCTGTGACAACCATTCCTTGTGCTTTATTGGAGACTACTTCCAAATTTCTAGAGCTCATAGTCTCTGCCCAGCTGCATGTGGAATCATAGAAAACACTGTAAAACTGCAAAGGCATTAGAACTGTGAATTTGAGGAGTTCAGGTCACATTGAAGTATTAAAGCATTTTGCCCCTTTGGTTTTGATCCTGGTAATTGCCAGAAAAGAATACTTCTAAAGAAAATTGCAGCTTGGTTTCAAAGCTTTATGATAAAACTATTTCCCCCTCCCCCTGCCAAGTCACTTCAAATTCACAACTAAACTTAATTCACTTTCAGTCTTGCGCAGAAAATTGTCAGCTTGGGGGTGCCATTCATTTGTTTTAGGTACCTTCTGCATTTAAAGTTGTACCACAGTGAAACAAAGTGTTACTTCTTAGTGATCGATTACTGTATTTTTTGCTCTATAAGACTCACTTTTTCCCTTCTAAAAAGTAAGGGGAAATGTGTGTGCGTCTGATGGAGCGAATGCAGGCTGCGCAGCTACCCCAGAAGCCAGAACAGCAAGAGAGATTGCTTCTTTCACTGCATAGCGATCCCCCTTGCTGTTCTGGCTTCTATGATTCAGAATATTTTTTTTCTTGTTTTCCTCCTCCAAAAACTAGGTGCGTCTTGTGGTCTGGTGCGTCTTATAGAGCGAAAAATACGGTACATTGATAACTTTCATGTGGTGCAGGCTTAATTCATTGTGTAGATGAGAGTGAGTAAACTTTGTGGACTAATAGATCTTGTAAGAAAACTGAACAGGCTGGTTGATATAAAAAGGCAGCTTTTTCTTTTTTTAAAAAAAGCTTTTTCAGACAAAAGGGAGGAAAAGAAGCTCAAGAATACAGAGTCTTTAAAAGGCAGTCTGTGGAGATGTGTCAAAATTCTAGAGTGGGGTTGGGGACAGTTTATCTTTCTGTGGGTTTAGCTGCAGATTGTCTGAGTAGTTGGCAGCCTTGACAGTGTTTGGAGCAATATTGTAAGCTGGAGGCAAGCTACTTGAGTTCAAGTTGCCTATAAGCATATTCTCTTGGTTGCATTAGCATGCAACATTAAGCCTAGTTACACCTGGGCATGAATGAGCAATGTGCTAGTAGTGTATAGAGAGAAATGGGGGTTGCTTACCCCCCCGGAAAAAACCCTGTTCCTGCTGCTGTGGTACCAGGAGCTAAGCCACAGTTTGGTTGGGCTTAGCATTACATCCAACTCAGGCTCATGGTTTGTGTCCATCTCCAAACCAGCAGTAAGCAAAAACCAGCTCGTGATAAGCATGAGCCCATGTTCCGACGTAACATGAACACATGACTTGGTTACTGGTAGTAGTGCTGCAGCAGCAGGAGAGGGGGAAGAGGAAAAGTGACTATTCACAGTAGTGCAAATGGATTTCACAATGTTTGTAGACATCAAAGCCTTGCTTATATACTGGGAAATGTGGGCATGATCTCTTTTGCATCAATTAGCTACGAGCCTTTACAGCCAGCTTAGTTAAGAAGCAGCGCTTCCCCATACAAGTAAGATAGTGGCAGTGTTATTTGACTGCCCTTGATACACAGCACCACCCTAACAGTTGCAACTGCAAATGGATTTTTTAAAAAGCAAAATAAAATTTTGGGCTTGAAAGGATGCCTGCTTTCCTTGGCAAGCTTTTCCCCCTGCGTGTTGGGATTTGATGTGACATCTGGGCATGGAACAGAGGAAATGGGGAGGAAGCAGCAGAGCGATTTCTTACCCTGCTTGTGTGTAATTAAAGGGCATGCCTCCTGGGACACAGGCATAAAGGAACCCCAGGCCCTGCCATGAATTAACATGGCTTACTGCTGAACCAAAAGTGGGCTTGACAGTTGCCAGAAGGCTGCAGCCGTAATAGCCCACCTACTGGCTAGAGAGTTTAATGGACTCCTCTTGCAGCTCCAAAACACCAGATCTGTCCAAGACGATCCACTCACTCCTCCTCTTTTCTGCCATGCAACAGAGTTGGATCTGTTCTTGTAGCAAGGCAAGCAAAGCTGCCTCCTGCCCTGAAGCCAGGAGAGCCTGCCTTGAACTCTGCTTTGTGAAGTGGAAAATATCCCAAAGTGCTGTGTTAAGAAGGGAGGGAGGGGTGGAATTACAAGCTGTAAAAGCCTGACCTAATACTGACATCCTGATGCGGGCCTTTTGTTTGAAGCTGTGGAATGCTTGGCTCGAATTTCAGGGAAAGAATTTCAGGACCTACTTGTGCTTTATTGAGAGGCTGGAGGGACAGCAAGGCCAAAAAAGCATTTCTGCTGAGGTGCCATGAGTGCCAATTGCGCAGAACCCATTTTTCTTTTTAGAGATGCTGGAAAAGCTTGTTTTCAATATTTTCCTTTAGTGCACATAGTAAAGTATGTAACAGCTTTATTTTATGCGATAAGGCAGTCTACCTTTCCTCTTTAAAGTTCTCTTAAGTTTATTTATTAAATTTGTATACCACCCTTCATGGGCAGTTCACAGCATAAAAATACAAGATTAAAAACACAAAATACATAAGAACAACAACAAACCACCACCCCCATTTATAATAGGATAAAGGGTGTCATTCAGCCAAAGGTCTGCTTGTGTGGATTTTCTGCATGTATCAACTTTCTATGTGTGTTTCTATTTTTGTTTTCTAGGTGTTCAATACTTGCTTGCAGTGCTTATGTGGCTCTGGCCCTGGGGGACAACCTTATGGCTTTGAATCATGCAGACAAACTTCTCCAGCAGCCCAAACTGTCAGGATCCCTTAAGTAAGCTTGCCCTGGTCAATTTCTTTTACAGCACTTTTACATTTAGTTTCCATATATAGTGTGTAGGCATGTATGACCTCAAGTTATGCCATAACTGCTCACATAATAGTTGGGATTCTTTTCATCTATGAAGTGCCAAAAAAATAATATTATTCTCCTCCCCTGATCAGTGGAAAAAATAGACCACCACATGATAAAGTGAGAGACAATTTATATTTACACCTGGCTTTGAAGATGTTTTGCAATTCTGTATATTACTGTTATATATATATTATACGCGGGTGGCGCTGTGGGTAAAACCTCAGTGCCTAGGACTTGCCGATCGTATGGTCAGTGGTTCGAATCCCCGCGGCGGGGTGAGCTCCCGTCGTTCGGTCCCAGCTCCTGCCCACCTAGCAGTTCGAAAGCACTCTTAAGTGCAAGTAGATAAATAGGGACCGCTTTATAGCAGGAAGGTAAACGGCGTTTCCGTGTTCTGCACTGGTGCTGGCTCGCCAGCTGCAGCTTCGTCACGCTGGCCACGTGACCCGGAAGTGTCTTCGGACGGCGCCGGCTCCTGGCCTCTAGAGCGAGATGAGCACGCAACCCTAGAGTTGGTCACGACTGGCCCGTACGGGCAGGGGTACCTTTACCTTATATTACTATAATACTAAATTGATGAAAGAGGTTCTCAATCCCTTCAGTTTTGTCTTCTTGCCCCTTCAGATTCAAAGGAGTACGGAATGGCTTTGGAAGTTGCGAGAGTTGCAATTAGGCACCTCCAGCTCCAAATGGTCCAAACAATTACTATTTTATACAAGTATCCTCTTACACTTAATTTTTAATGTGGGGTTTCTTAGCTGCAGTAGGGCAGTCACTCAGAGAGAGACATCCATGCAGTAGCTTGATGTGACTTGTTGCCAGATTGACCTTTGCAACTGTGCGCGCTCTTGCTTTCTGCAGGTTCCTTGGGCATTTGTATGCTGCAGAGGCTCTCATCTCTCTAGACAGAATCTCTGATGCCATTACTCACTTGAACCCGGAGAATGTCACTGATGTGTCCCTGGGGATTTCTTCAAACGAGCAGGATCAAGGTTAATGAGTCCATACTTGATTAGAACCGGTCATGCTTTCAACTGCCTTCCTGCTGTAACTTGTAACAGCTCTACATTTTAATGCACTGTTATAAAGGCTATAGCCGCTTGCAGAGTTCCTAGAATCTATATATTTCAGTTTAACTGCCCCTAGAATGCTGCTTCCTTTTTCTCTAATCTTAATATTGTTAACTTCAATTTGGGCTGTGAACTCTTGGAATCCCCAGCTATGCCTTAACATTGTATGCACTGTCCGCAATGCAAAATACATGTGGAATGCAAAAACAGATTTCCAAGTATGCCTGTATCTGTATTCGTCATATTTGCACTGAATGTTGATGAAATATTCAGTAACATAACCAGATTGACTGGAATGGGGGTCATGAATGATCTTTAAATTGTTGTTTGTCTAAAGCATATGTTGTGTTAAAATGTTGATTTCACTAAACGATGCTTTCCTGCTTGTATTCTCCGCAGGATCTGAGAAAGGAGAAAATGAAGCAATGGAATCCTGTAAGTACTCACCTCCCTGTTTACTCTGTGTAATTACATATGTGAAATTATGCCTTAAGTGCAAGACTGGATAAAAAACTTTGTCTCTGTGCTTCCTTTACTGAGGAGCAGGGTGAGCTATAAATCCAGTAAATGCTTGTGTCCTTTCTGCAGTGTGTTGCATGAACCCGTCAACATTGCTGCTTAAGTCCCTTAGCTAATAAAGCAGCTGTTGTACCTAAGAAGTACATTTCGTAGAAGAGTTAGAGGGGAACCCTTCCTAGGGCTCCCTTTTTATTTCTGGCATCACCTGACTTGTTACATATTTTAGCCTAGAGATCTTTTATTCCAGTTAAGGAGCTACTTTTAAATTAAAACCATGGGGACCGTCACTCAGGGCATAGGACTCGTGGGAGGGCTTGTATAATGAATGCGAGGTTCATAAATTCAGCTCTGCCACAAACGAGAAACCATGCATCCATTAGCTCACCATATAACCACCTTCCTCCTTCCGGCCTTTATTATATATTGCATGTTTTCAGAGCAGAGTAGCTCCAGCTGGTGCAAGCAAGTGATCCAAGCTCCATACCAAAGGAAATGGCTTTGATACTCTGCTGCTGAAAATACTGATGGGACACTGGTGTGCAAACACCTAAAAGCAGTTTTCCTTTCTGCATTGTAAATATGCATCTTGGAGCTGTTGCTAATAGAAGCTCCCCAGACAAGTTGTTGTAAAAATTTGGAGATGCATATCCCCATTTCTAGCTTAAGTTTAAAGCCGTACTTGATACACTAAGCATTGTTTTTACTTAGGTACATGGTAAGCCAATGTGGGCTTCCCCCAAAAGTGTAAGCACACAGGCTCCAGTGAAGGCGATTGTATTTGTTTTACTTCTCCCCAGTAGTTCTGCTGTGCTGCAACTTGTCATCCAGACCCAGACTTGAGGTTTAGCTCTCAGCAGTTATATATATATATAACAAAGGTGTTTTTTCCCCTGTGGCTTATGGTTCATGGTTTATCTATGACAGCTAATCCATGAGTCTCATTTTGGATGACACACTAAGCTAAATCCAGCCACGACTTCCCTCAGTGTTGCAGCAGAACAACTAGGGTAGACCAGGTTGTGATCTCTTAGCCAGGAGCTCATGCATTTGTGCTAAGCCATGTGCAGACTGGGCCATTGGCCACTGGTAATTGCAAACAATCTTAAATTTAATTACAGTGGTGCCTCGCAAGACGAAATTAATTCGTTCTGCGAGTTTTTTCGTCTTGCGAAGCACGGTTTTAACAGTATTAACGGTTTTAAGAAAAAGGAAACAAACTCGCAAGACGTTTTCGTCTTGCGAAGCAAGCCCATAGGGAAATTCGTCTTGCGAAGCAACTCAAAAAACGAAAAACTCTTTCGTCTTGCGAGGTACCACTGTATTCATCTTGACAAGTAATGTGTTTTTGCATCTTTTGTAAGCTGGCAAGCAAACCCCACAATGTTACCCCAGTTCTGTCACATCTGCACGGACCATGATGCTGTTCAACCTTGGAAGCGCCTACTGCTTGAGAAGCGAGTACGACAAAGCACGGAAGTGTCTGCACCAGGTGAGTCTTGTGGCATTTTCACTAGGGGAAACCACCCAAATACAACAAACTGTAATATCATGGTCCCACAAGTTGTTCTGATAGTTTTCCTTGTCAAAGCACAAGGTTTTCTCACCCACGGTAATCAAACGTTAACCTGTGATGGACTGGGTGGAAAAACAACACTTTTAATCAAAAATCCCTGGTGCCGATTCCTTTTTATAAGTTGGAAAAATCCTTTGTCTCCCAAATGACAAAGCAATGCTTCGTTCAGAAGACAGAAAGCCACTGCCTCTAGCGAAGTTTTTTTTGCATTTGCAATAATTTAAGGCACAGTCTAAAGTGGAGGGCTTTCTTTCATACATTAATTCAACTTTTTATGTTTTTATTTTGGTATAAGGCTGCCTCACTGATTCATCCGAAAGAGATCCCACCCGAGGCCATCTTGCTGGCTGTATACCTTGAACTTCAGAATGGTAAGTTGCAAACCCAAATCTTCCTGAATGTACATTGCTATTTCTTGATATGGAAGAAAGTCTGTAAAACATAAGGTTTAGAAGTCGTGTGTGACTTTCAGAACCCCTGCCACAGCCCAAGCACCTTGGATTATATTCGCCTGACAGAAAGGCTCGTCTGTGGAAAAGGGAGGGTTGTTTTTGGCACTCACTCCCCTAACTCTGTGGAAGGCTATTTATAGAGTAACACAAAATCTATATTTTAAGTCTGAAATTGTTTTCTAGGAAACACACAGCTGGCACTGCAGATCATCAAAAGAAACCAGCTTCTTCCTACAGTGAAAATGCTCTCTGAGATGCGGAAGAGGCCTGTGTTTCAGCCAACACACCTGGTCCAGCCTATTCAAATGCCTGCATTCACCTCTGCTCAGAGGAAGTGAAGAAGCTGTGGTGAAAATTGGCCCTTTGAGGGACCACTTGGAAATTTTGTAATTATATATATATATAAACATTTGTGGTACCTGCATATGATGTTCTGAAGTGTGTTGGTTTGAATTTTTAATTAAAACAAAAAAATATATATCATACTGTAGATTCTTTTTATCCCTTTCTCCAGCATTCGTTCTGCTTGTCAGTTGCGTGGCTTGGCACTTGTGATGCTGTATAATTAAAAGATACAGAGCAAACATACAGATCTCAAAAGATTTGGCTGCACTATATGTATAGAGTAACCCTTTGGAACTTTCCCCCCCATCTACTTAGGAGGCATGAAATACACCTTTTCATGCTTTTGCTGCATGCCTAAGTAGGTTTACCTTGTATATATGGTATGAGCCCACGCAGATCAAGGTGTTAGCTCTGCTCTGTTAGCATTGCCTTGTTGCATTCAGGAGGATTAAGTTACGGTATGACCAAACTGTACCTGCAGCTAGCTGAATACCCCACCACATTGGGGTGTCTGCTGGTAAAACACTTTCCATCATAGAAGTGCAGGGCTTTTCCTATAGAGGATGCATTAAAGCACATTAACTAGAAAAAAAACATCAGTTAGCAAGAGGTAGCAAGTAATAGGCTAACCTGCTTTCCAGCGTTGAGTCCATATGAATTTGCTGATACTATCCTTGTTGGTTTTTGGTATACATGCATTTGAAAGAAGGGTGGGGAGAAATGGAAGACAAACCACAATTGAAGTGAAACTCACATTTATTTGATTAAACAAAAATAAAATAAACTGCATAGAAACATTTTAAAGTCCAGAGAGAGAATGACTTTGTTTTAAGGCTGCCAGTAGCTGATACATTGTCCCCTTGCTACATCCTTCAGCCTTCTCCATGGACCACAAAGATACATTCAGAAGCCTCCATTAAAAACACGCAAGTTCTAACTTTATTTTTTTTAGCCCGTTTAAACAAAGCTTGTGCCTCACCTGTTCTGCTGAGCTCTGCAACTTTGGAGCTCAGAACACCAGCTGACCGAATCTTAAAAAGAATACAGGGCTGCAGCTGAAGGAAGGAAATAATTGTCTCGACCAAATCAAGCTATACACAATGCCCATATTTGTATTGTGGGACTTTAGCTAGGCTGCTTACCTGGAAGCGGACAGCAGAGATTTATTAAAAAGCAACTGGCTCTAGGACTGGTGTACTTCCCTGCTCTCATTCGGGGGGGGGGGGTGTCAAATCCCATGTATCCAAAGCCACCCCTACAGTATGTAATAGCACCGGTGGTTTTTGCACCCACAACAGGAGGGTTTGCAATTCAAAGGTAAGGCCCCTTCTCGAGCTGAGAGTGAAATCTCTATCCTACGGACCATGGGGTGCCCTTTAAAGGGACCATAGGACTGTCCTAAAATTAAATTTCTTGCTTGAGCAAAGATTCACAAAGATCAAGGTCTACTATATAGCCAATGGAGGAATTTAGTCTGCAGAGGGTATGTCCCCGTCCCCCCCCATACTGATTTTTTTTTAACATGTTCTCTTTGGTCTTAGACCACCCACTTTGTGTTTAGGCATAGAAAAAAACCGGACATGCTTTAAAAAAAAAATACTATCAAGGACCATTGCCTTAACTGTTTAGAAATGTACCACCATCTAAATAGATGCGCAACAGGTGAGGCACAATACAAGAAATATCACATACAGTAAGAAGAGTCACCCCCACAAGCTTGGGTGACTTTGCGCACATTAACTATTTTTTTAAAATGTCATAAGGGGAAGAGACTAAAACCAAGAAGCTCTCCCTGGGAAAGAATCTACATAGACTTGAGAAATATTCTGTAACGCTACAAAAGAATTTTTCTAGTTTGGCGGCTTAAAGACCGCCATCTATTCTACTACATACACTTAACATTCAGTCACCAAAGCTCTCTTGACAAAGGAGCTACAAACAAAATTAAAAGGCAACCTGAGTTTGTACGTTGATACAATCATTGAAGAGGTCTAAGACCATGCAGGTACAACAAAGCTTTCTTTATTAAAAAAAATTCTTCCTGAAGAACCATTACTGGTTAAACAATGATGGAGAAGGGGGGGGGGGAGAGAACCAATACCATCCCAATCTTACCAAGCTCAACATAGCATGATCTCTAGTGGTGGTCTGTACCCACTGGAGTCATTATCCAAGTCTCATTTCTCCAATCCCACTTATAAGAAAGAGGAAGAGGCAAAGATTTAGGAGATGCAATCACAGCAATCCATCGTGTGCTTCTATTCTAGCTTTGCTGTTAAATATGGAAAACAAGGGAAGAGACAGTCCAGTCTAAACTACCTTTGGTGTGAGCATCTTAACACTGCCAAAATGTCCTGTTCCAAAAATTAACAGAATAACCCACAATCTCATTCCCGTCCTGTCACATATAATCATTTTGAAATGTAGGAGAATATTACTTCCTTTCATACATTCTCAACGGATAATGAGAGTTTTCCTGGCAGGCGTATCAGGTCTCCACAAGATTGTTTTCTAACAAACTAACCAGTAGATATCAGCAAACAGAGTTTTTCCCTCTAGCAGAGAGACCTGTAATCACAAGAACTATGCAAGACCCAATTTACTGACCAGTCCACTGTGTCTTAATACTGAAAGATGGGGAGGGATTGTGACTTATAAAGACCAGTTAATGGTGAAGGGTTATCGGTTTGTTTGCCTGAGATTTCCAAAGTGTTTTAAGTGTGGCCATCGGGGTGGGGTGGGGGTTGTACCACCCTGGTTTAATGCTATTTGTGGTCAATCCCTTTTCTCCTCGTGGTGGAAAACCATTTTCTTCTATGACATTCTGGTGCTAAATTTGAGGTAGATACTGTGCTTCTTTCATCAAAGTGAGGTAGAACTTTAAATTCTACTTTTTTAGGCATCTAGTACCACAGCAAACTGGGTTCTGCTGGTTTCCTGAGGACTCAAGGACCAAAAACAGTGTTTGTCTAACGCAAGTACCAGTGTTAACTTTTTACACAGTCCAAACTGTGTGTATGTCTAAACATCATCTTTTCTTACTTTTTAATACCCTATTACCTTTTGGCACCTTTGGATATGCTTACGTAAAAAAACAACAAACCACACACACACACAAAACACAACTCCACACAAAAAATGCTTTGGCACTTCTTAATTTAAATCAGAACTAAACAAAGGAATCTCCTGATCTTCAAAAGAAATCTTGAGATATGGCTAAAATCAAGCAGAGACCTCTCCTCTTTAATAAATTAATATTGGCTTAACTAACTAAAACAGGCCACACCAATCTCTTGCAATGCCGTAAGGAAATGTCCCCCTTGATCCCAGATCTCATTAGGTTTAGGGAGAACATATTTTTAATATATTTTAGGTCTCCATGGCAACCTCCACTTATAGTATTCCTTTGATGGTTTCCCCAAATAAGTTATACTTAAGGGTACCAAAGTTTGCCACCTGAAGTACTGTTGCTCAGCACCATCACTTCCTACTGGGCTTTCAGCATCAACTAAAAAGACTATTTAGCAGGATATTTGATTCATAAAGCTTAATCAGGAGTGTAGCGATAATTTGATGGAGAATGCATTTGGGACGGGGGGAGGGGGGAGTTGCAATTTATAACAGCTCAAATTCAAGTGTTTAGTGCACAAAATTTAGAAAGCATTTAAAAAACATATTTTGCCCAAACCAGGTTTATTAGCTCAGAAGACTTATACAAAGCACATGTTTGTAGCTTGCAGCTTACGCACTTTTTGGTAGCCCTGCTTTGTACTTGAGTTCTGTGTCTGGATTGCTGTATAAAGCCCATGAACATGCAAACAGATGGAGTTTAAATCCTGTCACTTATATACCCAATAAAAACCCAAACCCCTAAGGGGCATTTTATGTTGGCATTAAATGTTTCCTGTATTATTACACTACGTAGCTTCATAGCGTTATAAACACTCCTATGTCAGAAGTACACTAATACTTTGGGTGAGGTAACATGTGCTTAGCACTACACCAACTGCAGTTACTGACAGGAGTCACTCAGGGTAGCCAAACAGCAGCATTTTAAAAATAAAACATTTCGATATGCAAGCTGAATGTGTTTATCAGATGCTTCCCCCCACCCCACCCTGGATAAACTGCGGATATCTTGATCCACCAGTAGAAGTAGTGTATTTATGGAAGAACAACACACCATTTCTTTCCTACAAGTAAAGAGATTTCTGGCTTCTCCAAGCTTGTGCAGCAAATAACATACAAAAGTCACAAAGCTCAAAACACTATTCCGCTACCTAACAGTTTTACACAGCAAAATGGGATGGCACAGCACAGAGAACTTTTACTCAACAAAAAAAGTAGCTTATTTTAAGAGAAGCCCATCCAAAAGCAAATAGGGTAACATTAACAGAAGGAAGACAAACACTTGCCTTACAGACACACACACATGGGATTCTGCCAACTCAAAAATTAAAGCTTTTTAACCAGTTATCTTTGGTAGCTAGATCAGGAAGGCTAACCTTACTTCTCAACTTGAGTCCCAAGTAAAATGCTCTAATCTGCAATGCCTTCGAACGTCATACGCCAGCCTCATGTGAAGCACGAAATCAAGCATGAAATCTCCAGCGGCACTGTATGGAACCAACACACCTCCAATTTAGACAACAATTTCTCACGTAATGTGATGAGCAGTTAAATGGCAAGTCTTCTATTAAAAGCACACAGATTACCCTTTTCCAGACGAAAACATGGTATTTTGGTGTACATAGAGGGGGCAGAAAACCTTCCAAGCATGATGCAAGGGATTCTTGAAGAAGTGGCACAAAATGTACAGTTGTGGTTACAGTGCCACTGACAGATTGCTTAGTCCATGCCCCCATCTCCACTAAACTATGCTTTGCAACTAACCAGCTACGTAGTGTGTGGACATCCTCGGACGTCACAACATCAGGCCCACTACAAAAGAGGAGGGGAGGAAATGAGAACCAAAGTGAATTTCACTGCCAAGGATGCGATGGTTCTCAGTGACTGTAGAGAACAGTTTCCCACTTTAAACTATCTCAGCTCTTTTTTGAAAAAACAACCCAGTATCCTAACAGGCTTTGATGCACTCTCTTCAGAGATGCTGGTATTGGCTAAAAGGAAAGGCAATGTTTCGAACTAACCTGATTAAACCTATTATAAACATTAGAGTTCAGACACTCACCAATTCTACATTCTTCCTGGACCATCCAAATTTGCTGGGGGAAGGGATGCAACTTTTCTGCATTTTGTCGGCTACAGTTCAATGGAAAGACAAAACTCAAGCTTCCTGTTTCTAAAAGTTAGTTTCTAAGAAAATACGCAAAGTGCAACTCACAACATCTTTGTTAGTACTGAAATCCCTAGAAAATTTTAAATTTTTTTTTTAATTCCCAATAATGGGCATATGGTAGAGCATTCGTATACAATAACTGGACCACATTTCAGCCTTCATGTGACATCAGTACAGCTTATTTCTTCCTCAGTAATAACGAAGGGTAGATACAAAAAAACTACAAAGTCTCGTCACTATGCCAGAAACATCCACCTTATTAATATTTTGGATTTCCAACTAGGATTCTAGTTGAGACACAAACGAAACAGGACAGATATGTCTCCTGAGATAACCTTAGCAAAGGGAATAGCTACAATCCCACCACACACTTGCTCAAGAGTAAGCCCCACAGTGGCCAATGAGGCTTGCTCCCAAATATCTGTATATAGAGGAATGTACAGTGTTAAGGTGAGAACTGGAAAGTTCAACAGGACAACATGGAGGAATTGCATTCCTATGGTTCGGTACTAAACCTGAAATCTGGAGCTTATTGGAGAAGTCTAAGAATCTCACCTCTCTCAGTGCTAAATTTTGTGGCTGATTAAATACAAGGAACTCGTAGTTTTGCTTTAAGATACTGCACCCCATTTCACATGGCATTCTTTGGCGCTGGAACAAATGAGGTAGGTTTTAGGGTGGTTCTCTTTCTGTACACTATCTTGTCCCTGAGAGAGGGAGCTACATGGGTGTCCTGGCAAGATGAATTTCCAAGAAGGGGAGCTTTATGAAAAGCTCAGATTTCGTTACTACAGTCTCTCTTCCTTCACGCAGGTGCGACTGAAACACCCTGAATCTCCAAAGTTCCGTTGCTTATATCTGAACAATTATAAAGGTCTGGAGGCACGAACTAGGCTTGGTTTCTAAAAAGTAAATTCTTCCAGCGCATGCCTTCAAAACACAACATTCGGCCCAAGCTCCTTGCCTTTCCATGTGTATTGTAACAGAGAGCTATGTCTATATCTAGAGAGAGAGAAACAGAGCGCACAGACAAAAATATATCTTTTTATAAAGAACTGGGGAGCGGGGGGGAGAGAGGCTATGAGAGAAACACACGGTCAAATGGAAGCCCTCGCGCACCTTTCGAGAATAAGTGGCACCAAAGCTACGATCCAGAGATTTTGACAGATACCACTATCCCTCGAGGCTTCCCCCCCACACAATCACCCGCACACCCAGGCAGCACCTCCTCATGCTGCCTTGGAGGTAAAACTTCTAAATGTTTCCAAGTTTGGAGAGCAGCTTGCCCAGCAGTGAGGAGGGAAAGGAAGGCTGCTCCCAGAGGTCCCACATACAGGGAGGACATTTACCACCTGCGTCTTTGGACCCGTGTCCAAAGCCACCAAATAAAGAGAAGCTAAACATATTCATAACGCCTTGTGCATTTTCCTAAGCAGCTTCCTTTTGTGTTGTGGGGTTACTGCATTTTTCTTTTACAAAAAAATAACAATACATGCAAAACAGCGAATACCAATGAAGAAGAACCTGGGCTTCCCTCCCTGGCCCAGGGAATCCCATCCCACTTGCAAAAAAAAAGGCCAAAGCCTTTTGGAAACGACGACTCTTTTAACGCTGAACAGTATGTCAAATGCACTGAGGTATTAAAAAGAAAATAAACGAGAACAAGGAACAAGTTCTCTGCTGCAGCAGCATCTAAAAACAGGACCCCTTCACCGCCGCCATAAAACAAAACAACTCCCCACAGTATGGTCAGAACAACAAAATTAAAAATACCTAAAAACTACCGATTTTCTTTCTTTCTTCTTTTTAAAGATGAGAGTGTGTGCCTTTTTGGCAGAGTCTACAGGATTTGCTGCCCAAACCAGCTAGCGTGCACAAAACCATGAATGCCCCCACATCTGGGGGTGGGGTGGGGAGAAGTAGTAGTTTAATTTTATGCTGCACTGTGTATACTGTGGAGGTAAAAGGAACACAAATATAATGAGGTAGATAAAAGTACATTCATCTATAAAAAAAATTAAAGATGAGGTAGGTTTGAAACTAACGTTGCAATTTGTGTGTGTGTGTGTGTGTTTTCTTAAAAGGATTTTCCCTGAGACAGTTTTCTTCTTAAGTATAGATTAAAGACAGATCAGAAGACGAGTATGCGATTGTTTCCAAAGTCAACCACAACAATCATGCCATCTGGGGTGACTGTTATACCTGAAGGACGGTCCATCTGACCAAAGCCACTTCCCTGAGTGCCAAATTTGCATAAAAAGCTGCCATTCGGCTCAAATATCTGCACGCGGTGGTTCCTGGAATCTGCCACAATGATTCGGCCTTCCTGGTCCACGGCCACACCTTGCGGGCGCAGAAACTGGCCGTTGCTTGTGCCTTCGGAGCCAAGGAAGCGGGCCGACTGACAGTCGGGGTGTATGACCAGGAGACGGTGATTGTTGAAATCCGTCACGACCAGGTGGCCTTCGTGATTGAACGTCACTCCTCTCGGGGAATCAAAGTGCTTCCAGAGTGCCCCTTCAAAACCGTACTTGTTCAGGAACACTCCGTCAGGCCCAAAGAGCTGAACCCGATGGTTCCTCGTGTCGGACACCAGGATTTTGCCCTCGGAGTTCACTGCCACATCCCACGGGTAATTGAACTGCCCGTTCTTGGTTCCTTTCTCCCCGAACTTCAGAATGAACTGGCCGTCAAAGGTGAAGATCTGGATGCGATGATTGTCCTTGTCAGCCACGACAATCCGCCGCGAGGAGTCGGAGGCCACGCCGGCAGGCCTGTCAAACTGGCCGGGCCTGGAGCCCAAGGTGCCAAACTTGTGGTGGAAGGCGCCGCAAGGCTTAAAGACCTGGATGCGGTTGTTGCTGCGGTCGGCGACGATGATGTAGCCTTCCTTATCTACACTAACGCCCCAGGGGCGGCACAGCTTGCCCTCGCTATCCCCCTCGCTGGCAAAACAGAGCCCCGGAAGCCCGATGCCAACATAGCTGCGCCCTGACTTGACGGTGACTTTGAACGGGCTGTTTTCTATGTGCTGGTTGCACATCATGACCGAAATCAGGTGCTCCCCTTCCATCTGCGGCCTGTAATTGACGATGTAGGTTCCATTCTGCTGGTCGCTAATATCTGCCCCAAAGAGATTTCCATCCGGCCCCATGACCACGGCAGAGATCATGTCTCCCCCAGAAAGACGCGTCTCCCCGTCGTGGTCATAGCCAATCACTGTGAAAGAGGCCACTTTGCCCTGCAGTGCCCGCTTGAGACCTTCTCCAGTGGCTTTGGTCAGAGGAGCGAAGGCCCCGCTGCTGACAAACCCCATAGACTTGATGGCCATATACAATGCCTGATCAGGAGGAGTGAACATGACCCTGTCGTCCTCTTGGGGCTGCAGGAAGCCTCGGACGTTCTTCAGCTCCTGCACCTGAGCAAGCATCCGGTCGCGAGCCAGGAGGATATCCATGCTCCGACCTTCCTCAAGGACCTGCTGCACTGCGCTGATGGTGTTGTCCAACTTGTTTAGATTCTGACGCAGTTTCTCAACCTGCAGGTAGAGGGACTTGGCTTTCACTTGGCGGATTTTCTCCACCTAAAACGAAGGTAACACAGAGACACAATTTGTACGCTGTTTGAGAAGTATCTGACAAGTTTGTTAGAAAGCATGTCAAATTTCTGCTCAAATAGATCTAGGGCTGCTCTTTGGTCCAAGGCCAGGGCCTACCTTATTTTATTAATGTACTCCTCTGAGTCTCTGTCCTCCTCCATTATGGCAGCCACTTTCCCACCTTTGTGGGTTTTCATATTGCCTTTGGTCGTGTCGGTGTCTGAGGCCTCCTCTGAAGCCTCAAACAAAGCTCCATCTATTTCCTGAAGATCTAAACTTGCAGATTTACTTTTTGGTCCCCATATTCCTTGGATCATCACCTTACCTAGGCTGTATAAAACTTTTTGATTAGATATCAATAGGATCCACTCTGCTTAGATTTTGTCTTGGGGCGATTGGAGACACAGAATTATGCCGCCATTTTGTTTTCCAGCTAGCTATGCCCCCCGCCCAGACACAATTATGCATCCTTTGTCTCTAGGATATCATAAATGCTGTTGGCAGCTTGAGCTGTGTATTTAAGATGTTAAAGGAAAGAAGAATTCTGATGTGTTGACAAATGCACCTCGGTTAACAGAAATCATCTCTTTCTCTGCAATAACGGTAGGCATGATGATGAGGAAAATGTTTAGGGGGTTGCTGAATGTTTGTGGCATTCCCGCCTCCAGACACTCAAAAATATCTATATTGTCCCATTAAAACTACCCCCTCATGTAGATGTGAAAGCTCAGGTACTTGAGAGAAAAGGACGAGATGGGCACACTCTCAGATTACATTTATGCCTATTATGTGTAACATATTAGATGTTGCCCCAGTTAAGACGTAACATGTTAGATACGTTACCACAAAGATATACCTAGCACGCTGTGTATTTAGGGAAAGAGAAAGACATTTTAAAGTTGGGTTGGGGTAAAATTACTCTCCTACCTGCCTGAAGTCACTATAATCAGGAAAATCACCTATACACAGCCCAGGGGTGCCAACTATAGGGGGCTCTGAGCACCCACAAAAAGTTTGTTGTGGGTGCTCAGCCTCCTGAAGCACCAGAAGTCATATCTGAGGCCTCGAGACACGTCAGAGATGCTGTCTGTGAGGCCTTGCAAGACCTCAGAACCTGATGTCTGGTGCTACCAGAATTCAAGTTCTGAGGCAGGGGTGGCACGTGTGACATTGTGATGTCATGACGTCACACTCACTGGTCACCCATAACCTGGGGCCCAAGTAGATTCATTTGATACAGCCTAAAATGATAGCCCAAAATAAATTTTTAAAAAAATTTCAGCCCTGCTAGTTTTATTTACAAGCCACGCAAGGGGCTTAAAAGGAAAGTTAATTACACAGGGTTTCACACTCAAAGAACAGAGAAGTAGTTTGTCTGTGGCAAGAATACATGGCTTTGTAGCGTTCAGAATTTGCTGTAAAAACTAAAGTACATTTCACATTTTGGGGGCGGGCTATAGCTCTATATACTTCCCGTGTTTAACTTATCAAGGACTGGATGATAGCCAGTTTGGTCAAGCAGAGAATAGGCTGGTTCAGATGGAACATTAAAACCATAGTTTAGCTTTGCATGAATGAACCCAGCTTCTCCCAGGCCCTCTCCTCCTTCAGCACAGCCACACACAGTTCAGAAAGTTTCACTTCCATCTGAAATTAGCCACAACTTGCTGGGTCATCCAAACCTTAACAAATCAGAGTTGCATCTAAATTACTGTTAGTGGAAACAAGACAACGTCAAACTACGGTTTATGCCCCTGGCTGGTTTCCATGAACAGTTGAGATCAGTCAGACTTTGCCAAGATTTGGATGACAAGAGAGAAGTAGATCAGCTCATTCATCAGGGCAAGCCTAGCATCATTCCTGCAATACTAACCTATCTTTAATACAGGTGCAGGCAACATGGTGCACTTCCAGAAGTTGTTTCGGACTACAACTCCCATCAGCCCCAGCAAGCACCGGCAATGCTCAGGAACGATGGAACCTGTAGTCCAGCAATGTTGGCATGGCACCATAGTTTAGTGCTTTGTCTGAATTCAGCTACTCTTTCACCGAACTTTTTTTCTTGTTCCTTTTATAGAGGGGTAACCATAACACATGTTTATTGTGAAGACAAACAAGAGAACCAGCTGTTTAAACAAGACACAGATCAGCAGGGAATGCCCGGTCCCATTTGACAAGGGACAATAAAGTGTGCCATTGTGGTTCATGAACCAGATGGCATGCCCTGTGTCTTTTTTCTTTCTTTTTTACCTTCCATAGCAGCTCACACTCCCTTTCTTCTAGGGCCTTCTTGTGCCTAGATGTCACTGCTTTCACTTCAGATTGTACCATTTTTGCCTTCATCTCAACTTGTTCTGCTACAGCTTGGGCCTGCTCAATGCTGAGCTAAAAAGCAAGAGGGAGAGAAAGAAAAAAAATAACTTTTAAGTCAATGTGATTCAACAGTAGCACACGGTGGATTTCTCATGCAATACAACTCTTCTAGAACTGAAGCAGAAAGTGCCCAATACATCACCAATTCCCACAGCATGGGGCAAAAAGTTCAAGGTTAGTGTGTTCAAGACTTGACCAAGATAACCATCAGGTTTGTTAGTGGAAGAGGGAGGGAGCTTCTACCCATGACCGGGCCAGGCTAGCTCTCTCCAATTCAACACACACACACAGCAAGCAGCTACACACAATCCGTCAGCAAGAAGCTAGTAGAAAGCGCACTGTCAAAAACTGAAAGTCTCATTTCTATGGGATGTTTGTAGATTCTTCTTCGCTTTTCAAACTTTTTAAAAGGCGTTGTAGAAGGGCGGGGGGAGTACAAATAGGGCACCATTAGTCTAATTCAGTGGGTTTTTTAGACCTAGGCTTTAACATGTCTTTCAGCCCTCTATCTCCTGCTGTCATCCTCCTCACCCCCCTCCAACTCAATAGCAGCAAGCTGTTTAAAATTGAGAATTGGCTCTCCAATATTTCTTAGGGAACACCCCTAGCCCAATACTACATCAGCTTACAAGACCACCCTCATTTTGACAAATGGCAGGCTTCTTGATCTCCTGGACATAATGCACGTTTCCTTCCTTCATTTTCAGAAGTGATTTGAAAACCAGTAGAGAGGTTCAGGTGCCAGAATAGAGCTGGCGGAGAGACCTGGGTTCAAATCCCCACTCAGACATGAAACTCTCTCTGGGTGACCTTGGTCCAGTCATTACTTCTCAGCCTAGCCTACTTCACAGGGCTGTTGTGAGGATAAAAGAAAGAGAGGAGGACCATAAGCTCTTTGGTAGAAAAGACAGGATATAAACCATGGGTAGGCAAACTAAGGTCCGGGGGCTGGATCCGGCCAAATCGCCTTCTAAATCTGGCCCGTGGATGGTCCGGGAATCAGTTTGTGTTTACATGAGTAGAATGTGTCATTTTATTTAAAATGCATCTCTGGGTTATTTGTGGGGCATAGGAATTTGTTCATTATTTTTTTCAAAATATAGTCTGGCCCCCCACAAGGTCTGAGGGACAGTGGACTGGCCCACTGCTGGAAAAGTTTGCTGACCCCTTATATACCGTATTTTTTGCTCTATAAGACTCACTTTTTCCCTCCTAAAAAAGTAAGGGGAAATGTGTGTGCGTCTTATGGAGCGAATGCAGGCTGCGCAGCTATCCCAGAAGCCAGAACAGCAAGAGGGATTGCTGCTTTCACTGCGCAATGATCCCTCTTGCTGTTCTGGCTTCTGAGATTCAGAATATATTTTTTCTTGTTTTCCTCCTCCAAAAACTAGGTGCGTCTTGTGGTCTGGTGCGTCTTATGGAGCGAAAAATACGGTAAATGGTTGGTTGTCGTCCCCGTACCCCCAAGTAATAGCCATTACTCAGCAATGCTCCAAGTGCACTGAACAACTTAAGCAACAAAGAGAGCATGAGCTCAGTGCAATGTTTGCTTCCCGCTGCCCCCCGTCCAAAAGAGACAATAATAAAGCTATTATTATTATTGTTATTATTATTATTATTATTATTATTATTATTATTATTTATACTCCACCCATCTAGCTGGGTTTCCCCAGCCACTCTGGGTGGCTTACAGCACAGCAAGCAAACCATGTGCTTATATAGTGCATTCTTAAGTCAGGCATCTAATATTAACCTTATAAGAAGTGACTGGTGGTTTCAGGTTAATTAGGTACTAGCACTAATTTGAACATTCACACTCTAAGCCCGATGCCGCCTTCAGCAAAGATTATAATATTTGCATGCTCCTTCTTAGCAGCTTCAGGATCGGGAAAGTTAGCCCTAGTCACTTTACTACCAACCCCAGTGCTGAAGATGCAGCTACGCTGACATTTGTTCCTTTGATTATTATAAATTTAAGCTTTAGATTTACGAGCAACGCATGATTAACAAAGGTAGATAAGTAGAATTCACCTGAGGGGGAGAAAGGGTTGAAAACCTACAAGTTCATACCCTTGGGTCTTCTATTGTTTAAGGGGAGAATTTTTTCCAAAGAGAGTGATTTATTGGGGCAGCAACATATCTATTTACATTGAGATAGCTGTAGTTTTGCAACAAAAGAGAGAGATAAGATCTCTCCATGAAAACTTCCCAGTTGCAGAGAGTTGGCGCGTAAGCCTCCAGCAGCAGCATTCGGTGTGCTGTTTCCCCTTGCAGATGTTTCTTTACAAAAATGGAAATTCCGCATGTTCGTTTCATTTCTCTTATCCAGAGGGCCCATTGAGCAACTAAGCACTGGCCTTTGTGGCAAAAGTGAAGCAGAAAATGCACCGCCACCATTCCAAGGATCAAGGCTTTCTTTTAAAAGGCTCCATCAGGAGGAGAGTTATGGGGTTTTCCAAGAAGCCTTTTTCAGATCCCTTCCCCCTGAAGTCTCCTCATTGATATACAGCGACTAGCAAGCAGTGCTGCTGCTATAAGTACAAAGGCCACTTGCAACCAACGTGGCAGATCTCTTTCCCTCTAGCCCAGGCATGTCCAAAGTCCATTTCAGGGGCCTAATCCGGCCCCCGTGGCAGTAAAAAAGCTCAAAAACTTTGGGGTAAAATTGTAAAAAATGCTCAGCAACTTCAATCCTTAAAAAAGCTCACCCTCACACATGTTCACTTCATCAAATCTGGCCCTCTGAAAAAAGTTTGGGCACCCCTGCTCTAGCCTGTTTTTCAAATACAGTGGTACCTCGGGTTAAGTACTTCGTTCGTTCCGGAGGTCTGTTCTTAACCTGAAACTGTTCTTAACCTGAAGCACCACTTTAGCTAATGGGGCCTCCTCCTGCTGCTGCGCTGCCGCTGAACGATTTCTGTTCTCATCCTGAAGCAAAGTTCTTAACCCGAGGTAATATTTCTGGGTTAGCGAAGTCTGTAACCTGAAGCGTATGTAACCCAAGGTACCACTGTACAGACACCGTCATCTATACATGCAGCAAGAGGTTTTCTGTGCATACCACGTCAAGATGAAAAGCAAGAAGGCACATGTTTAAATGTTGCCTTGCACAGTAAATGAATGAATGAATGTGTCATAATAAAGGGCAGCTTCTAGGAGACGCGAAATAATGTTCAAAAACCATACAGAATTTGCTTAAAAACTATCAGCAATTTAGCAACAAATCAAACACATTAAATAGCAGCCTTCGCAGGAAAAGCAAAACCTTACCTACAGCACACCAACATGAGACTTCTTCTATCATATTCTATCAAATGTCTGGAAGAGGAGGAAATTCTTAACCTCACACTTGAAAAATGTCAAGTGTCGACACCCGTCTGGCTTCACTTTGGAGAGCGTTCCATGGGGAGTGGAGGACAAAACTTCTTGCATGTAGAAAGCTAGGCTGAACCATTCTCTTGGCATGCTAACCTTCTTCCTTGCATGCCTTACTTCTGCATGTAGGGTAGTGTTTAAACGTGTAAATCTTTACCTCCAGCCTGGCACAAACCCTGGTACAAATCATAGAATTATAGGTTGAAAGGACCCTGAGGATTATCTAAGTCCAGCTGCCTGCAGAGCAGGAATATGCAGCTGACCCATACGGGGATCAAACCTGCAACCTTGGCGTTATCAGCACCACACTCTAACAGGTTGAGCTATCCATCTGCTCCATGTATAAACCAAGTCATTGTGACTTAAGAGACATTAAAACACGCAGAGTTGGGGGCAAATCAGCCACAGATCAACCTCCAGGCCAGTTTTTATGTTTATTTCATGTTGAGGTTAGAGTTTGCCGATGGAATACAATGGGCTCGTTGCTCAAGTGAAAATAAAGCCTTAAAATAACTAGGAACTGACACAGTAGCTGCTGTCATAGCCTCTTCTGGATTGGGAATGCACAGATTCTTCTCTAACTGCCTACTTGCTGTCCCAGTTGAGCATTATGGGAATGCGCCATGGCAAACATTAGACTTATTCCTCCCCACTCCCTACTTCCTCAGTACTTGAGGGAAAGAAGTTGAAAACAACTGCTTCTTCAGTTTTGAATAAAGCACAGCACAGTTTCCTGTTATACTCAAACTTGGGAAACTCTGGTTTACTTTTAACTGTGGTTAGTTCAAGCAAAATAGTACCAAACCATAGTTTAACATAGGGATGCGGGTGGCGCTGTGGGTTAAACCACAGAGCCTAGGACTTGCCGATCAGAAGGTTGGCGGTTCGAATCCCTGCGACGGGGTGAGCTCCCGTTGCTCGGTCCCTGCTCCTGCCAACCTAGCAGTTCGAAAGCACGTCAAAGTACAAGTAGATAAATAGGTGCTGCTCTGGCGGGAAGATAAACGGTGTTTCCGTGCGCTGCTCTGGTTCGCCAGAAGCGGCTTAGTCATGCTGGCCCCATGACCCGGAAGCTGTATGCCGGCTCCCTCGGCTAATAAAGCTAGATGAGCGCCGCAACCCCAGAGTTGGTCACGACTGGACCTGATAGTCAGGGGTCCCTTTACCTTTACCTATAGTTTAGCATATCAGAACTTAGTATCAAGCTTAATTTATAAACATTTGAGGTTTCCCAAGTGATGCTACAATAATTTGCAACTAGGTTTCTGCAAGCTAATGCCATTCATTGTTTTAAACTATTCTTCTCTGAAAATGCAGCACCACAATTAAAGGAAAGGTCTTCTCTCCCTTACATTTAAAATAAAAAATGGAACCTTCACATCCCCATAACTTTTAAATCAGCAAAAAGCAATTTAAAAATGGATTCTTATGAGCTCTAGTGCCACCAGGTGGTGCTATTTAGTGAGAGTGCCTTTTCCTCGTGAAAAGTTTGAAATACAGTACTTGTACGTATCATTCCAAGTCATTTATAGTGCTTCTTTGAATACCAAAGATCCAGGAAATAATGCCCCTTGAATTCCAGATGGAAGAACCAGAGCAATACCACCCATATAAAGTAAGAAAGTGTTTCTGGAGAGGTGAGCTATACCTGTTTAACTAGTTTTGTGGCATCAGTTTATAGCAGAAAGAGGAGTGCCCAGAAACACTACTCCCCATACCTTGTAACATAATATAAAGCTTTGTGCCATTTTTTCAGATGGAAAAGAAGTTATGGCATACCAGACCTTGAGGCCTTAATCCTAATATTTATTTATTGTATTTATATTCAGCCCTTCTTCCCTAATAATTAGCCCAGTGGTTTTCAAGCAGTGTGACGTGGCACCCTGGGGTGCTTTGAAGGATGGTTGGGGTGCCCTGGGCAACACTGGCCTCTGGCCTTCATTCCTTCCCTCCCTCGTCTAATGCCTTCTCACGTCTCTTCCTCCCAATGGCTTGCACAGCTGCTTGCTGCAGCCCTGGCTACAAGCTCCGCAAGCGAAGGGTGCCTCTGGGGCTGGCCAGGGGGTGCTGGTTGCCAGGAGCTGAGGCGGCCTTGGAGTGAGTAAGCAAGCAAGCAAGGAAGCAAGCAAGCGGACGAGGGAGCCCAGCCAGCCAGTCCACCAGCCCTTGCTGTTGGGAATGAAGAAGAAAAAGAGTTTGGATTTGATATCCCACTTTATCACTACCTGAAGGAGTCTCAAAGCGGCTAACATTCTCCTTTTCCCTTCCTCCCCCACAACAAACACTCTGAGAGGTGAGTGGGGCTGAGAGACCTCAGAGAAGTGTGACTGGCCCAAGGTCACCCAGCAGCTGCATGTGGAGGAGCAGGGGAGCGAACCCGGTTCACCAGATTACGAGTCCACCCCTCTCAACCCCTACACCACTGGAATGGATAGACAAGTCCCAGGCCCCTGTGGGGCAGTGTGAGGAGGCACCTCTCTTTGGGGCAGGGGGGTGGCTCAGAGACCACAGGCTGCAGCAGAGAAGGGAAAGGAGGCTGTGGGAACACTCCACAAGGGAGGGTCTTCGAAAAAGAGTGAGAGGCTGCCAGCTCTGCAGGCAAGGGGTGAAGTAACTGGGCTCCTGAGCCCCTCAGGGGTGCCGCAGAAAGAATGCAGTTGGTCAAGGGAGCCGTGGACTCAAAAAGGCCAATAACCTCTGGATTAGACAACTATTACTTTCAGTTGATTATAGAAATTGGTCGCTGGGTGTTCAAGGAACAGCCACAATATATGCAGCCCGCCATGCAGCTTGTACAGTGGTACCTCTGGTTGCAAACGAGATCTGTTCCAGAGGCCCGTTCGCAACATGAAAAGAGAGCAACCCGCAGCGGCGCGCCTGTGCACATGTGGGTTGCGATTCGCCGCTTCTGCGCATGACGTCCTTTTGCGCTTCTGCGCATGTGCGAGTGGCAAAACCAGGAAGTAACCCTTTCCGGTACTTCCGGGTCGCCACAGGATGTAACCTGAAAGAACGTAACATGAAGCGGACGTAACATGAGGTATGACTGTACATTTACCTGAATGGCCTGGCGACCCTGTTGAGCATCGGCTAGTAGCTGGATGGTAAGAGTTCTGGAGTCCTGCAGAGCATCTTGGAGGTAGATAAAACTGTGGCCCACGTGACGTCCCATGCTGCACTCCCGGCAGATGGGGACAGAGCAAGTGTCACAGTAGAAGTGCAGGACCTGAAAGAGAGGTGGTCCAAGGAGACATGGGTGAAAAGCTAGCCCAGAAGTGGGTTTTAAAAACAATGGTTAGCAATGGTCACCTGTAAGATTAGTGAACAATCACAGGGGTTCCTCTGATGTCAACGATACGATGCCATCTAAGGCACTCAGATACAGAAACTCAGATATATACCGTATTTTCCGCCCTATAAGATGCACCAGACCACAAGACGCACCTAGTTTTTGGAGGAGGAAAACAAGAAAAAAAATATTCTGAATCTCAGAAGCCAGAACAGCAAGAGGGATCGCTGCGCAGTGAAAGCTTCTGTCTGGCTTCTGGGATAGCTGCGCAGCCTGCATTCGCCCCATAAGACGCGCACACATTTCCCCTTACTTTTTAGGAGGGAAAAAGTGAGTCCTATAGAGCAAAAAATACGGTAAGTTGATCGCCAAATGGCCCCTTAAACCTGGTCGCCACAATGTAATGTCCAGGTGCGCCCTTTCCTCCCTCTGCGGTGGGAATTGTTATTATTATTACTGATTTCATTTCTATACTGCTTTATATTTTAAAGGGGAAAAAACTCATAGCCATTTACAACACGATAAAGCTTCAAATATAACCATCTAGAATAAAATGAATTCAAACTTCAAACTGAAAATTCAAGCTAAAAACATTTCAGATCCTTCTCTGACATTTTGGTTCCCCCTGTTTATTTACCTACTTAATTCATAGAGCTGCCCCCCATAGGAGACGTACTGTAGGAAGCCAGTGTGGTGTAGTGGTTAGAGCAGGGGTCAGCAACCTAAAGGCCATGGGACAGAAGGTCATTTGACCGGCCCATGAGCTGCCCCCCCAGGACTGAGCTACTGGTGCAGCACAGCACGGGGACTTGCTTCCACGGCGCTGAAAATCGCGGGCACGTGCACGATCCAGCCCACAGAGGGATCCTCCGTGGGACTGATCCGACCCAGGCAAGATAAACTTTGCTGACCCCTGGGTTAGAGTGTCAGACTAGGACCTGGCAGATCAGGGTTCAAATCCCCACTCAGTCGTGAAGTGCATTGGGTGACCATGAGCCAGTCGCATCCTCTTAACCTACCTCACAGGATCATTGTAGGGATTAACTGGGGAGGGGGTGAACCATGTACTCCTTGGAGAAAAAGGTGGGATATAGATGCAATGAACGGGCTCTACAGAAAGCTGGAAGGGCCAGTCAGATGGAGATGTCTGTAGCCAACCTAGCATCCAGATATCTCCATGTGGTCTCAATTGGACCTGCACGAGTCACAAAACACGCCTGGAGAATTTCTTGCACTGCTGAGATGGTGTGTGTGTGTGTGTGTGTGTGTGTGTGTGTGTAAATGTAAAGGGACCCCTGACCATTTGGTCCAGTCGTGGCCGACTCTGGGGTTGTGGCGCTCATCTCGCTTTATTGGCCAAGGGAGACAGCGTTTGTCCGCAAACAGCTTCTGGGTCATGTGGCCAGCATAACTAAGCCGCTTCTGGCGAACCAGAGCAGTGCACGGAAACGCTGTTTACCTTCCCGCTGGAGTGGTACCTATTTATCTACTTGCACTTTGACATGCTTTCGAACTGCTAGGTTGGCAGGAGCAGGAACCAAGCAATGGGAGCTCACTTCATCATGGGGATTCGAACCGCTGATGTTCTGATCGGCAAGTCCTAGGCTCTGTGGTTTAACCCACAGAGCCACCCGCATCCCTTTGTGTGTGTGTAGATCCCCCCCAATTTTTAAAACATTTTCTTCAACTTCTTTAAAAACTTGCAATTCTGTCATTAAAGGGGCCTACAGTGAACTTTCTCAAAACAAAGCATCAAGAGGGTTAGTTGAATTGTCCATCAGTAAATCAGAAAGCTATTTTCACATTCCATCCAGCAGAGGGAAGTAACAAGAGACCCTGTGGCATGGTAGCAAACTTTTAACAATCCATTCAAGAGAAAATGGCAAAAGCCATTCCTAGCACCAGACCTGTTCCTATTGATTCTGCCTGGAAAACACCCTCTAAGAACTCAAGTCAGGTTGAATGCATAATCCCTGAACCTATATATCAGCTTCAAATTTACCACTTGGAAACACATGAAGTTCAAACAGCACAAATTACGTTCAAACAATGGGTAAGAGTCAATCAGCAAAAGGGATGGGCAAGTGATAACAGGATCAGACATTCCTGTGTGTCACTCTCAACATTTAAGTTCAAACAAATCCAGGTGGTCAAGATGGTTTCTTCAACACTACAGGGCCAAGAGGGATAATTTTATTTAGGGATTCATTCATCTTTATTTACACCCACTTTGCAGTCTAATCCCCATGCTTTCCCTAAATGCCTGGACCACAATCCTTTAAAATAAAAAAACTGTGAATATTTCTGTCTAAGAAATCTCTTGTTATGTACAGTACTATTCTTTTGGCAAAACATCTCTCAACAACAGGATTTATCATGGTGCTGCACGGAGTACAGAAAACCCCTCTTCTACTAGTTTTAAAGCAGTAAGAAAGCAAAAAACTCGAGGCAGGCCAACTAGTGAGTCACATGAATATCACAATTCGCCTGCTTGTTAAAAGTATCCTCCTTCCCCCCACCCCTTTCTACTCAAAGGGGCCATCTGAAGAGAAAATGGCGTCAATATGAGCAAGGGTTCAGCTTCAAGCTAAACCTACTATTAACCCTCTGAAACAGTTAATGCCAGAAGCAAAGCTAGGTCAAAGGCCAGAGAGCAGTCTTGTCATGTAGATCCAGATGCTACTTTCTGCAAGAATACAAGGCACAGTGTAGGAGTCATTCAGGCACACAAACCACAGAAGAAGAGAGGGGAAAGCAATCAAAACAATTAACAGATTTTATTTTAAGAAAGCCTCTAGTCCACTAGTATATCAAGAAATGCTAGCCCAGTAACAATAGTTCTCCAACGTTTTGTTCCATGTCAAACAGGTTCCTTTTTTTAAAAAAAAAGGCTTTGTATATAAAGAAAAATGTTTTTTAAAAGTCTTCAGTACGAAACTGGTTTTTCAAGTTAGCCTATGGAGACTGTGGCAGTCCTGAGCCTAGCTGCTGGAAGTGTCTCAAGCAATAATTCACAGTTTCTTTCTTTTCTCTCATCACAGAAGGTGGTAATGTGTCAGAATACTGCAGGAGTGCTGGGGTGGGGGAGAAGAATTGCCCCAAATTGGCAATTTACAGATTTTGGCGTTTACCAAATTGGCTCAAACACAAGTTTTGGAGCAGTAACTGCTTTGAGCGCTGCTCTCTCGCTCCAAACAAAGGCTACAATATACCACTCAACTGCTTGTTGGCGGGTGGTTTGAATGGAGTTTCTTTGCAAAGGTTGCATTTGTGCCTTTCCAAGGGAAACAAAAACAAAATTGCACCGACCGCCTTCTTCAAAAGGTCCCTAAGAGTGGTTGGAATACCATGCAACTTTCTGCTTCTGGCGCAAAAGTGCACGGCAACATTTGCCAACAAGTGCCCCAAACAAATATACATTCATTTGTCTATAAAGTTTCCAAATTCTACAGCAAAGAAAGAGGAATTGAAAGAGCACACTCAGAGGCATGTAATCACTCAAGCTGTGTGTACACACTTCAGTCTTGATCTTACATTAGCCGGTAAATGAAAATCTTTTTAGTGAGGGGAGAAAACAAATTAACTGATCCATTTCTCATTCCCTCATGGGCTTCCTCAGAATTCAACATACATTGTTTTACCCTCCTCCACCACCACCTACAAAGGGATGTGGGTGGCGCTGTGGGTTAAACTACAGAGCCTAGGACTTGCTGATCAGAAGGTCGGCGGTTCGAATCCCCTCGATGGGTTGAGCTCCCGTTGCTCGGTCCCTGCTCCTGCCAACCTAGCAGTTCGAAAGCACATCAAAGCGCAAGTAGATAAATAGGTACCGCTCCGGCGGGGAGGTAAATGGCGTTTCCGTGCACTGCTCTGGTTCGCCAGAAGCGGCTTAGTCATGCTGGCCAAATGACCTGGAAGCTGTATGCCGGCTCCCTCGGCCAATAAAGCAAGATGAGCACCGCAACCCCAGAGTCGGTCACGACTGGACCTAATGGTCAGGGGTCCCTTTGCCTTTTTACCACCACCTACACCAATAAGGTAGTGGGTAGGAGATCAGCCTCCCCACCCTTATTCCATGCAAATGCAACAGGAGCAAGATCAGCCCAAATCTTTCTTGCCTAAGGCTGGGGGGTCAATCCACCAGAGGTAACTAAAAACTCTACAACAGGGGTCAGCAAACTTTTTCAGCAGGGGGCTGGTCCACTGTCCCTAAGATCTTGTGGGGGGCCGGACTATATTTTGAAGGGGGGAAATGAACGAATTCCTATGCCCCACAAATAACCCAGAGATGCATCTTAAATAAAAGGACACATTCTACTCATGTAAAAACACACTGATTTCCGGACTGTCTGCAGGCCAGATTGAGAAGGAGATTGGGCCGGGCCTTAGTTTGCCTATCCACGCTCTACAATTATGAGCACAGACTCATGAAGCTCAGAGCATGCAAGGATTTAAGATGCCAGCTATATTTAACATGATAATATGAAACTAAGATGCCAGCTATATTTAACATGATAATATGAAAACTTTGGTAGATCTTCAATCTGCAGGAAATGATTTAACAAAATATACCATAAAATCGAAAGGGTACCTTTAGCAACTGCATTTCACTGGGCTCTTAACAGCTGGGTTTTCATCTTTCATAGATACCAATAGGAGCAGAGGCTGAAACAGGTTTAATTGACCATTACTCAAAGTGACCGGGGCCTATATTAATTATGTTTATGTGTGGAAATGCCAAGGCTTAATATGCCCTCAAGCATTATAAACACAAGTACCTCTCCATTCAAAGTCCACGGACACTCTTTTGGGAAGAAAAATTGTGTGTGTTGTCAGGAAGGGGACCCTGGTAAGATGGATACAAATTCATGAGGGTAAGAGTCAAGAGGAAGTAATATAATTCATATAAACAACAACAACCCCAAAACTTAAGGCAACATAATGAAGTTGGAACTTGGTGCAGAATTACAATTTTTGACCACAGGAATTTCAGATTATTTAAAAGTGTTAAGTGGAGGTTTCAAGGTGGCCTGCAACCCTCCACACTTCTCCTGGAGTTTTCATAGCTCAAGTGGGAGGGTTAGAAAGGTTGGAAGTTATGACAAAGCCATGTCATGCAGCGGACCTCAAGCACAGGTTGGGGTGGTGGGCAAAGAGAGGCCTGGGCTTGAGCTTTAAAAGGTAAATGGACCCCTGACCATTAGGTCCAGTTGTGACCAACTCTGGGGTTGCGGTGCTCATCTCGCTCTATAGGCCGAGGGAGCCAGCGTACAGTTTCCAGGTCATGTGGCCAGCATGACTAAGCCACTTCTGGCGAACCAGAGCAGCGCACGGAAACGCCGTTTACCTTCCCGCCAGAGTGGTACCTATTTATCTACTTGCACTTTGACGTGCTTTCAAACTGCTAGGTGGGCAGGAGCAGGGACCGAGCAACGGGAGCTCACCCCGTCGCGGGGATTCGAACCGCCAACCTTCTGATCGGCAAGTCCTAGGCTCTGTGGTTTAACCCACAGCGCCACCCGCATCCCTGGGCTTGAGCCTTAGTTTAGGATTAATAATAAAAATTAAAATGTTATAATTTTATTATTTGTGCTGCCGCCGCCCCCACCCCTACCTGCCCATCTGCCTGAGTTACATCTACACCAGTGTTATGGGTGGCGTCAAGTTACTTTGCATGGCAAAGTGCAGGGCTTAGGGCTCAGTCTATGTCAGTGTGGGCTCCATGACTTGCTGCTAGACCTGCAGAGTAAGCTGCGAGGACCATTCACCACTCATCCACCTTCACCCAGTGGCAAATGCCCAAATTAACATGGGAGAGGAAGGAAAGAGAAAGAGAAAGAGAAAGTGAAAGAGAAAGAGAAAGAGAAAGGAAGGAAGGGGCAGGACGGCAGGGTTTTGACAACTGTAATATGGCACGAAGTTTAGGAAATGGTTGTCCAACTTGCCACCCCTTCCCCCGAAGCAACAATCTCATCCGTTCCATATGCAGGGACAAAATGCCACCACACAATTGCACAATTTGGGGATCACGTTATGAGCCAAATCCTGACATGGCAGTGGCAGACCCGAGTGTCAGGATTGCTTCACCACTGCTGAATACTTCCAAAGCATGCATATGGTGTAGCACTTTAAAAGCATATGAATGGGTGGAACTGAACCAACCCCCAATCTCATACCTACCCACCCGCCTGAAATTTCATCACAATTACTGCCCTGCCCCAGGCTATTTTCTATCTAGCACAGTATCAAATGAAACCCTAAGAGGGGGTTGGGGGTTGGAGAGAGAGCAAGCTAAGGAGAAAACCATGGGGTGGTGTTGAAAGGCTCGGCTCCCCATCTTCTGGCACCTTAGTTTATTCTCCTCCCAAAACAGGAATTTAAGGTAACAAGGACTCAGTTGTGCTCCCCCAGCCGGGCACCCTCCAGATATAGTCAGGAACCAGAAGGCACCAGTCTGTTGTGTCTCTTATGTTTCTCTGTTGAGAATTATAATGTTTGATATCTATCATGCCACTGGAAAAAGTGGAGAACAAAACTCTCCAAGGTTTAGGAGCATTTGTAAAAGAGGCAGCTGAAGAGATTCTGGAGGCTCCATGAATCCAACACTTTCATGTATCTAGCTTTTGGCTTCCTCCAGCTTCGGCCGGCCTTGGACTTTCCCAGTCATGTATGCCCTGGTGACCTCTAGATTACTTAAATCAGGCATGTCCAAAGTCCGTTTCAGGGGCCTAATCCGACCCCCATAGCAGTATATGTCCTGGGGTAAAAGTGTAAAAAAAGCTCATCAACTTCAATCCTTTAAAAAGCTGAACAAGTTTTGGGTTAAATCCTTTAAAAAGTTCAACAACTTTGGGGTAAACTTCAATCCCAAAAAGCTTTGGGGTAAATTTGTAAAAAAAGTTCAACAACTTTGGTCGGCCCTCACGCATATTCACTTCATCAAATTTGGCCCTATTTGAAAAGGGTTTGGGCACCCCTGACTTAAATGCACTCTATGTGGGGCTGCCATTGAAGAGCATTGGGAACTTACAACAATGCAATAAGCCAGGGAGACCCTGTGTCTTATTCAGGCCAGTTTTGTGTGACATGCACCGGTTGCCAGTTCAGTTTCTGGGCTCAATTAAAAGTGTCGGTGTTAACCTTTAAAACTCTAAACGGCTTGGGACCTAAGGACTTGCTCAAAATAGTGAGGCACACTTAGCAGACACCAAGTGTAGGGCCTTTTCTGCAGTGACCCCGAACGCCTTACCAAGTGAGCTACGTCAGGCTTCTTCCCTACTGTTTTTGACAGCTATTGTTAAGAGTCGTAACTGTTCCAAAAGGCATCAGGCTGAATATTTCCTCATTTTGGTATGCTGTTATTTTACCTCTGCTGGCTCCTTTGCAATTGTCATTGTGGTCTTGGTTTTTACACTAACATTTTGTATTTATGATATGGTTCTCAACTGTGGATTGCTGCAATGGTTCTGAACTGTTAGCAACCTTGACTTCTGATGCACAGGTGGGATGTAAATTTTTTCAACAAACGAAGGTGGAATTCTATTTAAATATTACGTTGAGAACAAGAGAAAACTAGAGCATAAAACACAGAGCAGCACAAGTTTGAAAGCCTTTTTCGTTTTGTTTCTGGAACTGCAATATAGTTTTAAAATATTCCAAGATTATATAAGGCATATTCCAGAGGGATATCAACAGCTATGCTTGTTGATGGTTATTAAGCTAAATCAAGCTCAGTTATTAAGCTTTATCGGTATTCCAAACCAGCCATAATGAAGTTCTTTTGGGAACGTCTGAAAAAGCAACATGGCACTTTTACAGGGTACACAAGACACAAGGAAATTGGGAGGTGGAGAGAGAATGGTTAGGGGTGCTTAATAGCAGTTAGCATTCAAGAGAGGCACTGAATGCAAGTGAATTGATAATTTCCTTTTAAAAGGGAAACATTTCCTGATCACACACATTTTGAAAAATTTCAGTGCATGTACATGCACACACACACACACACACACACACACACAATCCCAAACCCAGACACACAACAGGAACCTTCCACAAGTTTCAGAAGCTGGCGAAGAACATCACAGGGCTATTCATCTTTTATAGGCACAGTGGGCCAAAGCGTATCAGAGCAAGGTCATAAACCTGATTGCTCTAGGAAAGGGCTTTACAGTGCACTGTAAAAAAATAAAAAATAAAACATTTTACAACACCAAGAATTCCTGGGTGTCATGCTTCCCCCTCCCCTTTTTTGGTCCATTTGTTTTCAAAGAGCACAGTGGAGGATGGGCAGGGATTCGGTTAAATGTCTCCTGGGATTCCATAGAAAACCAACCAACATCTGATGAATGGCTGCTAAAGTTAAACTCTGACCTGACCGGACAATTCCTACAACCAGCTCCCCTCCCCCCAACCCCTCTCTGTTGGTCCGTTCTCCAGTACGCCCCACCCACTGGCCTCCTCTCTCCCAAAAAGTTTCAAGTACCAGGCAGAGTTAACAAAAGCAAAGGAATGCGGGGTTCTCCCTGCCGCAGCTTCCAGTGAAAGCAGTGATGCAAAAGGGGCTTAGGTTCTCTGGGGAGTCGACGGCGACTTGGCTTGCAGCTTATGCTCATCACCCTTTGCCTAGTTATTCAGGTATGGATCCGGGAGAGAACGTGTTTGACCAGTGACCATTAATGCCACCTGTGGGCATGACCCTAAAATGGAGCATTGTGGGGGAGGGTCTCGTAACTGTAAAGACGGAAGGGACACCCAGGGTCATCTAGTCTAACCCGCTGGCAGGGCGCAATGGGTGGAGAGTGGAGAAGCTTAGTACACACGCTCTGATTATTTGCTCGTCATCATGCAGCTCAGTGTCCTGCTCTGCTCCAACATCTGAGGGGGCGCAGGGGGTGCTGTGGTCTAAACCACCGAGCCTCTTGGGCTTGCAGATCAGAAGGTGGGCGGTTCGAATCTCCGCAATGGAGTGAGCTCCCATTGCTCAGTCCCAGCTCCTGCCAACCTAACAGTTCGAAAGCATGCCAGTGCAAGTAGATAAATAGCTACTGCTGTGGTGGGAAGGTAAACGGCGTTTCCGTGAGCTCTGGCTTCCGTCACGGTGTTCCACTGCACCAGAAACGGTTTAGTTATTATGTTGGCCACATCACCTGGAAAGCGGTCTGTGGACAAATGCCAGCTCCCTCGGTCTGTAAAGTGAGATGAGCACTGCACCCCAAAGTTGAATTCAACAGGAATTAACCGTCCAGGCGTCCTTTACATTTACCTTACCAACATTTGCAAACTTGAGAAACTTGTTGCCAACAAACAGCAGAGTGGAACCTATTCTACGGGCTACAATAAAGGGCTTCTTTCAAATCTAATTTCAGCAGCAGGAAGGGACCCCATTGATGCCACTGAATACTTTTTTGGGTGCATGTGGAGTTGCAGACACCACATTAGAAACCTCATTTTGGGGATTTAAGGGGGAAAGAATTTAGTCTTATAAAACTCAGTACTCTTACCTTGCCTACAATACTGATATCCAGGTAATCATAAACCTGCCTGAGATTTACAGGTAAAGGGTGGTATACAAATTTAATCAATTAATTAATAATATTTCTCCACCAACACATGATCCCTCCCAGGGAGCTTCTATTACTGAAATGGAAGAAGACATATTGGCAAAAAAATTAAAACATTAAAACACCAGAATTGTGGTCAGTTTTTGTGAGCATAAAATGGTTTCATAAGCTGTTTTTTGACATACAAGAGTATTAGCTTTCTTAGGGAACTGTATTCCTTGTTTATTCTTTTTCTGTGTATGCAGAAGTGATCTTTCCTACCCTTGAGTTGGGCGCAGAGGCTTCTCCTCCCAGGCCCTCAGCTCAAGCAATTTTATTCTCGAGTCTCAGTCACCATACATGGCGACAAGACTTCTCAGAGTGCTCACATTCTGGCTAATTTTGAATGCTGCTTCGAATGATGGGTTTGAGGTATAACTGGATTGCTCTTATGCAGAAAAAAAGCTCAGCCTTTTAGAAACTACAAAATTAAGTGAGTAAGGTGCTAATTATAAAGAGAATTCCCAGCCTTTCCCTACCTGACAGAATACCTCAATGTTAGGGCTCACGTTATATATGCCAAGGGGCAAGAAGAATGTGAGTTGAGATAGCTTAGTTGGTAGAGTATGTGACTCTTAATCTCAGGGTTGTGGGTTCGAGCCTAATGTTGGGCAAAAGATCCCTGAATTGCAGGGGTTGGACTAGATGACCCTTGTGTTCCCTTCTAACTCTACAATTCTATGTAGGCATGCCTTGCAAAAATCAAAAGCTTGGCCAGGGCAGATCTTCATGTATATAATGTACATTCATGTCCCAGTATCAAAAGCTCATTGTACAAAAATTCACTTATCCAAACATGAGGAATTAGTACCCAAACCTCACTATGCACACCACAGATTCAAATATCCAATAGCCAGGCCTGCATGTAGTACTGTAAATAAAGGCCTTAAACGAGCCTTTGCGTTTTGCTGGTGCACAGCAGCTGTTTCACCAGAAACCATGGTGGAAGGAAGGGGGAGAAATCAGACCAATATAATCAAGCTGGTTTACATTTGACCATTTATCACTGGTAAGCCTCACTTCAACAGTTAATGTTAAATTATATTCAGACAGAAAACTGCCTCTGTCCTAATGAATGGTTTCAGGGTTAAGCTCCCATGCTCCCAGGACTGCCATGTTTCTCAGATAGTCACTCTGGTAATGGTCATGGCGGAAATACAGTCCTTGTTGGCAGGCAATTAATTGATTCTTAAGGCTCGCATTTTGAAACTGGCCAAGGACTGAAAATCTGGCAACATGGGGTCTGCCCAATGACTCATTTCTCACACCACCTAAGGCTCAGGCAAAAGACTCTTCCAATATCTTGTCCTTCTCAAGAGGAACCATAAACAAAAGGCCTTGGGCAGAGTTCTCTCCTTAGACATCTGGAGAACCAATTCCTAGGAACAGAGCTAAGGCACATAGTATGGGAAGAACTCTCTCAAAAGCTCTGCTTCCAATTCACACCTTTTGCATGTCAGCTCACATTGGAAAAAGCTGTTCAGATGCGCTATAAAACATGCAGATTTTTTGGCACGTGTGTTTTCCTGCATGCATGCAAGTGCTCATCTTCTATGCTGCGCACTCTATAGAGACAGACAAGTGTACTTTTGATGCTTCCACTGGCTCCAGCAGAGTCATCAGTCTTAAGTTTAATTCTGTCTTGCGGTCAAGACAAGTCAATTATTAACAAAACACAACTACCTGTACTTGAAAATTGTCCTCTCTAGAGTGGAAGCCACACATTATTAGCATAAGCATGCATTCATAGAAGTGTACTTTCAGTATTTTCTAGCAAGGATCTTGCTCTGGATATATATAACTTGACTTCATTCAGCAGAAGATAAGCCATCTAATAATTAATTAGCAAGGGAGAAGCAATACACATATTTCTTCTCAAAATAACTGTTGCATATCCATCCAGCACAACATACACTGCTATAGCAGCAGAATAATTAAAGAGATTAACGTTAAAGCGAGTGTGTGTTAAAGGACCAAACATCTTACGCACGCACAATGTGGGAGATCAGGTAACCACTGCTTGAATTCTATGCTACACTAGCAGACAAAAAACTAGGTTAAGCACCTTCTGTTACAGGGGGTCAGAAGAACTTGCAGGCGACTTAGATATACGGCTTTATAAAAACTTTATTTTTCCTAATTTGCAATTCGAGACCATTTTACAGTGGACATACCATTATATACTCTTTAGAACAAATAATTCAACACTAGCAAAAGGCAGATTTGCTTTTATTTGTGCATTCTTTTGTCTGGGCACACAATGTGTTTTCCGTCTAGCAAAATATTATCACAACACTCAGGTTGTGTGTACAATTAGAAATATGCAAAATGAGGATTCAATTATTTTATTAACAGAATTCAGCAGGGAAGAACATTTCACTGTTTCGGTAACCGTGATGAGTATTTCCCTCCAACATGCAAAACCATTTTAAGTATGGCATGCTTTTTAGTTCTACTGTCCATAGCTTTGGGAGTACAATAGACTTTGACTCAAGTTATTTTTCTTTCCTTATGGAAAAAAGCTTAACATGGCTTAGAGCCCTGTCTCCACCTATATTTTAAGATACACTTTCCCTCCCCAACCCACCTCACTGGGTGGCAGCACCTTTGTGATCCTAAATCATTCAAAGACTCACTCTGTGAAAACCAACTCCAAATATTCTCCCACTTTTGTTTCATCGACCCTTTAGAAGTGTCTGGTGTAATAACTGAGGCTAACAGACTTGAGAGTCATGTGTACTCCCTTTCCAGTTCCTGTGCAAATCATCCTCTCCCTACAACCCCTAGTTTGTATTAATCATGTTGCACTACAGTGGTGCCCCGCAAGACGAATGCCTCGCCAGACGAAAAACTCGCTAGACGAAAGGGTTTATCGTTTTTTGAGCTGCTTCGCAAGACGATTTTCCCTATGGGCTTGCTTCGCAAGATGGAAACGTCTTGCAAGTTTGTTTCCTTTTTCTTAACACCGTTAATACAGTTGCGACTTGACTTCGAGGAGCAACTCATAGAACACGGTGTGGTAGCCTTTTTTGAGGTTTTTAAAGACTTTGGTGATTTTTGAAGCTTTTCCAAAACTTTCCCGACACCGTGCTTCGCAAGATGAAAAAAATCGCAAGACGACAAAACTCGCGGAACGAATTAATTTCGTCTTGCGAGGCACCACTGTATTCGGTCAATACAACAAATCTAGCTTGTGGAGAATGTCAACAAGGGAAGGAAGAAGGATAGATTTGTATAGAAGAAAGAAGGGAGCATTTGAACCATGGGCCTTTCCCACAGCTTTAGAAAGCAGAGTCCAGAGTCCTTCTTCCTCCTTGGTTCCAAACAAATAAGCTTTGCTTGATTTGCAAAACCTAGAGGATGTAGTAATGTGAAAGATTTTCCATTTTAGAAATGGCTCCCATATAGCGGAAGTCACAGACAACACCGAAAAATTATGATATTAAATTATAATGAAGTAGAAGCGAAGTTACTTCTCAGTAAATGTGTTCTCACCATAAAATACACTAACTTTCTTCACTCTACTTATTCTCTTATCGCCGATTTCACACATCGGTGTTAGAAATTCAGATACTGTATAAAAGACAGGCACCAAATGGCTCCTTAAACAAAGGTTACAGTCGCCAAAACAGAAAGTCTAGTTGCCATTTTGGGGCAAGACGGCTCTAACGTCTTATTTTTCAAGTGATGCACTGACCGTGATGGATTATCTGGCTAGTTCAGATGGCAACCTTGAGCTAGGTTAATAACTTTTGAGAACTTAAAGAAGAAAAGTCAGTTGGTATGTGGAAGACAGTCCACGTATGTACTGGCCTATTCCTACCTGTTTCTTAATGGTGACATGGACCATTTACAACGGTAAGAATATGTTTCACAACTGTGAGCAGGGCAGTGGGGTGGAGTAAGTGAAGACAAGCTACAACTATTAGCTGTAACGTTCACTGCTCCTGCTCAGGCTGCAAAGAAAAAGTAATTTGGTTGCTGAGATTCATTCTGGTCGTGCAGATAAAATATAACTCATAGAATTCTACAGAACGTGATATTAGTGTGTGAAAACCAGGGTTCAAAATTAGCGCATTTTGCGCCTAAAGATTCTCCATTTGCGAGCACGTCAAAAAGGTCTGTGTGCCATTTCTTGCAGCTGGCTGACACTCAAGGATTACTGAAATGTATGTGCTTTGAAGCCTCAACGAATATGTTAAGGATAAGCAATATGTTAAAGGCTTATACAATAAAGAGTAGAATGTTTTGAAAACTGAAGCATGGTACCACTATTTTCATTGCAAACACCAAACTAAACACGTATTAACAATTTCTGCTAAAAATGCATGCAGCTCCAGATGATGGAGATGTCTGACATCATCCTGCTGCCCAGGCATCTTTATTTGGTCGCAAGAGGCAGGTAGCCAGGTGCAAAATACGCCTGGCTAATTTCAAACACCGTTCACACATTAATCTCAACATTTCTAGTAATTTTCCCTTCGGACAAACAAACCAAATCCAGAATCACCTTAGCGGTGAGGTAGTATCATAGCTGTCAACGTTTCCCTTTTTAAAAGAGAAATTCCCTTATTCCGAATAGGATTCCTCGCAAGAAAAGGGAAAAGTTGACAGCATCTTTTAAACGGGATACGACTGCATGCTGACTAACACTAAGGTCTTCACACTTTAAAATATCATGGCAATAATGTAACCAACTTCTGCAACTAACTAGTGCTAATGCAAACTAATGCAAGTAAAGGAACTGTGATTTAAATTACAGTCTTCTTTTACTAAAGTTACTAAGTGTTTTCATTTCTCCTGGTCTCATCACACTGCGGAGAATTGCAGAAGAGTTCTGTGCCTCCAGTAAGGTCTTCTCATAAGATACAAACTAATCTTGGAGGGGAGTTTTAGAAGTGCTTTGCCATGCAGCAGAAGGGGTTGTTAACTAGATATAATTTTTATTTTTTATTTTTATTTATTTCTTTACGTCACAAGATATATACACCATTTGACTGTAATAAAACCTCAAAGCAGAAAGAAAGAAAGAAACCTTTTACACAAGGTATGGGCATAAGGTATTCTTCCATACCTTTTCTTTACCAGTGTGGAACAAAAACGAAACACCTTGAAAGAGTCCTGAGGCACACCTCAACTACCAATCCCTGTACGTATAGCTAAGGCATACATAGGTCAACTCTGCCCAAACGCTCTGTGTTTCTGCTCCACACGCATTCACCATGTCAGATGGAAAAAGCTGTTCAGATGCACTATGAAACAGGTAGCCTCTGACATGTACGTTTCTGGCAAGCATTCTTGTGCAGAGTGCGTTCCCCACAGTACAGTGGTACCTCTGGTTACGTACTTAATTCTTTCCGGAGGTTTGTTCTTAACCTGAGGTACCACTTTAGCTAATGGGGCCTCCCGCTGCCGCCGCATGATTTCTGTTCTTATCCTGAGGTAAAGTTCTTAACCCGAGGTACTATTTCTGGGCTAGCAGAGTCTGTAACCTGAAGCGTCTGTAACCCAAGGTACCACTGTATTGTGCAACTGTAGCCTCCCCCTCCCTCCCTCACACACAACAGAATTACCGTATTTTTTGCTCTATAAGACTCACTTTTTCCCTCCTAAAAAGTAAGGGGAAATGTGTGTGCGTCTTATGGGGCGAACGCAGGCTGCGCAGCTATCCCAGAAGCCAGAACAGCAAGAGGGATTGCTGCTTTCACTGTGCAGCGATCCCTCTTGCTGTTCTGGCTTCTGAGATTCAGCATAATTTTTTTCTTGTTTTCCTCCTCCAAAAACTAGGTGCGTCTTGTGGTCTGGTGCGTCTTATGGAGCAAAAAATACGGTAATTCAGCAGCAGGCATTACAGAATAAGAGTACAACTACCTCACAAAATAAAGCTCCAATGCCTTCATCTTTTCTTTTCTTTTTTAAAGAGGAAAGGAAAGAACTGGCCCTGCCTCCATCGACATACTGTACTTTTCTGTCTATATAAGATGCCCCCCATGTATTAAATTCAAATTTAAGAAAATGGGGGGGGGGAGAGAGATGGCACAGAGTTGTTGAGCTTTTTTTTAGGGGGGATTGCCGAATATCGCTCACCCACACACATCACTAAATCCGCCTTCTGTCTGCCCCATCACCAGCAGAAGCTGCCAATCGCCCGCCCAGCTGCCGGAATGTCAGCCAATCAACACCACCCATTGATGCAGCAACCAATAACATGCACAACACAGCAGCAACCAATCAAACGTCCACCCTATGCACTACCCATGTATAAGAACGACCCCCAATTTTTAGCATGATTTTTTTTAAAAAAAAACATAGCCTTATACATGGAAAAGCATGGTAAACTGCAACCAGAGTACACAAACATTGTGACAATCCACATTAACTGTATATTCTGATTTCCCCCCACTCATTTCCCCTCCATTTACACTTAACAAAATATGTAATGTTGCCACAACTCTTCTTTATGCATGTTGTAGAAAATCTCTCTCTCTCTCTCTCTCTTACACCCCCCCCGCCCGAATATATATCTTCCTCAGCAATCTTCTTCCTAACACACACACTTACGAATTCAGGAGCAGGTTCCCTCCTCTATAGTTTATTTCTACAGCCACTGAATTACAACATATATAAAGTCACAATTCTTCCATCCAGCCTTACGGGTCAGAAGTCCAGTAAAAATCAAATTCAAACGATAACCAGTATCTCCCACACAACATTTTCAAGTGAAATAGCCTTGCTCTGGCATGGAGCAAATGGGATTCTCTGCATCAGCAAAGTCCCACTCGATACGATTATTGCCCCCAAGATGATCCGTTTTTTGACATTTCATATCCCCCTATGGTGGCAAGCGGTCTTGCTCCCATTAAGATCTTGCCTGCAATTACGTATTAAGTAAGTGTCCCAAATGTCACATACCCAAGCAAAACAATCACGCCTAAGCACATGCTTACCCGGAGGCTTTCAGTACAGTAGTCAAGATGTCTATAATATGCACAACCTCCAAGTTGGGATGCAGCTTGCCTTAAAATTAACAGCTGCTGGGAACAGAGAGGGAGAGGGGCTGCTACTGCCCTTGTATCCCGCATGTGGGCTTTCCATTTGTATATAGTTGGCCACTGTGTGGAACAGAATGCTAGACTGGCCTTTGGGCTGATCCTGCAAGGCTCACTTGTGTGGTTTTGAGCTAAAAAGAGAATTTTCCTTCTTACACCTACCTAGCTACACACATCTCCATGTCTGGTTTTCTGTGCCCTTTGAATTTCCATCCCTTCAGCAGCTAGATTAACAAATATTCATTCTCTCTCTCTCTCTCTCTCTCTCTATATATATATTCAAAGTTACTTATAGAGTGGAAAGCAGCACATTCTCATCTCCGAAGACCAATGTTCAAAACTCCCATTCTTCTGGGCACATTATGCGACAGGGAATTTCATAGGCGCGAACCTTTTCTGAGCTTTGGGTACAGAACTGCACCTAAGATTTCGGGTTAAAACTGCAGAGTGGAAGGGAAGGAGGGCCTTTTTCTGCCCACTTCCAGCTACTCTCTGAAGACTGGAGAAGAGACCCTCTTAAGAATATTAGAGGGGTGGGCAGGGGAAGGACTAGACCATGTGAAAAACGAACATAATGTTTTAGCTGCAGTTCATTCATTTTCAGCTTTGTATTCTTGTCATATTTAAAAAGCACCTAGACATTCCGTTGTTGCGCCCATAAACTTGGTTTAAGGTCCCATTTAGCGCCTAGCTTTTTGTATCTCTATTTCTAACACTGCTAAAAGCTAAGCTTCCCTTAGTTTAGGGGGAACTAAGCAGTAATAAAAGCATCTAATTTGCATTTATCACTCAGAATTTAGGGAGGGAAATTCATAAGTGGGTGGTATCCATATTTTAATTTAAAATAACTGTGCCTTTTTTTTTTTTTACTTTTGTCCTGCTTCATTGATAATTTAGTTATGTGATCAGCAGAAGGTAAAGAATACCAGTAATATAGAGTTTTATATACAATAACACTATGATGGGTAGCTTCTTTTTGATGTTCTACCTTGGGAGTCTTCTGGAATTGTGTCCGAGGAAGGGGCATGGTGCTACATGTGTTAGCCCCACCCGTGCACAATCTGGGTCTATGTCTTCAGGTGTTCCATCGCAATGTGGGAAATTTTGGGGTGGAGGAACTGGGCTGGCACACACAGTGCCTAAATAGGGCTTAAGGAAGAGGTAAAAGGTAAAGGGACCCCTGGATAGTTAAGTCCAGTCAAAGGCGACTATGGGGTTACGGCACTCATCTCACTTTCAGGCAGAGGGAGCAGGCCTTTGTCCACAGGAGCTTTCCGGGTCATGTGGCTAGCATGACTAAACCACGACAGAACACCGTGACAGAAACCAAAGCGCACAGGAAACGCCATTTACCTTCCCACCACAGTGGTACCTATTTATCTACTTGCACTGGCATGCTTTCAAATTGTTAGGTTGGCAGGAGCTGAGACAGCAATAGGAGCTCACCCGTTGAGGGATTCGAACCACCGACCTTCTGATCAGCAAGCACCAGAGGCTTAGTGGTTTAGACCACAGAATCAGGACATTTTGAGGATATGTTCTGGCTTGCTAGTAACCTTAGACCTTTGTTGCTGTGGCGGTGAACATTGTGTGTATAAAGTGCCACGATTCTCTCTCAGATAGCAAGTGGTCTGGAAAAGCCCGACACAGCATATTTCTGAAGATAAGCTGGTGTGGAGCCCTTTTGACTGCCCAAGGTAGGAATCTGGATAATAAGTAATTTGAACAATGCCAGCAAGCTAAGGAAACAGTCGGCAAAAGAGGGTGGATGAATTTGGGAGATGTGATAGTGCAAGATCAATGAAGATATTCTAAGGAAAGTAGTGTCTGTAACTTTCATATGAGTGGCGCACACGCCATACATTTACATCACAAGTTGTCATCATCATCCCCAGAGTATCATAGGAACTGTAGTTTGTTAAGGCTGTATAGCACCGTAGCTCTGTGAGAGGCAAACTACAGTTCCCAGGATTATTTGGAGGTGCATACAGTGTGTATGAAGTCAAGCTGGCTGGCAGGAGCTGCTGAAATCTGCCCCTTATGGTGAGTGTCTGAGCTGTAATACCTTTGCAGTTAGGAATCCTTCAAACTCGACTACTGAATCCTTCTATGCAGGAAAGAATTTAAAGAACTTCCTTTCCTGGCTGACCCTTGCCTGAGCAACCAAGTCCTCTCCAGCTCTTGCATGCTCCTGCACCGTCGTTTCCAACCTCTTCCCCCTTGATTCTGGCTTTTGGTTTGTCCTTTGATCCTAAGGGGCTCTTTGGTCTTGGCTCCCCACAGCTGCTGCCCACAACCCAGTCCCCAATGCTGTGTGACCCATAACTGCAGAAAGACAGAGCCACAATAACGTCCATTTATCTCTTACTCTTCTTCATTCATTAATCAGAGCAGCAAGGTGCTGACATAATACACAAATTACAAATGAATGCAATCCAAGGCACCATTCAAAACACAGAGATACAATTAAGAACGAAGCTCAATAAGTTTAATCTTAGGCTGAAAGATAGGGATTGGCCCAATCTTCCTACCTTATGTGTTTGTCGTGAACTGGGGGAAATTTTGTACACAACCACCGTGGGATGAAAGTGTAATAACTAACATTTTATTCAGTAGAAAACCTCTCTCTCACTTTCCTTGAAGAGCTTCTATTTGAAAGTGAAGTGATTTGTTGGAAAATTTAAAATGGGAAATGTGGACGATTTGGTTGCAAGTTTCATCCTGCCCGGAAGAAAACACTTAAAATCTCAAAATTAAATTTAAAAAAACCCAGATTGCCTAGGAGCACCCGATGTCTGTGATCATCAGGTCAAGACTGCCTAGTCATGAGTTTTGTATATTGCATCAAGCTTGTGTGTTTATTATTGCTATCTATTCATCCCTAGTGAACAAAAACACAGAACACCCAATCTGTTTGTCCCTTTCAAGTTTAAAGGTTTTTCTGGCATGGGGTGGGGCATCTTTAATTTAGTAACAAGCCTCGAGGTGCAAGATACATCTGGAAAGAAACAAAAGCCCAGGGCCCAGCAGTACTGGGAAATTAAAACATTGGGTCATATTCAAACGGACTAGGAAGTCAAAGGTCAAGGCAGCATTAAATCATTAGTTTCCCAGCTGCCACCATGGCGTGGTGTTGACCTTTGATTTTGCAAGAAGTGGCCCATGCAATTTTCTGGTGGCAATCTGGCAAGAGTTGAATTTTCTACTCACACCATAGCACTTCCTGCTGTGGAGTAACAATTAAAGCATCCAAAAACATGCAAGCACCAGCAATTCCAAGAGGATTAAATTAAATTTGTTAACTTTTGAATTTGTCAATAAAATATATTGATAATTATGTTATCGCTGGTATGCTGGAGCTTTTACAAAACACACACAGCTGAATTTGCTGGTAGACCACTGGAATTGTGGAAGCGGGGCATCACTGCTAGTTCAGCAGCAAGAGACATTTGAGTTCTGAAGCTATGAACTTCATATGTTGAGTTCCACTTTGTACAATATATGAACTATACGCAGCAGGTTGCCTGAACTGAGCTCAAAATAGATCAAGCTAGAATACTGTTAAACATTTCTCCCCTCTTACTAAGATAAAGCTTTTCAAATGGAAAATAATATCATGTGCAAGATTTCTTTAAAATCATGCTAGACTGAAACAATTTTCGAAGAGTTTAATCCCTCGGTTTCTTGCTAAACAGCAATGTTGCTTTACCAGCTTTGCCTCTTATCAATAGCGACAGGCAGCCTATCTTGGTGTCAACAGAGCAAAAACGCAATTTTTAAAATATTGAGATGTTTCAGATGAGAATTATTCAACGTTGAAATTTAAGGGAAGCATCCTCCGAGAAGCAACTCAAACATTTGGGATGCAAAAGGTAAGGCAGAGTGGCCAAAAAGTACTTCGCTACAAATATCTGAGGTAGACAATGAAGGGTCTTAAATAATTTCTCCAGTTCTCTCCACAAAGGGAAAGCAGGCAGCAAGCCGGAGTACTAAACAACAATGATCAATGCAACAGCTAGAAAAGGGAGCAGAAGGTCAAAGGAAATGATTAATTCTGTGTAGATCATCAACAGGATGGGTCCTGGACTGGCTCACAACACCCAACTACCCTAATAAGTGCATCTGTTGACCGTCTTGGGAATACAAGACTGTGTTAGAGAGGACAACCCCCCCTCCCAAACTATACTCACTCACGAGGGCCAGGTCCCATTTTGTTTCAGTAAGTAAAAAGTAAAATATTCCAGGATTGGGTCTTACAATTTAACCAACACCGGTACTCATTCGTTATAATAATTCTTGAACTCATGGAGCCCATCATTATCCTATTTGCTCTCTCATTTTACACATATCTTATTGCCCTCCTGAACGTCTAACGTTAGAATAACATGCCCTTGCTTTTCACAGCTTCTTGTTTGAATATCCATTGCTGAGAGGAGAGTCAGACTGTGCTGGCCCTGAAAGTTCCATTTTATTTAGGTTTCTAATGTTGGGTGTGGTCCCTCTTCTGTTGCCCATTTTCTTAGAGATGGACATATACTGTTTAGCTATATGCTGTGATTATTGTACGTTGTTGGTTTTCGGAGTGGGGAGATTTAAAAAGCACACACAACTGGATCAAGCTAAGAATGTCACCTGACTTCTCCAAACAAGTTTCTCTGCTAATGTAATGAAGCATAATCTTGAATACCAATAGCCTATGTTATATGCCCATAAGATCTCTCTAGTCTAGTATCTAGCAATTCTTAACCTAGCTTCAGATAACATGAATGCAATTTTTAGCACAAAGATCTGCAGCTTTCCAAAACACACTTTTTGGGGGACAAATCTAAAGTCAGATTTATCGCTTTTGGTTTATCAGCACTCATTCCTCATTAAAGCAAAACACCTATGTTCTACTTGTAACCACTACTTCCACAGTGTGGTCAAATTTGCTTATGATTTAGCCTCGGTATGGCTCTGCTGTAACTAAAGGTATCTTGACCCACAGCAACTCTTAGCTAATAATGGTTTGCCTAGCAACGAACCCTACTAGGGGGGAAAAAATAGATGTATAAACTAAGAACTGCTAGAGGTAAAAAAAAAGAGGGGGAGAGGACAAATTACTTTTTGGTTGGTTATGTTCTGCATTATTAACATAAACAATGAAATCATACCAATCTCCACCTGCCCCCTGGACTTATAAATGCCTGTGGATAATAATAATAATAATAATAATAATAATAATAATAATAATAATAATGTAGAAATACATGCAGAGCTTCATGAACTAAGGTTTGCTGGAAATGCTGCTCATCTCCCTGGAAAATAAGGGATAATCCATGTCATAGCTGTCAATGTTTCCCTTTTCTTGCGAGGAATCCTATTTGGAATAAGAGAATTTCCCTTAAAAAAGGGAAAACGTTGACAGCTATGATCCATGTCAATGGGTTGTTTTATAGCCTTGCTATAATTTTTATTATATAAAAAATCAGGAATGTATTACTGATGTCTCTGGCCCCCCCTCTTTGTCTCTGCTTCAATATTTCATGAACATTTTCTGTGATTTTGTTATACACTTGATTCTGCATTTTTAATTAAAAAATAGTAGCAAAAATTGTTTCCTTAGCTTTATTCAAAGCAACCTCCTAACTCAGAAAGGGCCAATTCATATGTGCACTGCCAAGCAAGTGGCCAGGTAGTTATTTAATTTTAAGCCATGTGCATCTGAATACATGGGCACACTGAACTCTAAGGGTGCCAGAAGCATCCTTGGGATGCAGGAAAGAGCTACAGGAAGAGGCCTTCTCTGTGGCTGTGCCCAAACGCTGGAATTCCCTTCACCTGAAAGCTTGTTTGGCACCCTCTCGACCTTCCATTGTCTGAACAAGATATTTTTGTTGCAGCAGACATTGGGCCTGTTGGGTTGAGTGGTTTTAATAGGCCAATTTCCTGCTTAGGTGTTTTATAAGCATCTCTGCGGCTGTTGAAAGCTTTACAGTAGCAATTTTTGATGCTATTTTTGAAATAGAATAAGAGACCCCTCAAAAGCACGCTCAAGAGTTGTTATCGCTGCTGAAACTGACGACTGATCAAGATAGTACATATGAGCCATTTTGTGGAACGTGGGGACTTGTGACAATATTTGTCACATTAAAATGTAAAAACATAACAAATATACCATGTAGCATTCAATACAATTACTGGATTGAAGATAAGTTGCTAAATTAGTGTTTGTACAAGTTTCCTATAAAATATTTAGTATGGATTGTTACAATATGTGTATTCATGTATGAAACAGTTGTGTATATTTGCAGCATGGCAAGTATTTTTAAAGTGTTCCTTTGTGTTTTTGGGGAAAATTTGTGTTAAGCCACCATGAGCCTTCTGGCCACAATGGAAGGGTGTGGAGTGAAGATTTTCTAAATAAATGGCCATGCAGAGAAACAGTGTTAACCATTGGTGTTCAGAGACGCTGCCATTTCTGTGATCGTGGCTGCACATGGCATATGGTCATGTACCCATACACACAATAATTCTGTTGGTTAATATATTAGCCCCAGCATTCTCTTTGAGTAGATCCCAACCATTTTTAATAGAAAAGTCAGTAAAACATTTGGATTGCTTCCGAACACAGGCCAGAACTCCAGCAAAAAGCAAAGTAAGCCACTGTACTGTGGGAGTTCACTGTACAGTGATACCTCAGGTTAAGTACTTAATTCATTCCGGAGGTCTGTTCTTAACCTGAAATTGTTCTTAACCTGAAGCACCACTTTAGCTAATGGGGCCTCCTGCTGCTGCCGTGCCGCTGGAGCACGATTTCTGTTCTCATCCTGAAGCAAAGTTCTTAACCCGAGGTAATATTTCTGGGTTAGCGGAGTCTGTAACCTGAAGCGTATGTAACCTGGAGCGTATGTAACCCAAGGTACCACTGTATTCCTCACACCAGGGTCTTGGGAGGGGAGAGTTTGGGAGGGAGCTTTAGTCGCTACCAGAAACATGCAATTTTGCTCCCAGAAGGCTGGTGATTTTTACTAGAGTATAATGAAAGCTAGTTTAACTGTATTATCGCTGCATGTGCCACCAAAGAAGCTTATCCTGAAGTGTAGTTTATATACATTTTATAAGTTTCCTAAATAAATGCTTATGCACGCAGTCTGCCATTAGAAAACGCACACCTTTCTGAAGAGCTTACTTCTTCTTCATGTCAACACACATGCCAAACATTGACTAAACGGCAATAAAATCTTCTTTAAAAATGATCCCAAATTGCTTCTTTTATTCAGACAGGCAAGATCAGGTCCGTATTCAAAGAGTGATGAGGAAGTATGTTGCATTCCCAGTTAGAAACTGGTATCAAGAATGATAAAGGCTCATAAATACCTGAACTTAACCAGTCTGAGTTTGCATAATCTTCACAGTAAATGCAAGGGGGGGGGGGTTAAGAATAATCATCCAGTCAGCTGAGTCACCTCCCAAGCAAGCATGCCAGCAGAACTCAGGTCTACAGGTCTCAATCTGTCAATACTTGTTAACGCTATCAATTTGTTCCCTTTTTTTAAAGGGGGAGCAGAGGGGAGAAAATCAGCCTATGTACTTCTAGGAGAAGGATGATTAACTTTTAAATCTAATGTAAGCAGGATCAGCATTTGCTTCAAAAGGCACGTGTAAGAGAGGTGTCCTTCACAGTCTACTTGAAAGGAAGGTGGTATCTCTCAATAAGCCCAATCAATGGCTTTCTATCCCAGGCATTTATATCGGTCATTTCCCGCTTGCACTATATCTGTGTAAATCCAAAGTTGTAGCTTGGAAAGGGGCTGGGGGTGGGAGTGAACCTGGAATTTCTTGAGTGCTTGAGTGCTTGTAAAAAGGCACAAGAACCATTGTGGAGATGAGTAGGGTTTCAAGTTGCCCTTATATGAGGCTCCACTATCTTGCTACGTAAAAACTTTCCAAAATAGTGCAATAACCGGATTTAGAACATGCCAGGTCCACAACAGCCTAACAAGGACTGCATTAGCCATTGGGAAAGCAGCATTCACTGTTCTTAATATGGAGTGTAGGAGATCAGAGATAGGATGGGAGGAGCCAAAAGCCATTAGAAGCCAAGATCAGGAAGCCAACACACCAAAATTCACTCCATTCTAAGATGAAGTCGAGGAGAAGAGATCTTCAGGTTAATCAACAAATCTGCAACAACACAGAAAATACAGAGAGGAGGATTCAATCCACGAGATGTTGCCAGTATAAAAGGTAAAGGGACCCCTGACCATTAGGTCCAGTCGTGACCGACTCTGGGGTTGCGGCGCTCATCTTGCTTTACTGGCCGAGGGAGCTGGCGTACAGCTTCCAGGTCATGTGGCCAGCATGACTAAGCCACTTCCGGCGAACCAGAGCAGCGCACGGAAACGCCGTTTACCTTCCCGCCGGAGCGGTTCCTATTTATCTACTTGCACTTTGATGTGCTTTCGAACTGCTAGGTTGGCAGGAGCAGGGACCGAGCAACGGGAGCTCACCCCATCGCGGGGATTCAAACCACTGACCTTCTGATTGGCAAGTCCTAGGCTCAGTGGTTTAGCCCACAGCACCACCCACGTCCCTCACACTTCTCCAAAACAGTGTTTATTGGCTGGGTGTTGCCAGCTTCAGCACAAACGCAACTTTCATTGAAAGAGTCTCCCCTCTTTTCTACACAAAAGCTTTGATAACAGGGAGGAAATACATCTCCACCTATTTGGCTCGCTTTTTCCACACAGTCCACAGAGGACAACAGAACCAAATCCACTCCCTTCCCCTTAAGCTTGAGTGGCAGAGTACATGCTCAATTGCAGACTTCACCTGGTAGGGCTGGGAAATGTCCCGTCTGAAACTTTTCAAAGTTTCTGGCACAGAATATCCTTCTGACTGAATTGCCTCTACAGGAGAAGCACCCACTGCACATTACTGATTGGTGGTTGCTGCCAACACAAAACTGATTGGCACACAGTATTTCATTTTAACGCAATATTGACAATATTGACTCTGGAAATGCAATGCTCCTGACATATAGATATTTTAATGGAATGATACTTTGCATAATGAAAGATACTTTTTATTGGTTTTTCTATTCCTCGCCCTATGTTAAAAGTTAGAAATCTTACCATCTGCCAAGGTCAAATAATCAACCTACAGAAGGACTGGGGGTTGGGAGGGAAATCTAACCAGCATGTGCAAGCTTAGAATTAGAATTGGTTCTGCCAGAACTACATACATCTAGATCATGGGTAGGCAAACTAAGGCCCAGGGGCCGGATCTGGCCCAATTGCCTTCTAAATCTGGCCCGCGGACATCTGGGAATCAGCGTGTTTTTACATGAGTAGAATGTGCCCTTTTATTTAAAATGCCTCTCTGAGCTGTTTGTGGGGCCTGCCTGGTGTTTTTACATGAGTAGAATGTGTCCTTTTATTTAAAATGCATCTTTGGGTTATTTGTGGGGCGTAGGAATTCGTTCATTCCCCCCCCCCCAAAAAAAACTGTCCGCCTCCCACAAAGTCTCAGGGACAGTGGACTGGCCCCCTGCTGAAAGTCTGCTGGCCCCTGATCTAGATCAGTGTTTCCTTCCTCTTCTGTTCAAGTCCCTAAGAAGAACTACAGCTTTTAAAAAATCTCATTGCCCCACCCCCACCTCAAAATTCACACGGGCAACATAACTGGATGCATTTGACAACCACTGGTATTCATCATTGCCACTACTTAACTTTCTAAGGAAATGCAGCTTCCGGGTTTCCACTTAGTACACAGTTAAGATGGCAGACATTTAGATTGTGGAAGTATACACAAGATACCAAGGTGACACAGCAGCAAACTTATTCACAATTTCAAGCTTTTTGTTTGTTTGTTCAGGAACTAAGCTCTCTTGCCATGAACTTATAGTGTTGCATGAGGCAGGATCAGAATACAGTACAAGGTAACATTAAAGCCAGCTACGCATCAAAAGGTGCAGGGAGCTGGGAGCCAACCCATCGCAATACTTGTTTTAGTGCAATTAGCATACATTCAAGAGGCACAATTTCAGCGAAGATGCTCGAGCCAGTCCATTCATAAGTTTAAAAGGTCACAACAGCTCTGGGTCCAAGCAGGGATATATACATTCCAGGAAGTACGCGAAGAGGAGAGCTTCCATTGTTTTAAAAAACACACAGAGAGAACTCACTTCTGTTTCTCATTTTTAAGGGAAGGCTAGAAGAACGAAAATCCATGTCATTCTGAGAGTACAGCATTTCCTCCGCTTTTCTCAAGAATTGGCACACAACAGGGGTTTTGTTTTGCACAAGGTATTTGATGAAGTGCGTGGAACACAGCTGAAATGGATATCTGACACAGATAAAATTAAACAGGTTGCAAAATCCAAGCAATACACAATATTTTGCCCTAATCCCTGCTGCCATCGGGACTTTTATATGTTTCTGACCGATTTTTGCTCCTTTATACCTCAGAAAACATGCCAGCTTTTTCACCTCAGGAATAGCATAAAGCTAATGCTTATATGGGACATATGAGAGCCTGGCCATCTGAAAAATTATTGGGAGTTCACACTGCAATCTAAAGCAACACAATGAAGAGCATGGGGAAAGCAAAAAAAGAAGAAGAAGAAATGGCATATGGCCAAGACTAACAGAGCATCCCACAATAAAAATGATACTAACTCATTTCCAATACAGTCGTACCTTGGAAGTTGAACGAAATCCGTTCCGGAAGTCCATTTGACTTCCAAAATGTTCAGAAACCAAAGTGTGGCTTTTGATTGATTGCAGGAAGCTCTGCAGCCCATCGGAAGCTGTGGAAGCCCCCGTTGGACGTTTAGCTTCCAAAAGTAGTTTGCAAACCAGAACAGTCACTTCCGGGTTTGCGACGTTCAGGAGCCAAAACGTTTGAGAACTAAGCTGTTTGAAAACCAAAGTACGGCTGTATTTAACACAACGGGCTGTGTTCAAATGAGATCCCTTCTTTTATGAAGCTAGACAGCAAACTTTGCTAGCATGCATCTTTGAAAATACATCCTTCCTCCTCCATGCAGCCTACTTCCATTTTTCCCAGAAAGCTGTGGCATTATTTACAGCTGCCTCTTCCCCCGTCACTCTAGGACCAAGAAGAGGTGGCAGCAATGCTACCAACTCTGCCTCTTTCACACTAAAAACACCATTTATATTCAGAACCTGAAAAATATTCTCCTAGCACAGCCTGGTGCTCTGCAGCTGTTTTGAACTACATTTCCATCAGCCATGGGTGGCGCTGTGGTCTAAACCACTGGGCCTCTTGGGCTTGCCGATCAGAAGGTCGGAGGTTCGAATCCCTGCGATGGGGTGAGCTCCCGTTGCTCAGTCCCAGCTCCTGCCAACCTAGCAGTTCGAAAGCTCGCCAAAAAGTGCAAGTAGATAAATAGGTACCACTCAGGCAGGAAGGTAAATGGCGTTTCTGTGTGCTGCTCTGGTTTCCGTGTTCCATTGCGCCAGAAGCAGCTTACATCATGCTGGCCACATGACCCGGAAAAACAGTCTGTGGACAAACACCAGCTCCCTCGGCCTGTAAAACAAGATGGGCGTCGCAACCGCAGAGTCGTCCGAGACTGGACTTAACTGTCAGGGGTCCTTTACCTTTACCTTTCCATCAGCCCCAGCCAGCACACATGTTAGCTGAGGGATGATGGGAGTTGTAGTCCAAAATAGCTGGGAGCCCAGCAGGCTGCCCAAGGATATACAAGCAGTGTAAACCTTTTAATCTTCTCTTTCACAGTTCAACCAACTTTTCTCCAGAAATTAAGTTCTGCATCCAATGTAAAGGTAAAGAGACCCCTGACCATTAGGTTCAGTCGTGGCCGACTCTGGGGTTGCGGCGCTCATCTCGCTTTATTGGCCGAGGGAGCCGGCGTACAGCTTCCGGGTCATGTAGCCAGCATGACTAACCCGCTTCTGGCGAACCAGAGCAGCGCACAGAAATGCCGTTTACCTTCCCGCCGGAGCGGTTCCTATTTATCTACTTGCACTTTGACGTGCTTTCGAACTGCTCGGTTGGCAGGAGCAGGGACCAAGCAACGGGAGCTCACCCTGTCGCGGGGATTCAAACCACCAACCTTCTGATCAGCAAGCCCTAGGTTCTGTGGTTTAACCCACAGCACCATGTAGTACCCATCTAAAAAGAGGATTAAAAAGAGAGTATAGAGGAGAAATAGCATAACCTAGAGTTAAGTAGAAATATCACAATGGGTGTTAAATTCACAAAGGACAGGCCCTGGCTTCCCGGCAAAAGAAAACATTTTTTGGAAAGGGTGCAAGTTTCCAGTGGGAATATTCTTCCACATTGCAATGTTAATTTTAGATGCCTTGATTATGTGTTTGAAAGACAGGGTATAAATCTAAGCGATTTAAAAAAAATGATCGTGAGGAATAAATCTACAGAGAAACCATGAAAAGAAACAAGGCTTGGTGTGCATATTAAAAACCAACCCTGTGACTACAGGGCCAAAACTGGTTACTAGTTCCCAGTTACTAATCTGAAATAAGGCTAGGAGCACAGGAAAGTTAATTCGCCTTAATAAATTTATGTGTCTCTGAACTCCAAAATAAGATTTGGTCTACATCCTAGCTCCATGATACAGGGTAGGAACGTGCAGACACAAGCTGCAGTTGCTTATTCAATTTGCTGATTAAGCTCCATTTTAAAACTTTCAGGCAAATAAGGAACTAGAAACTATGAGCCAACTTTAGCTACATGTTGTCGCTGGAAGATCCTCACTCAGAATCTGATTTACCAAGACAGATATGAGGCTTACTCTTTGAGCCCGAGGGAAATGTTTAACTCTCTCATTTTACACTCTATATAATCAAATTGTTACTTTTTCACTAGCTCTTGTGGCTCTTGGGGTCACTTGCTATGATAGCTGGCACCATGCAGTCTGTTGTTTACCTAAAAAACTTGCTTGTTCTTGGGGGAAAGTTTGAACAATTCTTAAATTCTAGTGTCATGGTTTATGGCAAGCTGTTTCAGGAAGCAACAGTGCTGGGTAGGCATCCTTGCGATACATGTTGATCAAAAATGAAGGAGGTGGCACAAGTTATCATAGCAAAACTGAAAAAATAAAAATCCATGCTCATGGATTCAAACTCTGCAAACGGATCACAACAAATTCTGCATGGGACTTCTGAGATGTATAATAATGCGGAAACCGAGATTCAAAACACTGGCACAGTAACTCCATCATGCAACACTTCCATGAGAAAATATCAGAGGGTGGGTGCAAGAGAGCAAGCCAGAAAGAAATTTATTCCCCCTTCTTTGCCACTCCACTCCAACAAGAAAGGAAGAGAACAGGAGAGTGTCTTTCCAGGGAACATCTCAGGTTTTTATTTTGAGACAGAAACACAGCCCTGCGTAGACCCAAAGCTCTGTCAAATCTAGGTAAAAAGCATTTGAAGACACCACAACTAGAACACATCTACATTTAGCCAAGCCACTGTGCAAGAATGCTGCTTAAATAAACAACATTCTCCTCCTCCCTCTCCCCACCTTCACTGTTCAAGCTCCCTTTTAACTTACCCAAGGCAATCAGCACAACTTGAGATAAATATGTTTGTCCCTTGGATTAAAGGTATCCTGTTAAAGGATACTTATTCCGTACCCACTGGCAAGCACAAAAATAGTAAGAAATGGAAACACTGTGGATAACAGTCACGTACTACAGACAGAAGCTCTAGCAGACTGGCCAGGCTTTCTTATTACATTAATATCCCATCTTTCCTCCAGTGACCTCTCTTCTCCCCACTATTTTATCCTTACAACAACAGAGGAAGAGAAATTAGAATGAGGGCTAAATTATGCACACCTGGGCTAAGGTTGCCTGATGAGCTCCACAGCTGTGTGGAGATTCGCACCTGGGTCCTGCAGGTCGTAGTCCAGCACTCTCTAACCCACACCCCTGTAAAGAAGAGTTGCAGACATTGTACAGAGACCAACAAAAGTCACAAGCCTAGAGCATTTGGAAAGTATTCCTGGTCCTTTTGTGCTAGTATCAATTTTTTGTTACCTTCTCTGACAGACTTACTAGGGAAGAAGCCTTCTATAGACTTTCATCTTGAGTAGACACTGATAGAACTGCAGTGTTAAGTAAGGAATATTTCCAACTCAGGCATTTAGTTGTGGGTATTTTGAAGAATTGCCTTAGCATGTTTGGGTTTTTTCTTCTCTATATTGCAAACTTAATGGCTGAATTCTGCAACACAGGGACACCTTTCTCTTATTATTTTTAACTCTAATTAAAATTTGCTCCACAATTGTTCATTTGGTACAATGAAAACAAGCTGTGAATTTACCGTAATCTTTCTCAACAATATCAAGCATTCTCTAGGGTTTCGCTTTTGGTATTCAGAGTCATCTCTCTCAAAAAAAACGTTTAAGATAGACGGGATGTACGTCAGACGCATTTGTAGAACAGGAAAATGCTTCCTTCCCCCAATGCTGTTTTGATTCTCCCAAGTATTCCAAGTTTTAGCTCACCCCTTTAGCTCTGGATAAGGAGGTCCATCAGGATAAGCAAAGTATTTAAACTGATCAATGTGGCTCCCCAAACACAGATCAAGCAATTTCTCTCTATTGCCCCTTGAAGACATGGCAACAAATGGTCAGTGTTAAGAATTTTTAGTGTTGTTAGCCGCCTTGAGCCCGGCTTCGGCTGGGGAGGGCGGGATATAAATAAAATTTATTATTATTATTATTATTATTATTATTATTAATTGTCAGCTCCATGCAGCGAACAGCTGCCAATGAACAGATTCTAAAAACTGGGCTCCACATGGCAGCTGTGATGGGAGCAGTGGCCCATCATAGGTTGTTTGAACATTAGATGGGGAAGGCCAACCTTAAAAATTAAAGAATGTTAATATCAGATTTGTATTGTGCTCAATATGCAACACAGCACATTCAAGTGCGTTTTTTCCACTACAGAGTTAAAATCCTCTTTTAAAAATAAAATGCTCTACATGTTTACCTGCAAAAATCTAACTATATTGGGGGTGGGTGAGTATACCCTTCAGAAAGCATGTTTAGGACTGCAACTTTAAAATATGACAGTGACAAGAGTTTACATCACTTATTCACCGATTATCTGCTGCAATTATTCTAGACAAGGTCTGAAAATCCAGAAATGGGACTTTTGCAGGAAGCAGGCAACAGAAGCATGAATGCAAAGCAAGATGCAATGCAACTTAATTTTTCAGCATGGTACAAGATCTCAGTATCATTTGGAACCTAAGCTTCCAACCTAAGGTTCAGTTACAACTTCACATTCAAGAAACATGCCCAATGCAGCTATAGCAACAAGTATTTCCAGTTTCTTACTGTGTGCCCTTTTTAAGGTAAACCAGTTTAAACTGAGAAGGTACTGAAAATATTTGCTGGGAAGAAGTGGGAAGAAGACATCAACAACTATCAGCAGAAATACTCCAAATACTTACAGCAGTAAGGAATGTTATTCTTGGTTGAGCTTTGCAGGCTTAAAAATTTGCATTTAAAGTTCCAAATGCCCTTCAGAGGCCCACAAAGAGACAGGAGTATTTGTTAAACATTAGAAAGCTCTGTGGGAGAACCAAGTGCTAATGAGGAGATTTTTGCATTTCCTCAAACCCTTCCTGAAAAAAAGTTTTCCTAAACGGTCCTTTTATTTACCAAATTCAGGCATTCTTTCTCATTTTTCCCCCTAAATAACCACACATAGAAATGGTAAAAAGTCACCCAGTTTCTTGGTATGAACAGGCTTGACTCTGCTAAGAACCAGTCCTTCTTAAAATACATTCAGATGGGGGGGGGGGGTTAAGCCTAAGTAGTGCATGTACATAGCAATAATCAAGGGGAAACTTTGCCCACTCTGTCCTCAAGTCATGACTCTTATCTCCAAAGTAGTCAGGACCAGCTAAGAAGTTTGCTGGGAAGCAAGCTATCTTCTTAACAATGAAGCCAATGGAAAATTCCACTGTGGCACTACCGCCAACCAAGAGGAATGTCGCAATGAGGAATGTCGGCTCACAAATTGAACTTCCAGTTCATGCAGTTGCTACTAGAATCTAGATTTTATTATTTGGGGATCAGAATGCCTACTTAATTACGACAGTAACAAATTGTTAGACTATAGATTTATGCCAAGTATGATTCTCTTCTTTTAAATAAATAAAAAAATGCTAGTACTTGGAAAAATGGCACTAAATTGAGATTATCAATGTGCTGCAGACTTTTATTTATACATTTAATGCAACGTGATTATATGCCTATCCTTGCTTACAGCCTACAGGTGTAATTTTAAAGCATTATAAAAATAAACTTATAGCAATTTGCTCTTGCTTTCTTATTTTGTTCCAACTATTGCTATTTTATGTTATGTGACTAATGGGAAGCTTGCCAGAATTCAAATTTAAGGGCATTTGGGTCTAGCTTTTGGTTTAAATGATTAGTTTATTAGGAGTGCAATTCTAAAAGTTATGTTTTCCTTTCATTTTATTAAGTGTTTGATCCTTCTAAGAAAAGTTTCTTCATGAGCAGCATAAAAGTCTCTCATCTCACTCAATATAGGAACTTCCAAAACAGCATGTTACTGGGTGCTTTTCAACATCATCAGAAGTGAGAACTTTGACACACTACACAGCATTATATTTTTATAACAGGAAATTGATTTTAGGTATTATCCAGTGCTTAAAGTTGAGGAGACAACAAGCTCAAAAGCACCTCTCCTGTTATGCAATAATCTCAGGATCATTTCATTTTCATGTTTCCTTCCCAATCAAATAAACTCAATAGTGACTGCATTATTTTTGTTATTTTTTTTCCTGCCCAGAGACAACCTCTAGACAACAGTGACAGGAATATTTTTGGAAACTGTGAACACTCTATAAGTAGCATGATTATTATTTGGGGGGAGGGGCTGCAACACAACATTCACACCAAAAGAAACTCACATAACTTATATTTTCTTTAACTAAAGAAAAATTCAAACAGTGAAGAGTCTTGTTTAAAAATGAAAAAGAGCAAAAGTTGAATCACCATGAGAGAGAGGGGGAGAGACTGGGCTTCAAAGCCATCTTGAAACCACATCCTCTGACCATGTAAGCCTTTGTCTATACCCCACATGTGCAAGCTCTAGCTGTTACGCAGCAGCGAGAGAAAGAAACTTTACATATGCTCAGAGGCATTTGGTTCCATAGGTCAGCCTTGGGTCGTATTACACCCTGGCAAACTTCTAGAAGCTACACATTCGGAGATTTATTTGCATGCCACAATCCTCCACAAAATCCACAAGCTAAGAGATGGTGAGCCTTAATTCCTATTTCCATAACTGTGGACTTGTAGCATTCCCATTTTAAGAACCCACAGTCTAAACTGCAGAGCGTAGACTGGCAAAGTTATCTGCTCATGTAAACCACTATTTTCAAGAAAACAAATGGGGAAGGGAATCCTGAAGGAGCAGCTTTAGTCCATCTCAGGAGACAATCTTGCAATGCTGGGAAGAGACATGGAAGTCACAAAAAGGAACTTGCAACAAAGTGAAAAAATGCGTCCTGTTTGCAGAGTTCACAGGGCTTCAATTGTCGGCTCTCGCACTTGATTCTGATTTCAGTACTGTGTGTTAAACTTGTTAAATTCATGCCCCCCCCCAACCAGAACACACACATCACTTGTTCTTCAGCATCCCGCAAAGTTTTGCTCTTAAGAACCATCCTCTCTTGCCTGCAGCACATCCCCCCCCCCCCCGCAAAGCAGCTCTACTGCTTTGTACAGCATTATGGAGATTTACTCCAGTTAAGCGTGGACAGCTCCACGTGAACAAAGCATGCAAGACGCAGGAACAGGGCTGGAAGCAGCAAGCACACCGTGTAGGTGTAAAAAGGGGGAGAATTAAAGGAAATTAAGGTTGCCATATGTCCTGGAAAGGAAGGGCAAAAGCTCTTTTAAAAGGCGCGGGGAGGGAGGGGAGGAAATTGACAGCCCTATAGAAAGATAAATCCCATTTCAGTACAGCTACAAGACAATATCAAGAGGAATAAATGAAGCTATACAATAAGGGGAATTGCCAAATGTACGGAAAAAGTATACATTTCCTGCAAAAGACAAGCGGAACTTGTAAGAACCGCTATAAATTCTTAACAGAGCAACAATTTGCACAGGAGGGACGCCTTATTTCGCAGCATTCCTCTTGAGGCTCTTATGGGCACAGATTCAAAAATAATTCCAATTAACACAAATCGGTTACACCTTAGCATCTTTGAACCACCTTCATAGAAACCACAAGGCAGATCAGAGGGTAATTTGTCTCCTTTGATTCTCTCAGTGCACACTTGTGAACAAAATCCGGGTTGATAGTTAAGTACAGAAACAGGGTCCTATATAGCTGTGAATTTAAGTCATGCAACCTAGTGCTGTTAACCAGCAAAACCAAAACGGTGTTCAAATATGCCTCTTCTGTAGGTGCTCTTTAATTCAGATCGCTCCACCCAGGATGGAAAGAGCACAGCCGCACATGATCTAAGCAAAGAGTAACACGTTTCCACGTTACATTATCTTCCGTTTTTAAAAAAAGCCCTTAAAAAAATCCCAGAACAAAGCAAGCAGCCATTTGAAGCTGATTTGGGGCAGGACTCCGGAGGGGGTTCTTAGATCAAGAAGCTGAATACACTCGGTTCAGAGACTTTGTTGCTTAATTTAAGCCAATACGGTTATTGCAAGCTGCTCTCTATCCAATGCAACTTACAAAGCCCCAAACATCAGGGCAGGCGAGGGCAGTTTGCAGCACCCCCTTGAGCCCCGGCTCCTCTCTCCCTGTTGAACTTCAGAGGCGGCTTCTCTCCCCGCCTCCCCACCCGGTCCAACATCACTCCCACAAGGCTATTCAGATCAAGGCACAGGAGCCAACTCCTAGGGCTAACCCAATAAAATATATGCCAGCCAACCCCCCCAAAAAAGTTCATAGGCACTGCCATTCAAGTGGTGTCTTGGGATCAATTAGGTGAGGCGAGGATTCCCTCCCCCGCCCCCCCAATGCTCGATTCCATTTGGCACCCCTGATTCGGATCAAGGAGTCGAGGCGAGCCACTCACCTCGTCGTCGTGGTGCTGGCAGTAGTTGACCCGGTCGGAGAAGACGGAGGAGAGGATGGTGTAAGGCGCGGCGGAGTAGGGCTGGCTGAGGGCGAGCTGGGCGGCCGCCGAGGCGGGCCCGGCGCCGGTGGAGGCGGTCGGGCCCGGGCCGAAGCGCTCGATGAAGTGGTCCTTGGTGAGGCGGACGCGCTGGTGGGCGCGCACGCAGTTGTCGCACAGGTGCTCCTGGCAGTCGAGGCAGCGCGAGCTGGCGGCGTTGCCTTCGTCGCACGAGCTGCAGCGAGGCTCGCCCTGGCGGCTGTGCGGCCGTCGGAGCAGCAGCGACGAGCCTCCGCCGCCGCCCCCCGACGACGCCGAGCCGGCCACGGAGCCCGGCGACGAGCCGCCGCCGGCCGAGGCGCGGTGTTGCTGCTGCTGCTGTTGCTGCTGCGGCGCCGGCTGCTGTCGAGGGTGGTGGTGGTGCCGGTTGTTGGTGCTGCTGTTGCTCCCTCCGACGACGCCGGGTCCGCCGGGGCGCCCGTTGTTCTTCTGGTCCTCGGCAGCGGCCGCCACGACGACCACGTCGAGCAGGTTGCTGAGGAGGAAGTTGGACGAGGGCAGCGCGTCCATGCCCGACGGCTCCGAGATCACCACCTTCTGGTCGCAGATGGGGCAGCGCAGCTTGAGAGAGTCCCCCGCGGCAGGGTGGCGCTGCGCCTCCAGGCACTGGCGGCAGAAGGCGTGCAGGCAGGGCAGGACGTGCAGGCGCCTCGACGGGGCGCACGAGGAGGACGACGAAGACCCCCCGCCGCCGCCGCCGCCTCCTCCTCCACCACCACCCCCTCCTCCTCCAGACGAGGTGGAAGTCTGCGAGGACGACGACGAGGTGGACGAATTGGACGAGACCGGAGCCGGCGAGCCGCACATCTCCTTGCACAGCGGGCAGATCTGGAAATCCGACTCGGGGAACGAAGCCATTGGGGATTGCGGGAGGGGGGGGTCCGGGGGAGGAGAGAAGAGGGAGGGGCACCGGGCTAGCAAGGAGGCCGCATGAACCCCGGCGAGCTGCGGAGACCCGCTTGGCGAGCCCCGGTGGGTGGCATCAAGGAGGCGCGGTGTGAGGGCGCTGCTCCGAGCTTCCTCCTTGCGGGTTTGGCGGGCCGGTGGGTCTGGCCTCTCCTCCCTCCTGGCTTTCCCGTCCGCCGCCCTCTTTTAAGCTCCTTCAGGGCCCGGGTCTCTCTCTCCCTGCCGCGCCCCGCGACTGGCTGCGCGCTGCTGCTGCGTCTTAAGCCGTTTCCGAGCCGCCGTCGCGCCTTCCTCCTTCCCTCTCGGCGCAGCGCTTCTGGGACGGCGGGGCGGGCGACCGAAGCTTTCCTGGTCTGGAAAGTGCATCGGCGCCCTCGCGTTGAAATCCAGCGCGGAGTGGACGTCGCCGGGCGATTATTCTTCCTCCTCTTCCTCCTCCTCCTTTGACCAGGGAAAAAACCAACTAAATAATGGGGAGGGGGGAAGAAGTCCCCCTAGGACCTCTTTCCGCCGGTCTCAGAAGATGGGGAGAGCTGGGCCGGGGGGGGTGGAAATGTCGATGGAGAAGAGGGAGGGAGGTCTTTGGGTTCACTTCTTTCTTGAGAGACTCCGGGAAAGGCGCAAGTTGTTGCCCAGGCAGGCTTCTCCGGCCCCGATCCTCGCACGCCGGCCCCGCCACCGCATGTCGGGAGAAGCTGGAAGGAGAGAGAGATGGCGATCCGGCTGGCGCAGCAGCTTCTGGGCAGGCGGGCTCCCCAAAAGAGAAATGGTGTGCGCGCGCGCGGAGAGGAGGGGAGGGGTGGTTGGGAATGAATGAAATGAATGAATGGAGCGGAGCGCGCGATCTTACGCTAACGAGCTTGGCGTCTTGCTTTTGGTCCACGCCTTCCGCAGGTCTCGGGGGAGATCGGGCGATCGCATCGATCAGGTCCTCGCTTAAGATCTCCCGGAAAAAGAACACAAAACCCCAGCAACCGCCCACGCGGTCTCTCTCGGTCCTCTCGGGCGCACACGGGCTCAGACCGGCGAAAGCCGGGGAGGAGAGCAGCAGTAGCGGCAGGTCCCGGCCGGCCGGCCTGAATTATTCATGGGGGGCGTATTATATTCACTCGCGCAAATTGGAGCGGCGCTGCAATGCTAGCCGAGTGGCCCACGCTCGCCCACCCCCTTCTTCGTCTCCTCTCTCGTGTGTGTGTGGTTTTTACGCGCCCGAGCCTCGTCAGTATCCAAGATCACATTTCCTTTGTCATTACGCCCCTTCGCGTGGTCTTCTGAGGGGTGCGTGTGTGTGCGCTTAAAATCCTCTTTCTTAAAATAAAAATGGTGCTTTCTGTCCTCAGAAACTCACGGAAACAGAAAGGGAGAGCCGGCAGCGGGTTTGAATTAGCAGCAGTTACGCAGCAGCATGGAGGTCCCGCGATTGAGAGACCAAACGCATTTGATTCCAACAGAGCCAGCGCGCTGGAGAATGGGTGGTTTCTCTCTCCCCCTCCTGTTTTATTATATTTATTACAGTAGTATTATTATTATCTCCACCACCCGGTGGATTTAGGGGAACAACGTGGTTCTTGCCGGGCGCCGATCTGCTCGCATTCCTGGTCCGCCTCTTTCAGGATGCGTGTTATTGAAACTGATCCAGAGTTCGGAATCCTTTTAATCTCCAAAGGAGCGAACTCACTTCCGCCTGAGCGCAGAGGGGGTGGCTAGAGGGAAAGGAGAGGGGGGTCTCAAAAGCAAACAGGAAACATTAACCCTCTTACTACCGCTGCCTTTTGTGTGCTGTTGGCTCTTTCCAGGGCAAACGGGGAGCTTCTTGAAGCTTCTAGTAGCCAGGCGTTGCTCCTCGACTGGAATAAAACTTGCCTTGTTTTAATTCGCTTTTCCCTAATTTTTTTTAAACTGAGATAGCCAGGATGGGAGGATTAGGAGCCGGCATCAAGGCGTTAGGCTAAATTAGCTCTCTCCTTCCCCGTCCAATTTTACATTTTTGTTCTCGGTTTTCCACCCACCCACACTTTTATTAAAAGTTGACGCCACACTCATTGTTTACTCGGAAGTAAATCTTGTTAGTTTTCCAGTAAACTTAGTCTCAAGTAACAGTGCACAGGCTGCAGCTTAAAGGCACCAAGGAACCAATTTTATAGAGGGTTTTGTTTGTTAAATGGAAAACAACACCTTTTAAATCCCTTCCATGTGATGATTCTGTCCTTTCCAGTAATCTATAGATATAAGTTTCCGAGGAAACTCCTAAGAGCTACAAAATAGCTAGCATTTATGAAATACATGAGTAAGATCTCATATTTTGTTGGGGGGGCAAGGGGGGGTTAATAATTCAGTCAATTCCATGCAAGAAGGCTTCTGCAAATTTGTGTTATTCTGAAATGAGGTCTGTCGTCTGATTAAATAAATCTTACTGGGTTGATTGAGGAATTTCTGCAGTTATTAATACAGTGAATTTGCTTGTGAATAAAAACATTATTCTGAAAGAGGGAGAAGCATTTCCTGACAGATGATATGCACACATATCACAACCACCATCTTAGAAGAGGTATTCCCTTCTCTATGAGAGTAAATGAGGAAGTCTTCTTTCTAAAATGGTGCCTGCCAACTATGGTGTTTATAGGCACAGTACTTGTGTTAAAAATAAATAACTTTTTCTTTAAAAATTAAAAAAAAAGTGAGTCATTAAGGGTACGTCTTAAAATATTTTCAGTTCATTAATTGACTTAACATTGTACCAAACCAATAACATTTGAGGGTTAAGGTATGCTTTACCAAACAAAGTAGCATATATTAATATTTACTTTTAGTACAGGAAATTAAGTTGGTTGACAGGAATTGCAAAAAACGGAATTCTTCTTTTCATAAAATGTTGACAAGCAAAAATTACAACCACTAATTAAAAAAGACCGGACATTAAACGAAAACACTTTCAGTATGATTCTATACATGTTTACTCAGAAGTAAGCCCCACTGATTTCACTAGGGCTTTCTCCCAGGGAAGTGGTGTTAGAATTGCAGCTAAGTGTGTATAGGATTGCAGGGTTAGGTCCCAAGCCTGAAAGAATTTAAGGCTCCAATCCTGCACATAATCTAAAAGTAAGCACCAATTAACTCTTCTTGTGAGTACGGTAGATATGAATCTTTGGCAATCAGTTGAAGCCGAGTAAGATTGTCTTCCATGAACACGGTCTTAACAGTGAGTCCTTAAGTGACTGTGGAGGCCAATTCTGGAGCCACACGCCCTTCCATAGTGGGGACATAGGTTTCTGGACGGGAGTTGATCACGGTGAGGGTTTGTCAAACATGCCTTCCCCTTAGTTTGTTTCTCTTTTTCGTCCTGAGTTCGAGTGTCTTCAAAGTCCATGACACCTTTGGTAAAGGCTGTTCTCCAATTGGAGCGCTCACAGGCCAGTGTTTCCCAGTTATCAGTGCTTATACTACATTTTTGTAGATTTGCCTTGAGAGTGTCTTTAAACCTCGTTTGCTGTCCACCGGTATTTCGTTTTCCATTCTTAAGTTGGGAATAGAGTAGTTGCTTTGGAAGACGATAATCAGGCATCCAAACAACATGACCAGTCCAAAGAAGTTGATGTTGAAGAATCACTGCTTTGACACTGATGATCTTTGCTTCTTCCAGTACACTGGCATTAGTTCGCCTGTCTTCCCAAGTGATGTGTAACAATTTTCAGACACCCCGTTGATGGAATCTTTTGAGGAGTTGGAGATGGTGTTTATAAGTGGTCCATGTTTCACAAGCATACAGTAAAGTTGGTAGTACAATAGCTTTGTAAAAGAGCATTTTGGTTTCCCTGCGAATGTCCCAGTCCTCAAACACTGCGCTTCAACTGGGAGAAAGCTGCGCTCACAGAGCTCAGACAATGCTGGATTTCTTATCCCCATTTATATGAATAAGACGGTGCTGTGGTTTCAAATGCAAATATATGTAGCTGTCCATTAATTTTCATTATTGTAATTTACATTATGTCTTTAGAACTGAAGTATTGGTGCCCTGTGGCACAAAATAACGTGTTTGCTGTCATGTCTGACTTGGTATACAAGACAGCTCCTTAGGCTCCTATTTTCAGTACCGAAATACAAAAGAAAATAAGGGAGTCATTTTATTATTTTTCATAAAATTAATACTTTGTTTAGTCACTAATTTCAGAGCTCTGAATATATGCTTGCAAATTGCACAAAGACACCTATGCTGTAGGTTCCACAGTACAGAATTCTATTGAATTAGCATTAACTTTTACTTGAAATCTATACTTTGATGACATGGGCAAGCGTGTCTGAGGTGCCGTTAATGGATTGCTAATGCATATAGCATATATACCTCTCAGAGGTTCATCCAAGGGGTTATTGTCCTGCATGATTGTCACCTGAAGGATTGTAAATGCTGTTCAGTGCCAAGAGTTATATTAACTTGCTCCAAACTCAGCCGTTGCTCAGCTTCGCCACTCGCTTCTTCTACAGCAAATGGAGAACGTACATGTTCATTATGATATTCAAAACTCTATCATTTTCTTACCTCGGAACTTCAGGCAAGATGACGACCCTAAAACTTCGAATTCTGGAATTTAAATTTCACTTTTATTCATTAAAGCCCCCCCCCCTTATTTCTTTCACTTTTTGATCGGGTTAAAATGTGAAGCCTAACACCAAAGCAATATACATTTGGAATCTGGCTCTGAAATGAGAAGGGTGTCAATGACACAAAATCACATAGCTGAAGATGCCTATAAAAAACAGAGGAAGTTGTTTTGGTCTGTCAGGAAAAAATCAAAACAGGCAGACAATTTTTTATTATTATTAAGACCAAAAAATAAGTCACAAAATAGCCTGATGAAGAGCTCTGTGAACTCCAAAGCTTGCTCATTATTTTGTGACATTTTGGTTGCTTGCTTCTGTGTTATCCTCATGCACTCGTCATCCTCTGCTTCATTGCTAGTTGCTTGATTAATTTGTCAGCCAAATTTTCCTCTTTCCTTCCTCATTAACCATGTTAGAGGCCACTGTAGAGGACCCAGAGGACCCTGTAGTGCCCGCCTAGGTAAGAACCTATTGCAACTCACAAGTGTTGGCTAAAAGCAAAATCATGCGCAAAATATGGTCTGAAGCTCAACATCAAAAAAACTAAGATCATGGCCACTGGTCCCATCACCTCCTGGCAAATAGAAGGGGAAGAAATGGAAGCAGTGATAGATTTTACTTTTTTGGGTTCCATGATTACTGCAGGTGGTGACAGCAGTCACAAAATTAAAAGACGCCTGCTTCTTGGGAGAAAAGCAATGACAAACCTAGACAGCATCTTAAAAAGCAGAGACATCACCTTGCCAACATAGGTCTGCATAGTTAAAGCTATGGTTTTCACAGGAGTGATGTATGGAAGTGAGAGCTGGACCATAAAGAAGGCTGATTATCAAAGAATTTATGCTTTTGAATTCTGGTGCTGGAGGAGACTCTTGAGAGTCCCATGGACTGCAAGAAGATCAAACCGATCCATTCTGAAGGAAATCAGCCCTGGGTGCTCACTGGAAGGCCAGATCGTGAAGCTGAGGCTCCAATACTTTGGCCACCTCATGAGAAGACTCCCTGGAAAAGACCCTGATGTTGGGAAAGATGGAGGGCACAAGGAGAAGGGGACAACAAAGGACGAGATGGTTGGACAGTGTTCTCGAAGCTACCAACATGAGTTTGACCAAACTGCGGGAGGCAGTGGAAGACAGGAGTGCCTGGCATGCTCTGGTTCATGGGGTCACGAAGAGTCGGACACGACTAAACAACAACAACAACAAATCTTACCATGTAAGGAAGATACCAAGGTAGAGATAGGGGGTGAGAAATAGCTCTTTTGTGACTGACAAGTCTAGCTTGTAACCACAGGGAATGGTTTCACCAGGGGAAGGATGCTGAAGGAAATCAAATTGCCTTCTCTCCCTTGTTTCTTGCTGTTTGCTAGTTCTGTCTCCCAGAAGCAGTACTGAAATACTTTTGTTGGATTTAGTTGGAGGCTTTTTCTTTTTCTGTGGTTGCTAAACTTGCATCATTTAGTTCATTCTAATCCTTAAAATACTCATTACGTTATTTACTCATAATTTCTTCCTGACAGTGTGTTTACATCTGTTTCTTAAACATGACTGTTTTAATTATCTCAAGTTATTATTATTATTCAGTCATAATTTGAGTATAATATAATTTCTTAACTTCCCTGTGTATCTTTCAAACACTCCCTATTGCCAGTTCGTGCTGTAGCATATTGTAGTGTGCATTGCAGTTGTGATATATTTTCTACCTTTTATTCTGTCTCAAGTAATTTTTTAATGTTAATAATAATAATAATAATAATAATTTTGTCTATGTCACTGTTTCTGTCACACACTATTGCCTGGTATTTCACTGTGCGTGAGCACTCACAGCTGTAAGAAGCAAAGCAGCACAATACTGTATATAGATCCTGCATTTATTATAATATTAAACACACAGTCATACCCTTAGCTCTCTTACATTGTTCCTGAGGCATGTACATTTTGCTGGGTTGTCCAGTGAAACAAGCTCTGGATTTCTCTTGTGACCTGTTCTCTTCAGTTCTGAAGACTACACTTGGCCAAACCAGTTTTAAACTGAGCTTGTTCTTCCACTGTTCCGTGGACACCTACCACATTTTTGTGAGATTCTATCAGCTGAACAAAATTCCGAGCTTATTGCTTTAGCAGAGAGAGTACAAAGTTTCTTCCTACATGGTAAAATGGATAGCCACACACCCGTCATTTAACAAGATGAAATAAATACCACCCAAGTGCCTGTCTCAATACACTCATTTCTTAAGACTTAGTCACTTTTTATGTGTGGTTGCCCTAACTGTTCACCCATAAAAGTAGTTTTTTCCTCCAGGGAATGGTAATAACCACAATCCATAGGTTGTTTTTTTTTTTGGTATGGGCAATTTTCACCATTAAATTAGGTTGCTAGCAGATATCCATAGACTTTCTTTTGATATTATCATGATTGTGGTCACACATATAATTAGAACAGGGTTTTCCAAACTTGGGTCTCCAGCTGTTGTTGGACTACAACTCCCATCATCCCTAGCTAGCTGGACCAGTGGCCAGGGATGATGGGAATTGTAGTACAAAAGCAGCTGGAGACCCAAGTTTGGGGAAAACTCGAATTAGAACATGCTTTAGACATGACCTTGAATGGTTTCCATAAACCTCATGGGCCACACCTCTGGTACTGCACATGGTGGCTTAGGCACCTCCAAGGTGTCAAATCTCAACAAAACATGGAACAGCTGCTCTCAATGTGCACTTTACCCAGTTTTTAAGGTCATTATCATGGCAGTGCAGTGGTGGCCCCTCAGAATCTTGGGCAAGGAAGATCTGTTCCCTCCTATGTCTGGGTGAATAAGTTTGCTATCACAGTCAAAGAGACCCACATCTCTTTAAGTGAGACCTTGGATTGAGTGGTAATAAAAGTACATTTAAGGCCAATATTCAAGCACCTACACATAATTAAGTTTGGTGGAGTTCAATCAGACTTATTAGCCTCAGTATGGTACCAGCTTTATTCAGTTTGCAGCTGTGATGTTAACATATGAGAGTGATGGAGGTGAAATAGTTAAACAGGTTACCCAATCAGAACCCAGGGGGGTGGAGTCAGAGGGACTATAAAACCAGCTCTGAGCGGAGCAAAGGGATGAGTTTGTTGGGAGTTGGGTGGTTGGAATGGGAGTGAATGGGAATAGAGTCTCTGGGTAGGTTGAGTTAGTGTAGCGAAATAAGCTGAGTCAGGAACAGTTAGGAGTTAGGAAGACAAGTAAATATCTGAGAGGTGGTTTAGTGAGTGAGAGCAGGTAGCGGAAGTTATAGGTCTGGAAAGGCACCCCATGGTTGTAATTGACCGATACCGTTTATGAAATCACATGCTTGTTAAACTGCAATAAATAAACAGAAGTTTATGTTCCAATTTAACCCTGACTGGACTCAGTATTGTACCAGGTAGGGCCTGGGTGGTGGCAGAGAGAAATAAAGTGGTTGCATAGGGATCAATAGACAGTGAAACATCCGGGGACCCTGTGTGATCACCACAACAGCATAATCCAATGCATGTACCAGAGTGCAGTTGGACTTACTAGTTTATAATCCTCCTATCCATGCTTTCCTGGGTGTAAACCCTATTACACTGACTGGGGTTAATTCTGAGTAGGATTATGCAAAAACTGTGCCTGGAACGGCCTTCCCCCAACCTGGTTCCTCCAGATGTTGTTTGGGTACAACCTATTATTCCTCACCATTGGTCATGCTGGCTGTGGCAGATGTGAGTTAAGACTTGGAAGAAGACTTAGAACGATAGCATCTGCATAAACTGTGTTAGTTTTCCCAGCACAATTCTATGCACAATTACATATAAGTCCCATTGATTTCAATGGGCATTACTCCCAGATAAGTATGCATAGGACCAGCTTGAGTGAGTACATTGATCATATGCTTTACAGCACAATCCTATGTCTACACATAAGTAAGTCCCATTGAATTCCATGGTGCAAACTCACAGATAAATGAGGTTAGGTAGGCTTAATTAGCTTTGGTTGATTAATTAGTGGGACATATTTGAATAACTTGGGTGAGGTTGAAGCAAACACCTGTATGTTTTTAAGATGTTTTGACTTTGGTATTTTACGTATTTATTCACATACATGAATGTCAAATATCACGGTACTACCATATGGAATTTAAAAATAAAAATAGTAAAAGCGGCTTTTCTATCTAAACATGAGTGGCAGCTTTTACTTATGCTGTTGTAAATTGTCATAGACTTCCTTCCATTTCCTCAAAAAGGCATTGCGCTTCTGTTAATATGCAAATTTCATTTATTTAAATTTAATCAGTAAATTGATTAAAAGACAGGTGATTAATCAACTTCAGATCTTTAACTGGTGGACAGCTCTTGTTAGTACAGTTATTAATTCATGTACAGATTGCAAAGTGAACAATTAGTGCTATAAAATCAATTTGTGGTCCAACGTCCAAGAAATGATTATTTTCTCTGTGGAACAATATCTCTCGGAAAGGAATATTTTACCATTCCTTCTGTATTGTAAACTAATCCGATACTTTTACATGCAACTGAAAATCCAACTAAGAATGTGAGAAGAGAAGAGAAGAGAAGAGAAGAGAAGAGAAGAGAAGAGAAGAGAAGAGAAGAGAAGAGAAGCCTTTCAGGAAACAGAATTAAATAGCAAAATGGGCATTTCAGGAAACTTTCCCAAGCCTGGGGATCTAGTGCAGGTGAAGCTGAATAGAGAAGCAGGAAGCCAAGGAAACAGATGTGTTCCTTAAGGTAATCTTAAGGTTTGTGAAGGAAATCATGTCAACCGAGAAGGCAAAACGCCTGTCTTTCCCCCTTCCCTAACATTGTATGAGGCAATGCATGGAACTTCAGCAAAACTCCTACCAGTAGCGTTGCCAACTAAGCAGAAATAAAGTAGCTTTAATAGAAGCTTGATTGGCAAGAATCAGGTTTTTGTTTACACAGGGAGAATGAATACTTATTGCTCACTACGTATTTGTTATTTCCATGCACTGCAGACACCAAGTTCCTGGGAAGAGAGAAAAGAAGGATGCTGCTTAGGTTGGATCTTTCTGGCTGTTGAAACACCTGCATGCTGAACATGTCTTCTACCACAGAATACTGTTAGAGACATGGCCAAAAGGGCAGGTTCAAAACCTGGCTACCGTTTGTTTGTTTTTTTGCAATTGGAACCTACCTTAATCATGTCTGCCCACAGCTCAATTCTCTGGAAGTCTCCTTGCAAGTTAGTCCCACTTGAGTTCTCTATGGTTTTCTCCAAGGTAAGGCGATAATGAGGATTTAAGCTTCAGTACTGAACCCCAGGCAGGGATGCGGGGGGCGCTGTGGGTTAAACCACAGAGCCTAGGACTTGCCGATCAGAAGGTCGGCGGTTCAAATCCCCGTTGCTCGGTCCCTGCTCCTGCCAACCTAGCAGTTTGAAAGCACATCAAAGTGCAAGTAGATAAATAGGTACTGCTCCAGTGGGAAGGTAAACAGCATTTCTGCACGCTGCTCTGGTTCGCCAGAAGCAGCTTAGTCATGCTGGCCACATGACCCGGAAGCTGTACGCCGGCTCCCTCGGCCAATAAAGCGAGATGAGCGTCGCAACCCCAGAGTCGGTCACGACTGGACCTAGTGGTCAGGGGTCCCTTTACCTTTACTGAACCCCAGAGTCGTTTGAGACTGAACTTAACTGTCAGGGGTCCTTTACCTTTACCTTTACTGAACAGGGATTTGAACCTGGATTTCAACACCCACCTCTAAATCTAACACTGCAGCAGCTTCTGAACCACAAAGACTGTAAGCTTCATTCAGTTCTGGGACAGCATGCACCATTTTTATTGGTGCCTTTTGGAGCCATAGTATGTTTTCCAGAAGTTGCCGTGACCCAGGCTTTAAAGTAGATCCAACACTGCAGGGCCTAACAAGATTAATTTGGGGAGCAATACAGCAGTAGGAGATACCCCTTCATTTACTTGCATAGGCAGGCGTACAATCATGGACAAGTTGCCATGAGCCATGTCCTAGGGGTCCTTGGTGCAGCTTATTTTAAGTGTGTGGGCAAACTTCAGGATTGCAGAATCGATATTGTCTCTTACTAGAACCTACAGATCCAGCAACAAGAGCCAGGTGCAAAAAACAACAACCCACCCAATAGATTGAAAATTAAAGAAAGGAGGCAGATTGGTGAAGATTAATGACGCTAAGACTGTTTTGACGTATGGAAGTGATGTTATATGGAAAACGTCTGGATATGGCTACTGGATAAAAAAAATAATATCTACGCAGGATTACAAACTGTTCTAACCAGCTTGCGGAGACTATCAGAGGTCACAAAGAGAAAGGAAAAATATATGAAAATAACAAGAGATGTGGAACAATAATAACAAAGGACTGGATAGTACTGTCAACATCATAAGGTTAGATTTGTGGACATTAAAACAGCAGTAAGAAGCAAGAAGTTGATTGGATCCCTTCGGAACTTGAAATATGGGTACCCCCAACAAAAATTTAAAATTCGGCTGTGTAATTTGGAATTTATGTAATTTGGTTTGATTTGATGTGATTGGTCGGTTAATAAAAAATCATACTTTAAAAAAAAGAAAATTAAAGAATTCCCAACCCAGGGATTGGTTTTGAGCCCCGGAACTGAACAGAGCTCATGGTTCTTCAGCACAAAAATCCACCCCAAGCTTTCTCCATTTCAGCAATATCACTTAAGGTCCAGTGGGGGAGATGTTGCTACCATTGTTAAACAGTTGAAATTATTGCTGATCTATTGCAAACCAGACCCAGAGCTATGTTTCAGGGCAATCTGACTCTTATCAGTTTGTTTTGGATACTTTAATGCTTTTCCTATTATCTCCCCTCTCCACTTTTCTGGTAATGATAGCTAAGTTTGCAGCTGGACCTTGCAAAGCTTAATTAACTTGCAAAGGAAGAACAAGGTATATTGAAGAAAGCTCAGCTGTTCTTGCCAACTAAATTTCCAGTAAGAAACTTGACTGCAAGAGTGAGAACTTTGTGGCACTTAGTAGCAAATGTTTTCTATGCAGGCACCTTCTGGAGCCACCCTGTCTGATGAAACAGACAGCAAGAAGAGTGAGATACAAAAAAATCCTGTTCAGGAAGGTCCAGTTAACACTCTTGATGTTTATATATCCACACCCACCCACATCTAGTACAGTGGTACCTTGGGTTAAGAACTTAATTCTTTCTGGAGGTCTGTTCTTAACCTGAAACTGTTCTTAACCTGAAGCACCATTTTAGCTAATGGGGACTCCTGCTGCCGCCGTGCCACCAAAGCACGATTTCTGTTCTCATCCTGAAGCAAAGTTCTTAACCCGAGGTACTATTTCTGGGTTAGCGGAGTCTGAAACCTGAAGCGTATGTAACCCGAGGTACCACTGTAGTGTTATAAATCTACAGTAGAACCTCTACTTATGACCGCCTCTACTTGGGCCCGATCCAAGTTGTGACTGCGGCAAACCTGGAAGTAAATACCAGGTTTGTCGCAATTCGCACACGCACAGAAGCGGCGTCTGCCCTTTGTGCACACGCAGAAGCGACTGC